TAAGACAGGATAATTAAAAGCCAAATTGGTTGGTCATACTAACATGGTTTATTCAGTATGCTTCTCTACTGATGGTACTACTTTAGCATCTTGTGGTGGTGGAGATAATTCTATCCGTTTATGGGATGTTTATACAGGATAATAAAAAGGTATATTGGAAGGCCATATGAATTGCATCTACTCAGTCAGCTTTTCTTCTGATGGTACTACATTAGCATCTGGAAGTGGAGATAAGTCTATCCGTTTATGGGATGTAAAATCAGGAGTACTAAAATCCAAATTAGATGGCCATAGCGGACTTGTCTATTCTGTATGCTTTTCACCTGATGGTGCTACATTAGCATCTGGTAGTGATGATAAATCTATCCGTTTATGGAATGTTTAGACAGGATAATAAAAAGCCAAATTGGATGGTCATGGTGGTGGGGTAGCCTCAGTATGCTTCTCTCCTGATGGTACTACAGTAGCATCTGGAAGTGGAGATAAGTCTATCTGTTAATGGGATGTGAAGACTGGATTATAAAAAGCAAAATTTAATGGTCATAGTGATTATGTAAGATCAATCTGCTTCTCTCCTGATGGTACTATATTAGCATCAGGCAGTAGCGATAAGTCTATCCGTTTATGGGATGTTAAGACAGGATAATCAAAAATTAAATTGGATGGTCATAGTGAGACAGTTCGATCTGTTTGTTTCTCTACCGATGGTACTATATTAGCATCAAGCAGCAGAGATAAGTCCATCTGTTTATGGGGTGCTAAATTGGAAAAATGAATTAATTATTCAAAAATAAAATAAAGGTAATTCGAAATGTAATTTTATAACAACGATAAAATTTATATTTAATTTTTTTAATACATTCTCGAAAATAAAATCAATTTTATTTCATGCTCTTCTCTTAAAATTTGTAATAAAGAACCTTTTTAAGATTTTCGTTGTCAATCCCTATTATTTCTTGATGAAAATTATCTTAAATTATTATATATATTTGCTTTTGATTTAGACAAATGTTCCTCTTTGTATGCAGGAAACTATAAAAAACATAGATATTTTACTACTTAGAGAGAAGATCAAATAAACTTGATTTTAGCACAAAAACTGTATAAGCTTGTCAAAAAGATAACAATATATATTAAATTCTGCCATTAATTTGAACTTGCAAATTAGGATCAAAAATTAATTGGAACTTTTTCAAAAACCCATGAAAGACATTTAAAACCTTTTTAATTATAATTCTTGTAATTAAAATTATATATTTCATTATATTAAAATTGAATGACTAATTAAATAAGAACTAGTACTGAACATTATTGTTGATTATACAAGAATGAGGATTTTTAATTCTTCTAGTTTTTTGTATAGATACTTGTATATAAAGTTTTTAGTACAACTTCTTGAAGATTGACTTACAAAAAACTTCTTGATAAATAATATCATCTTAAACAGAAGGTGATAGAAATAAAAGTTATCATAGACTCATCCTTGCAATAAGACCAATATTGATTTAGATTGGTTATTTCAATTCATTTATTCAAAATTGTTCTTCATTGAAAAGAATATTTAATTGATAACTAAAATGTCTAACTCCTCTGTTTAACCTGATTCTTGTCATTTTTTTAATTTTTAATAAATTTTAAACCTATGATTAAAATCTATAATTAACCTTTATTACTTAATGTCTATCTATTTTTGTATGAATAGTTGGCCTCCATTACTTAATTGTAAATAGACATACTAATTTTACAATATTAATTACAGAATTCGATTAAAAATACATCTTTATTATAATAGGCAATTTATTGGATCTACTTGTAAAGCTTTCTAAAATTTGATCTAAAGAAATTTTAGTATGCATTAAAGTTGCCCATCTTTAAGAAGGATCCAAATGGCTTACTTCAGATAAATCTGGAATAATTAATTTAAATATTAATAATCTAATTTTTATCATGTATAAAATAATTAGAAATTAAAGAAATTAAGTAAATATTATATTGAATAATAAATTGTAGAATTTCATAGCAACTGATGAGATATAATTGCAATCCTAATTAACTAAATATCTTTAAATAAAAATTTTTTTTAAATTGATAAATTTTAGTTCATTTACTATTGATTTATAAAGTTCAAATTAAAATACTATAGATATTGAGAAAACAAAGTTTTAGAAAAGGATAATAAATTGAAAATTTCATTTAAATATTTTATTAGGAAAGTTGGATTTTTGAGATCCAAAAAAGGATGGATAATTAATTGAGAGAAAATTACATCTCAAAGAATCAGGTATGGAAATTCTTTATTAATTTTAAATGAAGCCACAAATCTTGCTCCATCATAATTATAATTAATTAAATTTTAAATCTCAACTATTTACAAAAGTAATCTTCACTATTTAGGATCAAATTAATATTTTTAATGTAAATTCATTAATTGGATTTCTATCCAAAAGTTAGCATAAATTTCATATTGTTCATAATACTCTTATGCGGTAGTTAACTTGTCATATTACAATAGTTAGTATTCAGTTTTTTAAAATTATCTTATTTTTTCATGGCGGTAAATAAATTATAACCTGAATAATCTTAAATCTATGGACATGTTTTAGTAGATATATTTATATAGATTTAAGTTTATTAATAATCATTGATATAATATTCATATTTTTAATTATTTAGATTAAGCTACCTTAAAAATGACTTGAGCATTTTATTATCAAAAATTTAAGTAGATATTTCATGTTTCATGATAAATCTTATAATTTTCTTATTATTACCAGCAGTTTTACAAAGAAATGGCATATTTCTATTAGAGATTTAGATTAATTAATACTCTAGTACATTCTTTCTTAATGATTTCAAAATAACACATTCAATTCAGATATTTAGATAAAATTTATATATAAAATTTCAAAATTTATTATTTAGAATCTTTATTTAATATAATACTACAAAGATATGGTTAAAAAGGATTATTTTCAAACACGAAGCTTAAGTTTAAAAGCTTCCTTAGTTTTTCTATTTTTTTGATAAATTTGATTTTAGAAATCTACTTAGCTATAATAAATTGAATAATCAGAAAGTTAGTAAATCTTTGTTCATTTGCCTTAGTACCAAGAACAGTAAATATATTACTTAATAAAAAAAGAAACTCTATATTAATTATTGTAAATTTACTTTGATGATGTAAGACAAGAATATAAAAGTGAGTTTTGGAATGCAAATACAATTTTTCAAATAAAATAAAAAGATAGAGTTTGCATTATAAATCATTTTCAAAACAATAAGCTAAAAAAATAATATATCTTAACACGAATGAGTTCAATCTTAAATGTTAATACTTACCAATATTTGATATTTAATTCCATAAATAAAAATTATTATATTTTAAATTAATAATTTATTTTTTTTGATCATCGTAAAAATTCTGATAAGAGTAGAATTTGGATGTGCTTTGGTTGATCTTTTAACGTTTTAAATTGTGAATTATGTAGAAACTAAAATTATTAAAGAAAGTGTAATTTTTTCTAATCTTAAATTGATATCCGAACCTTAATTTCTTCTTAAAATTTTAATTATTTAATTTTCTTTATCTATTTGTTAGTTTGATGAAGATGACCCAATACCAAATCGAAATATGCATTATATTCATGACTTTATTAACAACAAAAACAAGATAGCTTTTCAGTTTTTACACTAACACAATTATTTCCTTTTTGTTAACCGTTTTTTACTGGTACTTGCTTTTGGCATTTTTTGTTGTTTCCTATTATTTTTTGGTTTATATTAAGTAAATTAGAATTCTCAAAATTAATTTTCTATTTGGAATAACCTCATATTCTATTTTACTTATACCCTCTTTTTAACATAATTCCTTACATTCATGTACATTTTCACAAAATGATTTTCCTTATATGGTTTATCATATTTTCAGATACGATTTATAATTATAAAGGCAATAACTATCTAAGCAATCATTAGTAGTATTGTTTTGGCAATATTAACATTTTTTCAAAACAAAGATGATCATATTATACAATACAATGAATTCTATTTAAATGATTAATTTTAAAATCTTAAATCTCTTTCTATTAGAGATTATTACATTTTAAATTTGCTTCAATTATTCTTCCTTTTTATTTTAAAACAAATCAGTTATTTAAATTCTTTTGTATACAATTTCTTAAATGTATTCGTTGTACCACTCTAAAAATCTTCTTATGTAATTTTTTCTTATTCCTCCCCAATTTTAATATCTTATTCTTCTCTATCTATTTGTTACTAGTAATCCTCTTATATCTGAAGTTTTTCAAATTATTCTGAGTTGTTATTTAAATCCTACTTTCTTAATTAACTTTAACTTAATTAACATCTATTTCTAGTTCATTTATTCATTATTAATTTATTTCTTCTATTTTTGTTCATTTTATACTTTTTTTAGATTATTCTTTTTTTATTTTCTCCCTAAAACTTTTTAAATTTTCTAAATTTTCCACTTTCTCTTATAATTAATAGATTTTCTTGATACTCTTATATATGTTCATTCAAATTATTACAATAAAAATTTAAATCTGTTTCTTACAAATAATATAATTCTAGTATTTTTATTATACTGTTTATTAATTCTTTTTGAGTTAATTTTAGATTTTTTTAAATTTTAGAGTTTCTTATTCAATATGAAATTATTATACTTTCATATCCATTCCATTTTTAGGATCTTCCATTTCATTAATATGAGATTGAATATTCTCCAAATTTGTATTTTTTCTAGTTTTAATTATTTAATTATTTTATCTTATCTAATTATTTTTTTAAGGAATATTAATTTAACTTCTAGATTATTCCTTATTTTCTTAATCTTCTATCATACATTTTTAATTTAAACCTTTTTTGATTAATTATTCCAAAAAATAATTAATCAGTTTATTTAAGATATCATGAAGATTATGAACTTAAAAATACCTAAATAATTGTATTATTATATATTGAATTAAATTTGGAATAAATTATAAATATAATATCTATAAAACAAAAAGATTAGGGATTAGATTTAATTAAAGTAACTATTATATCTGAAAGAATAGCCATCAAGTAATCTATTCAATATGATAAATGATGAAGGAGACTATTTGATTAAATTGGATCAGGCATCATTATTAACAGGCTTATATCTTATTAAACAATATTTAGTTCTATTGAAGAATTCGATTCATGATCTTATGCTTAAACTATGAATTCAAATTAGATGAATTCAGCATGAATAATTTTTTTAATGTTATTATTTTACAACATATTCAATTAAATCTTCGTATTTATTCAGGAAATCATCAATTTTTCATCTAATATAAAAATTTATTGATGTGGTTAAAAATTTATTGTTTATTGAAGAATTGGCATTTTCGTGAATAATTAATCTATTTTGAGAAGATATGAAATTATATAAAATTAAAAATTTATACAAATTTTGGAGGTTGTATAAAAAATTATTATCAAATGAATATATATTATTTTATAAATCGAGCACGTATCTAAATTATTAAAATAAAAATTAATGTAATAAAATCTAAGCTCTGATTGGAAAAACAATTTGTTTTGTACTATTCATAGAGAAGAGTGTGTGGGATTTTGTTGTCTTAATAAAAATTGTTCTGAAAATAGATTGTGTTGTTAGAAATGTTTATAATAATATCATTAATATCACACTAATGAAATAATTATACTTGATGCCTTGGAAGAATTCATTTCAAACTCTTCAAAAAATGTAAAATAAGTGATAGCAACTTCAAAAAATAGATTTGAATGTGTAAAAGAGTCGATTGATTCTCTCATCTATAAACTAGAAAATAAAATATATGGTTTAGAATCAAGTATCTAAAAATTGAACACAAGCTAACTCGAGGAACTTATTAAATACTCTTTTTAATATGAGGAACTTGAACAGATTTTAAAGTCTTCATTTGATGAATTAACAAATCATATTTAAAAAACACTTGAAGGAATTTATTTGAATTACTCCCTACATGATAGAATACAACTTGATGAATAAATAATCGTTGAATTAGGAGATGACTTATTAAAATAAAAAGATTATTTTAGAGCCAAAGAGTATTTTGAATAATGCATCTAAATTAATCCTAAAAATAGTACAGCACTTTTAGGAATAGGTATTTTATTNAATATATCTGAAAGAATAGCCATCAAGTAATCTATTCAATATGATAAATGATGAAGGAGACTATTTGATTAAATTGGATCAGGCATCATTATTAACAGGCTTATATCTTATTAAACAATATTTAGTTCTATTGAAGAATTCGATTCATGATCTTATGCTTAAACTATGAATTCAAATTAGATGAATTCAGCATGAATAATTTTTTTAATGTTATTATTTTACAACATATTCAATTAAATCTTCGTATTTATTCAGGAAATCATCAATTTTTCATCTAATATAAAAATTTATTGATGTGGTTAAAAATTTATTGTTTATTGAAGAATTGGCATTTTCGTGAATAATTAATCTATTTTGAGAAGATATGAAATTATATAAAATTAAAAATTTATACAAATTTTGGAGGTTGTATAAAAAATTATTATCAAATGAATATATATTATTTTATAAATCGAGCACGTATCTAAATTATTAAAATAAAAATTAATGTAATAAAATCTAAGCTCTGATTGGAAAAACAATTTGTTTTGTACTATTCATAGAGAAGAGTGTGTGGGATTTTGTTGTCTTAATAAAAATTGTTCTGAAAATAGATTGTGTTGTTAGAAATGTTTATAATAATATCATTAATATCACACTAATGAAATAATTATACTTGATGCCTTGGAAGAATTCATTTCAAACTCTTCAAAAAATGTAAAATAAGTGATAGCAACTTCAAAAAATAGATTTGAATGTGTAAAAGAGTCGATTGATTCTCTCATCTATAAACTAGAAAATAAAATATATGGTTTAGAATCAAGTATCTAAAAATTGAACACAAGCTAACTCGAGGAACTTATTAAATACTCTTTTTAATATGAGGAACTTGAACAGATTTTAAAGTCTTCATTTGATGAATTAACAAATCATATTTAAAAAACACTTGAAGGAATTTATTTGAATTACTCCCTACATGATAGAATACAACTTGATGAATAAATAATCGTTGAATTAGGAGATGACTTATTAAAATAAAAAGATTATTTTAGAGCCAAAGAGTATTTTGAATAATGCATCTAAATTAATCCTAAAAATAGTACAGCACTTTTAGGAATAGGTATTTTATTCTAAAAAGTTAGCTAATTGCTTAAGAGAAAATAAGAAATACAAGGAAGCAGAATAATATTATACAAAAGTAAAATTGTTGGATGAAAGTAACATCAATATATTCTGTGGTCTTGGTAATTAAATTAATAAATTAAAGGTGAATGTTTAAGATAACAAATGTAAATTGAAAAAGCTTTAATTCAATTCGATGAAGCTTTAAGAATAGATCCAAGCTTTTCTTAAGCAGCATTTTATAAAGGTTCAATAAAATTAATATATAAAGGGGTTCTTCTCATTTATTAAGGAATTTGGAGAGTATTATAAAATGGAGAAAATGAGGAATTAGTAAAAGAAGAAATCTTTACATATTTTAAAAATATTACTTTGAATGATAATGATACTTATGTAAGATTATTCAAATGTATATATATATCTATAATATTTTTTTAGCTTTGTTTCTAAGTTTAGATGGTTATCCAGAGGATGCTGAGTAGATAATTGAAGAAGTTGTAAAAATAACACCAAATAATTATGAGGGTCTATTAATAAAAAGTTATTATTTTAGTAAAAGATAGGTTTCATGCTATTTGGTAAGCAATAATTTGGCTTAGCTTTATAATTACTTGGATAGATAAAGATATAAGATTTATTCGTAGCATTTTTTAAGAGTAAACATTTTAATTCAATTAGGTTTATGCTTATTTAATTTAGAATAATACAATGAGGCAATTAAATTTTTAGATTCTATTTTAGAAAGTAATTCTAACAATTAGAATGTATATTTATTTAAAGGTATGAATTTTAATTAAAAAAGGTTAATGCTTATTGAAACTTAAAAAACCTAAAGAAGCTTTACAAATATTTTATTCTATTCTGGAAATAAATCCTAAACACAAAGACGCTTTGGAATGCAAAGGTATAAAAAGCTTTAATTTTTTTAAGATTAATGCTTAGAAGCGATCGAGTAAGAAAAGGAAGCTATATCAGATTTAGAGTATTTATTTTATACATTATAGATTAAAAATTTGATGAAGAATTTATTAAAATACATATTTAAATTAGATATTCATTATTTTTCAATTATCTATAAAACTTGTTTATTTTCAACATCTGTTTATTAATTCTAATAATGATTATATTTCATTTATGGTTTCCATAATTTTTATAAAGCTTGATTGAATAAATTAGCTTATTATTATATTCTCTAAACTTGTTTTAAATACAGGGATGAAGATATTAAGTAAAATAAAGTAAACTATTGTTGAAAATTTAAACTTTCTAACTCCATTTATATTTGTTTTTTCAAAAAGTTCTTTAACAATTTCTGATCTGATATAGTTTAAAACCTGATTAAATTAATAAGTAAATTAGAATTATTATATATTTTTTATTTATCAAAGCTTATTTCAATTATGTAAGACTATATAATTATTCAGGATTATTAATTAAGAGATTGATATAAAAAAATTATTTTTCACAATTCTTCTTAGTAATTTTCTATTATACCAAAATAATTTAAATTTCGTAAGAAAAAATTTTTTCAATTCCTTTTGTTTTGTAAACTATAAAAAATAATAATAATATATTATTATAAAATTATAATTATTTTTTTCATATGTCAACGTGACGAAAGTTGAATCACAATATGATTAACTTTAATATGAGCTATATATTTATTGTTAAAAATTATGAATATTTCCAGATATTTCACAAATAAATTTATATATTAGGAATGAGAAAATTTCTTTTAAACATTGAACTGTTTAACTTATTTTTGGTAATTTAGATACACTTAGTTTGTTCAAATAATTGCACTTATGAATCCTATGATAGTTCATTGTTAAGTTAGGATTATCCACAAGAAATCTAAAATTTCAACATAGAATAAATGGATTTATCAAGAGGTAATTCATTTTCATTTGGTTTTTGGAGTCAATGCATTCCTTTATGGAATCCTATTTATTATCCAACAATTTAAGGAGATTATCGATAAGATCTATTAGAGCATGGATAATTTCTGTATTAAATAATGAATGGCAATAAAATTTCAGTGATTTCATATGTTATTTTAGAGTTGTAAAGTTTAAAAGTAGGTCATGTAGTTGATATTTAGAATAATAAAAATGCAATTTCTCTATTATTTAATTATCCTCCATAAGACTATGAAGGTAAATGGATCTTTACATTTATAACAATATAACCACAAATGAAGAAAATAATAATTTAAATGGATGATTAGTTAAAATATATATAGCCTTTAGAGATTATTTCTAACATTTTTACAATAATAATAGGAGGAAGAGGATATGTAAAAATAAAATTAATATATTTTTATAGACTGATAAATTGTTGAATTTAAATCTCTTCAAAGGCAGATTATCTAAGCTATATTGGAATAATAATTGGTTTTTTAATGAGAATATGCACAATTTTTTAACTTAAAATTGTAAAATAGCATAGATTTCAGAAAAAGAAGAGATAGTAATGATAATTAAAGGATTATAATATTTTGATGGATAAACAGAACGATAAGGTTATTTTGATTAATTTGGAAATAAATATTGTATTTCAGGTTGGATGAAAGTTGATATTACTTAGATTGATTATTATTCTAAAATGCCCATTATTAGAATTACTGCATTTAAGAATTATGGTAGTGGAAAAAATATAGGAGATGAATTAATGAAATTAGAGATTGAGATTAATAAAATATAAACAGATAAAACAAAATATATTCTTACTAGTAATTTATATGGAATACCTAAATTAAGTTTATAGAGTTAATATTCAGACTTAAATTCTATTTTAAGTTTAGAATCTTGCTGTGGCTATTATTTAAATGGTGTATAATAATGGCATTTTATATAATATGAATATGGTAGATAATAAAAAAATGAAAAGATAATGATTTAGATTTAATTTTCAAATGAATTAGGAATATAAACTTATTTAATTGGATCAACTAAATATTAGTCTTCATTTATTAACTCAAGATTTTATTATCTTTTTGGTGGAGATTACTTTACAAGTAAAATGCTTTAAGCTTTTGTGAGTGATTTTAAAGTTTAATTCAATTACCAAAAAGATAAGGATTTTATGAAAGATGGTAATTGTTTTATATATATTTAACAATAGTATGTTATTATTCTTGTGAAACTTGTAATGGGCCTTAATAAACTAATTGTTTATCTTGTAATCCTGATTCTAATAGAGTTTTTTTAAATGAAGAAAATAAATGTCAATGTTAATAAGGTTACATTGATTATGATGGATAAAAATTTTGTGTTAAATTTGAAAATAGATTTCCATCAATTTCTCAATCATTTATCATAAATGAAGAATAAACTTCTTGTTAATATGGATACTTTTTAGTACCTAGAAGTAACTAATGTGTTAAATGGTAAAATTATATCATATCTCAAGTCCTTAAGAAAATAAAAATGATTTACTCTGTGTTGATTGCTTACAATTTCCTTTAACTTGGTATTAATAAACTGTGTGCACAATGGATTTCATTAATTAAGGATAATAATTTGATAGTGCTTATCAATTAAATTTCAGAGATTACAGAGATTACGATTTTTATTTCCTTGATGATTTAAATTAATTAAATCTTTAATAAGGTTTTTAAAAAATTGTAATCCAGATAGAAAAGAGGAGAAATGCGTTTTATCAAGAGAAAAAACTTAAGGGTATTATATTTATGTTAGTTGTAAACCTAATTATTATATAAATAATAATGATTGTTAAGAAATAAATTCTCATTGTTTAGAAGCTTAAGAAAATGGAAATTGTAGAGTTTGTATTGATAAAATGTATCCATTTAATAATAAATGCAATAATTGTCCTATTCATTGTTAAACTTGTAATTTTAATCAAATTGATTAAGAAGTCTAATGTACTTCTTGTTCTGAAAAATTTACTTTAAAAGATAAATAATGTTAACCTTGTGGATCATATTGTCAATAATGTTAACATTATTATGATAATAATAGTAAATATTCTTACCTAAAATGTATGAAATGTATTGATGATTCAAAATATTTTCTATCATTTGATGGCATTAATTGTTAATAAAATAAAATTGAAAACTGTCTTTATGCATTTTAATATTTAAAATCAGATTAAAAAGTTAATACTATAGATTAATATTTTGAACTTTAATTCAATTAATAAAATATAATGACATCATGTGCTAGATGTTTAGATAATTTTATTTTTGTATTATCAGAATAAGTTTGCTTATTATTAAAAAATAGTTCATGTGTATTTGGTTATGCTTAATAATTAGTATAGTGTGATTCAAAGTAAAATAATCTTGCATATTCATAAACAAAGGGAAATGTATGTACAACTTAATAAATTTGTTTAATAACTAATTCTACAGTTTTAGAGGAGGTTTAATTTATTTAATCCTGTACTGAATTTTCATTTATTTCTTAATGTGAAATTTGTATACAAGGTAGATATTCAGTAACTGATTAATAAAACATTTATGATTGTTTAAATTGTTAGAATGGATATTATTTGGATAAGTTAATCGGTAAATGTTTTTAGTGTCCATCTAATTTAAAATGCTTCTCATGTTATTAATAGCATAAACTAGCTTAAGATAATTGGAAAGTAGGTGTTAGAGCTTTTTATAAAGTATTTATTGAAAAAGATGATGAACATCCTTTTAAAGAATATGGATAAAGTTAGATGTAAGAAGATTATGAAATAAAATGTAGTTAGTGTTTATCAGGATATTAATTAATTAATAATTAATGTATTTAATTATGTTCTGATAGCTGTTTATTGTGTTAGTTTATAGATGAATAATATTACTGTTTAAAATGTAAATTTGGATAAAATGGAAGAAGATTAACCTTATACAATAATCAATGTATAGATTGTTAACCTAATTGTGCTTTATGTAGAGTGAGATCTAATGAAGAGATCTTTAATATCAATCCTTTGTTTAACAATTAGATATACATTAGATATTCACATCAATGTTTAAAAACTTATACAAATACTCATAATATTTATGATTAATAATTAGGAATGTTTATTAAATGTTTGAATCCAGATTCAAGATGCTATTTATAATATAACATCAATTTAAATCTTTATTGCTCTTAAATAGAATATGAAAATGATAGAGATGCTATAAATGATTAATTTTAAAGATAACAGTTTATGCTAGAGAACATTTTAGTTGATGATTTAATTTCGGAATCTAGTTTTAAAGAAGTAAGTTTTATTATTATTTAGTATGAAAATGATTTGTTTTATTTTTAGGCAAATGAGAAATTGATTACCTCTATTAAAATATATATTTAAAGTAAAACTAGTCAAAAATGTATTATTCCAGAAGAATCAAAAATTTAATAAATATTTAGTCAAAATATATTTTCAGCAATGTATAAAATAAATTTATTTTTAGCAATGTTGAACTAGAGTTTAACTTCAGTCATGAAATACAATTTGTATTTTAAAGAATATTGGAATTCAAGAATTTTAATTCAATTAAAATTAATAATTTAAGATTAATTCCTTATACTAGTAATAAACTAAAATAAATAATTTTTACAAGTTGTTTTCCTCTAACTGTTAAATTAAGTAATATTCTCTTTTACTCATAAAATATTACAGTTCAATCATAGCTTAATTTCATTAATGTCTCTTCCCTTTAAATTATTAATTTTACTATAAATGAAGTATATCTTGAAAAAAGTGATAAATTTATCAAAGTAGTTTCTACTGAATTTTCAAAATTAATTTCAATAGATAGCTTCTATCTTTTAAATTCCAGATTAGATGGAATTAATCTTATTCATCTTGAATTAAAGTAATATGATATATTTACTTTTATGAATTCTATTTTTAAAGGCAATTTTTACAATTCAACAATTATTTCAACTTAAGAAAATTAACTAATAAGCAAATGTTATATGAAATTTATTTAAATTGAAAGTAATATTTAGGATTGCTAATCAATTTTTAATCTTTTTTGGTTTTCATCTGTAGAACTTTCGAATTTTATTATCTAAAATTCATAGCTATTTAAAACTTCATTAATAAAATTAAATAATAATAGCACATTGAATGAAATCCACATTTTGAAATGTTAATTAATAGAATAATCAGTAGGGATTTTTAATTCAGAATTAGCTTCTTATGAAAAATAATTCATAATAAATATTTCAAACATAACATTTGAATCAAATAAATATGATTAGACTATCAAATTATTAAATATATAAAAATTTACTTTTATGTCATCTTAACTTGAAATATCAAATATCTCAATAATAAACAATGAAATGATAAGTAATTAGTCTGATTTTAATCAACTATTATATGAATCTTCATTAATATATTTTTCACAAGATGAAATAATTATCAATAGATTATAAATATAAAGAGGGTATGGATTGATTGATATTTGCTTTTTTGAAACTAAATATCTTCAAATAAATAATGCTATAATTACATAAGGTTAAGAATATAAATTTTAAATTCACCAATATTTAGATTGTTTACTCAAATATATCAAAGGTCAATATTATCTATAATCTCTCTTCATATATTCATGTGTAAATTTAACAATAAATGACATAATAATCTAAGAAGTATATTCTACTAATTCACCTATAATATCATATCAATCTGCTCTATTAACAACAGTATAATAAACAGAATAGATGATAATTTCTGATGTAAAAGTTATGAATAATCTTTTGTTGATTACTGAACAAAAATTTTCGGTAAGTATAATAAAAATTGAATCTGTACAAATATCATCAATTCTTTTTTCAAACATAACCTTTATAAACAATATTATGTAAGTATATATTTAAGATAATTTGAAGGTTTCAGCATTATTACTTAATCTTGATTGTTAATAAGGTTAAATTATATTAATATAATCACACCTTTCTAATAATATTGTATTTAATAGTACAAATAGTTTAGTTTAAATAAAGAGTAAATCACTTGATGTAATTAATTGCTAATTTTTAAATAATTCAATTTTTAATTATTAAATATTGCAAGCAAAATTACTATGGGGATTTTCTGATTAAGATTTAATATTTTTGGAAGATATTTAAAATATATTTTAAATAAAATCATCTACAGGAAATGCTCTATTTATTATAGAAGAATTAAATATAATGGATTGTTTATTTTCAAATTCTTAAGGATCATATGGAGGAGCATTCTAAATAATTGCTTAAAATTATTGCAATATTAAATTAATTGACCTAAGCTTTGATAATGTAATGACATCATTTTAAGAAGAGAATGAATAAGGTGGAGGTTTATTTATTGATTCATCATCAGCTTTATCTTTAAATATTAATATTAGAGATATCAGAGCTAATACTATATTTAGTAGATATTAAGGAGGATTAATATATTTAAAAGCAGGATCAAAAAATATCAATGTTACAATGGATCAATTAATATTAAACAATATACATTCATTATAAGGTTCAATATTTTATGTTTCATTCTAAAGTTAATCCAGTTATACTAAAAATTTACAAATCAGTAATATTTTAATAAAGAATTCATATAGAGTACTATTAGAATTTTTAAATAAATATGATAAAATCAGTACAAACTAAGAATATGCTTTAAATAATAATAAAACTTTATTTTTTATAGAATTTGGTTAATAAATTAAATTTTAAAATATATTTGTTGAAAATCTTCTTTATGAATCATTTCTTTAATTAAGTTCTACTAAAAGATTAAATATAATAAATTTGTAAATTATTAATTCTAAGCAATCAAACTTTTTAGTTCATATTGAATCAAATTAATGTAAAATATATAATTTAATTTAGTTTAATCTTGTTAAATAAATTTTCATAACATTTTGATATAAAATACTTCAGTGGGTTAATTTGATCTCATTTAAAATAATTGTCCTTATCTTCCTAATCCTTTCTATTATTCTAAATCATTTTAATGTTTTTCAATTGATTAATAAGTCTAAGCCCCTTCAAATTTGATAAAAGCTTTTGATTCTAACTACCCTTAAGATTTTTGTTGGAGAAATCTTAATCAAAATCTTACAGATATGACTGAATCAGGACTTATTTTGTTAACTTAATTATATGATGGTGATTTAATAGAATTGAAAGATATATATCTTATTGAAATTAATTGTTCGTTTTGCCAAAAAGGATTATTATCATTCAATTATAAATCCACAGCTTAAATATCAAAATCATCTTCAATTTAGAATATTTTTATTAGAAGCTCATCTTGTGGAAAAAAAGGTTGTTTCAACCTTTTTAAAAATAATTAAAATAGATTATTATTTTAATATAATGAACAATAAAAATATCTTTTAGATTTTGAAAGCATAATAAAGAATTACATTTGTGAAAATAATTAATGCAAAGAGGGTACATGTATAAATTCATAGAATATTATTATACACTTATAGGATTGCAACTTTTAAAATAATTATGCATCTTTAAGAGGAGGAGCAATCTATACTAATTCAGAGATTTTAATTTATAATTGTTAAATTTAAAAGAATATAGCTAATGTAGGTGGTGGAATATATCAAATTGAATCTATATAATATCCAGTATTAAATAATCAAATATATGAAAATATGGCAGATAATTTTGGAGAGAATATAATTTCAATTCCTGATAAATTAGCTTTATAAATATATAAAATGGAAATTTTACCAAATATAAGATTGTTCGATAATGATTAACTAACAATTGATTAAGTTTACATAAAGCCTTATAAAACAATTGAAGGGAAGATATCACAATAATTGTTAATACCAAGTGGATAAGCAATTTCAAAATATAAATATTTCGATTGGAAAAATAGATAATATATCAAATCAAATTATACTTTTCATCTTGTTTTATTAAATTAATAAAATTAGATAATCAAAAATTTAAAAGATACTTCATGTAGAATTTAAAGTAGAATACATAATATATTAGAAAATCAAACAGATTAGGATAATTTTTTATTAAATTTTACAAATTTAAATACTATTAAATTTGATGATTTAACTTAAAATTATAATTTAGATAATATGATAATATATTTAGATAATGAATTACCTGAAAATTTATGTTTATTAATAGAATTTATTTGTAATTCTATATAAATCCCTATTTTTAATAAAGAATTACCTTATAACTTAATAGGAAGTCACAATAATTATAAATTAAGAGTAGAAGTTAGAACTTTACCATGTTAATTTGGTGAAATTAAGAGTGTTGAAAACTTTTCATGCATTTTATGTGATGATAGCCAAGGTTTATTTTCATTAAAAATTAATTAACCAAAATGCTAAGTGAAAGATGATGTATCAACAATTAGTGTAAATTCTTCTTAATTAAATTTAAAATAAGGATTTTGGAGACCATACATAGATACAAATAAAGTTTCAAATTGTCTTAATTTACTCAGCAATTGTTTAGGAGGTTTAATAGAAGGTGATTAATCTTGTACTAATGGACATATAGGAGCTTTATGTGAAGAATGTGATCTATATAATACAAGAGGTGATGGAGAATATTCCATAAGTTAAAGATTTACTTGTGGTTCTTGTTAAGAAATATAAAAAAATACTGTTATCATTACATTAGTTAGCTTTTGGTAATTATATAATTATATTTCAGGACTTTAATTTCTGTATTCATTTCTGTTTAAGGAACAATTAAAGCAACACATAATGTTTTACCAGATTTTAAATTTATTTTTTATAATCCAACTTAAAATCATTAAGATACATCTGCAATTTTAATGAAACTTTTAACAAATTATTTATAAATACTTGATATTATAAGTACATTTTAATTAGATTTTTCAGAAGGATTATAGGGTACTTTAGAGTCAATTAGTTCACCTTTTGAATCTATGATTTATTCATTAGATTGTTTTTTATCAAATACTTTTAAATATGAAATTCACTATGCTAGAATGATTTGGGAATTAATTACACCTTTCTTTTATATTAGCTTCTTCTTTTTTGTTTACTTTTTAGCTTCTAAAATTAGGTATGCAACTTTTAATAAAAGTGTTATTACAACTACTCTAATTTATATGTATATATATTTATAACCAACTTTAATTGGTGGATTTATGCTTTTGATTTCTTATAGAGAAATTTCAGATTATAAATGGATTTCATCAAATGTATCTTATAGATATGATAGCGATATTCATCAATTATGGATATTTTAATTTTGTCTACCTTCTCTTTTTACATTATCAATTATTATTCCATTTTATCTTTTATTTGGCCTTTATCAGAATCGAAATAAATTTCATCTTAAAATGATAAAATAAAGTTGGGGATATTTATATTTAGAATATAGAAATTTAGCTTATTATTGGGAGATAGTGAAAATTTTTTAAAGAGAATTAATCATATTAACTTTAACCTATTTTGAAGATAGCATTCTAATTAAAGCTATAATTGTAGTTTTAATTTTAATTATTTATCTTAATTTAAATAAAAAATTTAAACCCTATAATCTTAATAATCTTAACGAACTAGATTATTTTTTAACTAATACTTGTATAGCCTCAATCAATTTAGGTATTGGATGTTATATTTCCCAACATTCAAATTCAACAGGAATCTCATATGTATTTATTACAATTATTTTCTCTATCAATATTTATTCAATTTTATATTTATTTTCTAAAATTCTCAAAGAATTTCTAAGATAACAAATTATAGAATTAGAATAAAAAATGAATTTAATTAAAATTACAATTATTAAATATTTTCCATTTTTAATGAAGTTTAAAATAATTTCATAATTTTTAAAAAATTATTAAGATAAATAAATAAGGTAGAAATATTTAATCAAAAGATTGAAATCATACTTAATGAGAATAGCTAAAAAAATCATTATAATTAAGAATTAAGAAAAATGCTATTTTAATAATTAGGAAATTAATTTCGATTAATTTGTAGATTCAAGGACTATTACTCCAATTATTTCATCTTCTAAAAAAAGCCTATGTTAACGCAATTTAATCAAAACAAATTCTCTTATATTGTTATAATAACAAGTATGTTATTAAATAAATGACTAAAAGTATTATTTATTTATAAAATAGAAGACCAACATTATAGTTTAATACAAATATTAATGAAACAATATCTGGAAGATAAAATTGATATTCATTAATAATTAACAATGATATATTTTTGAATAAAATCAATAAATTATCAAATTTGATATTCTCACATAATCATTCTAAATTGATCATAAAAACTTTTCTGCAATCAAATTCACATTTCAAATAACTTTTTTTCTTTATTTTGCAACATCTGAATTTGTTCTAGTTTAGTAGATAAAATTTTAAACATTTTTTTATACAATTACTTAAATCTTTTCTTTTTTTAAACTACAATTTGATTTGCTTATATAAATATGGTCTTTTTAAATTATAGTATTTTATAACAATTATTATAATAAATAAATTAGATTTATTAATTATTTATTAATATTCATTAAATATAATTTTTTCATTTATCAAAAATTACATGGAAAGTAAAGACCAAATTAATAAACATTTACAATTCCAAAGATTTAATTTATTTTAACGGAGAACTACACTCTATAATTATATAATTTACTCTTCCTTCAAACATTTATTTTGTCACTAAGGTTATCAATAATCCTGATATAGTCATTAAAAAAAATGATGATAATAGTATAACTATTGAGGTTATATTAATTGATAAATCGTTATATGCATACACAAATATGCCAATAAAAAAAGAAGCAATTGCATTATATATTAAAGCACCTTAGATAATTATTGGAAATACTTTTTAATTGGATGGCTTCTTTTGAAAAACAAAGATAAACTATTAGATTAATAATAGAGAAAAAGCCACATAAAAATCGCATAAACAGAATATAAAAGTTTATGTTGAAATCTTATTTAAATTCTAATAATACTTATGATGATGAAATGAAAGTATGAGTATAACAACAAAAAAGGTTCTAAAAGCAAAGTTATAATGAATATGGCATATGATATTGGTGTCTTATAATATTCAATTTGAATTTATTACATTTTAAAAGATTGGAAATCTGCTCAAAATAATTAGCACTATATATATAGTGCCAAATAATTCAAAACTTAAATTTGGATAGATTTGAAATACAAAAAAATTAGTTGTAAAAATATTAAAGACTATCAGTAATATTATTAATCTTATCAGAAATAATACTAAAGCCCTCAAAATATATTACTTTTATTTTTAAAAGGGTTGATTCTTCAAATAAATCTTATAATAAACATGAGCTTTGATTTTACTTAATTTAAATATTGAACTTCCAAAATTTATTGGTGATCTTCATTTTACATTTATCTATTCAAAAAAATATATACTATGATGGTATTTTTATTTAATAATCTTATTATTGCTAATTGATTTCTCTATCATTAAATCTTTAAGCGCTTGCTTGTGCTCCCATTTCTTGAGTTAAATAATTTAATTAATTGATATTATCAACAAATATGACATATTAATAAATAAATATAAGCCAAAACTCATTACTATATAATTGATTCTGTATAGAGTTATCAGACAAAACAAAATAGAAGTAATTTCATAAAGTATTAAATCATTAATTTTTTAAGATGAATAAATATGAAGTAGTTTATTTTATTTTTCACTACTTATTTAGATCAATTTATAAATTATACGAACTACAAAGTCATTAATTCTGTTTAATTTTTCTAAAAGTATGTGCTGTAAATAATCTGCAAATTTTATTTGATTGTTTTATAGAGTGCAATTCTTCACTTCAAAAAAATAATATGGGACAGGAATTTTGGAGATGCACAGTTTGAAAATGAAGTTATTTTTAATAATTTGCCTTATATGAAGGAAACTCAACAAATTTGTTAGCATTCAAAATAAATCAGCTATAAAATATCATTGTTGAACCTGAAACAAAAATGGAATTAGTTATTAATTTACAAATATAGAAACAATCTATAAGATTAGTTTTAATACTTAAAAATAAATAGAAAATATGAGATTAAATGATTAAAGATGTTATTTTAAAATTATAATATACTTATCTATCACAGATGATTGTGAGGTAAATCAATATCTTTTCTGATTATTTACAAAATAATCATTAAATCACTTATTTAATCAAACCTGGGTGCTCAAAAATTTATTACTATAATTGAAAAAGCAATTCTTTTAAGACCCAATATAAAAATATTTCTAATTGCTTATTATTAAGCTTTATAGAGTTCTTATCAATTATTATTATTGAATATGGTATATTTAAGGAATTTGTAAAAATGAATTAATAACTTTTTAATTATTACATGAGAAATATTTTTATTTGTTATTTTTGCAAATTGATTCAAAGTATTATTGTTTCTAGTAATATGAAAAATATAAGTAAATTTTAATTCTGAAAAATGTTTTAATTTTATTTTATATTAATAGCGAAAATTTGTAATTAATTGAATCTAAAACCTTGATTTGAGTTTGCCAAATATTAATAATAATGTAAGGATAATGTTTGGAGCATCATAATAATAATGAATATTTTTGTGTGAATCAAAATTGTGAAAATAATTGTGTTTTGCTTTGTGATTTATGTTTAAATATTAATCAACATTAAGCTTGTCAAAAGCTTAAATAAGCTATACATTTAGATTAATATACAAATAAAATAGGAACATAATTAGATGAAAGAATCAGAAAAGAACAGGTCTTGTTAGAAAATTTAAATAAAACAAAAAATGATTTAATCTAATTTGATGAAGACATCAGATAGTAATTTTTATTATCTAAATATATTATAGAAACATTAATCAAAGCAGAATTGATTCCATAATGATGAAATAAAATGCTATCTTATTAAAAGAATTAAGGGTTCCAGCTTTATTAAAAAAAATCAAGAAAAATAATCAATTTAGCTATAACTATTTTTCAGAAAATATTGAAGTATAAAGACAATCACCTTTTATAGCAAATTTGATTGAAAATTTTAATTAATCCTTAAAAGAAATGAAGAATAAATTTGCCCAGAAGATATAGAAAGAGTAGATTAGTTTTTAAGAAAATAACAATACTCTACCTAATAATTAAATTAATAATAACTATGAACAAAATACTAATCTAAAAATAAAAATGAAATTAAGTAAGGAAGATCAGAAATCCAACAAATTTATTGAATTGCGATAATTTGCAAATGAATAATAAATAATTAAATCAAATCAACAAAATCAAAGCAAAATAGATTAGTAATTAAAAAAAAGGATTTCATAAAATCCTATAGAAGGAATTCTGTTAAAAAGCTAAAATGAATTGATCATATATTCAGATAAAACGGTCTATTAATTTGATCTATAGGATCAGAAAAAGCCAATCTAAGTTTACGATACGTAATATCCTATCATAAATTTGCTTATTGATGATACAAAAAAAATATTAATTCATATGGAAAAATAAATATTGATAGTAAATGATAAACTAAAATATTTAGATGAAATTTAAAAAAAGATTTTTTAAAATCACATAACTATTCATTCATATTGTAAGATTTATAGTAATTTGATATATTATAATAAAGATGAGAATAAACTTGTAAAATGCTAGATAGTAAATAAAATAGCGTTGCATTCATCTACTAAATTATAATTATCTGGTCTGAATTTATTATCGATTAAACTGATTAAATGTGAAATCAAAGATGAAGGTTAATTTTTTTTACTTGCATTTTCAAGCGGGCTTATATAAAAGTATGAATTGAATTCAATGGATAAAATAAATGAATATTAGCTCTGTAAAACAGAATGCTCATAAATATCATTAGAAAATGATTATTGTTATGGAATTTCAGAAAAAAATCTTTATTTCATGAAATACTCTAATGGTGTTACTTAAAAAATTTGTACTTCTTAAAGTGATATTATTTAATGTGCATGTTTTATTAATGAATAAAGTAATTTATAGAAAATTTTAGTTTTGCAATAAGATAATGTACCAATTTTATTAATATTAGAAATTATTTAAATATTCAACTAAGGGGGATAAAATTAAGTAAAGACAAGCAAAAATTAAAGATGTGACTTCTTTATTAGGTTATATTGAATCAAATTAACCAAATAATCAAAATTAAAAAAAATAATCTAAGTGTTATTTAGGATTTAAAGATGGATAAATTATGGGTTTTAATATCGATTGATTTTTTTTTATATTTAAAAATATGAAACTTTTTTAAATTCTACAATGAATCCCCTAATACCAACCTATTAAATAAATAGAGATATTGAAGAATAAAATCACATCAAGAAGAAAATGGATTAATCAAAATCTATCATAATGAGTATATTACTTAATATTAGATAAGTAACCTAACAATAAATTAAAAATGTAAAAGTATTTTTGTGAAAAATCAGAATAATAAATGAAAAATCTCTACTTTATATTTTAACCTTATAGACCAATACATAGAACTAAGTCTATTCTCTTATAGACTTTTGATATATATATCTTATTTATATTGATTCTCTTTATTTAAAATTTTTATTTTATTTATATATAATTAAAGCATCCAATACATATTGTTTTAATTAAACTACAATCAAATATTATTTCAATAATACAAAATATTAATAAGAGATTTAGATTTATCAATAATACATTAAATCTTTAAATTATATTCATATAAATGATGATACGATAAATTTATTAAAAGATAAAAGAACCTTTTAAATTAATATAAATTTATTTTGTTTTGATATAATAATCAATTTAAAATAAATGATTTTGAATAAATCAATTTTATAAATAATATAATACAACATTTTAATTTCATTGAGATTTTAAATTAAAAATAGCATTTAATAGTACTTCCAATTCATCTTTCTTTATAGGTTTTGGTAGAAAAGAATATATTCCCATTTTTTATCCTTTCTCAAAATTCTCCTTTGTATCATATGCAGAACAAATTACTATCATAGATTATTATTATGTTAGTTCAAGAATCTAAATAAATATAAAGAATTTACCTATTTACTAGCTTAAAATCCATCCAACCCTGGCATTTCTATATCCATAAAAATTAATTTATAAATTTAACAATGTTATTATAGTTTAGTTTTTACTTTTTCTATTGCTTAAAATCCATCAAAGGCTTGGTCTGCTATAATATTATGATGATTAAGAATCATTTTCAGAGCTATTTAATTAAATGGAATATCATCAACTATTAGAACATGCGTACAATTTAAACAAATATTACTTTATTTAATTATATTCTAATGTACAATTTAATGTGAAAAATAATTAGGACTATTTGGTAAAAAGATAACAGATTATTCATCTTTATCATTCAATCTTGATGTATTATTATATGAACTAGATTATTATTCAAAACTTTCAACATTTTAAATTTTTTAATTTGATAAACTTGATTTAAAGATTATTTGATCATCAGATTTACGTTCACTAAATGTATACTAATTTCCTATTTAATTAAATCTACCTGTTTATTATGAATTAGGATGTGATGATGCATAAATATTTTATTATTTATTTTGTATTTGAAATTATATTACTGTTCCTTTATTTTCTTTTGAAAAAATACGAAGTTAATTATCATTAGAATTTATTAAACCTTTTACTAATTTTGAAGCAATAGTTAGACCTAATCCTGGTCTATTATATTCTGTATTTTATTTTAGAATTGCGCCAAAATCTTAAATATCACGCAATCTATTTTAGATTTCAAGTAATCTATTTTTTTTAATACCAATTCCGTTATCCTTAACTTTAATATTTATAAAACAGTTTTCAACTTCTGTAAAATTAATTTTAACAAAACCTCCTTCTTAAGTGAACTTTATAGCATTATTTAACAAATTTATAAGTATCTAAAATATTCTTTATTTATCATTATATATCATTATATTTGTTAAAATTTAAGTTGCCTTAATCTTAAACTTAATATTTTTATGAGACATTTATTATTTATATAAAGATTCTATATCAGCAATTATTGATTATAATTAAAATGTTGTGTAATGATAAGAAAATTAATTAGTTTAAATTGCAGCATAATCTAAAATATCATTTATTTAATTAGTTAGTAATGAAATCGAACATTAAGCTAGATCTAATTATTCTAAGAAATTTTTTGTTTTATTTCCATTTCTCATAAGAGTTAACATTTATTAACAGCTATTCAAAGGAGTTCTTAATTCATGTGAGAAAGATTTAATAAGACTATGATGTATAATCTATTAATCTTTCAAATTTTAATAATGATGTTTGTTAGAGATATTTTTTATTATTATGAGTAAAACATTAGGTTCTTATTCATTTCCTTATAAGCAGTTTTTTGTTGAAAATTTAACTTATGAAGGAGAAGGAAAGTATTCTTATTAAATATTGATCATTGTTGTAGGAATAATTATCAATTTTATCTTTTTAGTCTATTTTTCTTAAATTATGTTAGATTTAAAAAGCCATTCATAAATAAATAACTATTAATTGAATGATTTCTGATTTATTTCTTTATTATTACTTGATTCATCATTTAAATCTAAATTCTTATAATATTTAAAAGGTTAAAGTATAATATCAAATACATCAATATAAAGATTTTTACTTTGTAAATTTCGAACTATTTATTTTAAAACATCTTAATTAAATAGAGGCTTCTTTTTTTTATCAATATGACTGTTTGATGATGAGGAATCTTGAATATTTTCTTCCATTTTTGCATCATTAACACAACTTCTTATTTTTTCCAATACCATTTCTGCTCCTTAACACTCTAATATTTTTTCACACTTATTATTTATGTATGTAATTTATTATTGTTAATTCAACATCAAAATTCCATATGGATATAGATTTATTAAATTTTGATAAAATTGAAGTAATGAGTTTTCTTAATATAATAATGTTTTATTAAATTATTTAGATTTTGAAAGACTTGTTAAATTTGAATATTGACTAAGTTTCTAATCACTAGGTAACTCTTTTAATAGACTAAAACTATTCTTTGCTGATTATACGTTTGAATTTTAGCTTTAAGATTTTATCTCTGCTTATATTGTTTTATTTAACTAAACAAAAGGAGATTCCTTTTAATTGTTTTTATTTTATTAACAATCAATCAACTTATTTTCAAAATTCTAATCTAACTTCGTCAATTCAATATCTTTTTTAATTAGAATATGAATGGAAACTATAATTATTATAACTAAGCATTCTATTGAAAAATAACTGAATGATTCTATCAATTCCCATATTATTTTACACATCAAATAACAAGGTATTCCAAATTTACAAATATAACTAAATTTCTAAACAGCTAATTTCAGATATTCTGTATAAGTAATAAATAACAAAAGACTAATAATAAAATTATCTAATTAATGAGTTGGTGCTAAAATTTAGTAAGATTCTATTTAAATTATAGAATACAAAAGGGTTATAACATGTACAATTAACTTTTGTTCTTTATTTTACAAAATCAAAATAGTCTAAATAATTTTCAATAATAGGCTGCCAATTTGCAAAAAACAAAGTAAATAATTTATTGGTTTATGCATTTATATAGCTTATATTATCCACCATGAACTTTGAATTATATTAGTCCCAAAAATTAATTTAATACCTGATTGTCCAGTTTTGTTCTTAAACATAGATTAAATTATTATTAATATCATTCAATTATGAATAAAAAATGTCAATTATAAATGTACATTAAAAAAAATTGATATTTGAATTTCAAATCATTAATTATCATAACTTAAATTTTTTTCTCATATTAACATTTTCATCTCGAAAATTTTCTTGATTTGGAGGTAACATTTTAAAAAAAAGTAAAATAATTAAGAAATAGAACTTCCACATAAAAATATAATTTATGAAAAAGAAAATGCTTTATATTTTCAGGATAAATATATTAAATAAAAATATAAATATATGTTTTTCGTTAATATTTTAGACTGCCTCAAACTATTTCACTAAAAAAAATATAAAAATGATGTACTTAAACTTTTATAAAACCTTAATTTGATTTTATTTTTTTTAGAATAAATGATTTGATTAGTAAATAAAAAAAATAATATTAATATAATTTATATAATACTGTAATGTCTAAAAAAACCTAATATTAAAATTTTATTTTAACTAATTTATTTTGAAGATTTAAATCAAATATAGTTAGTAAAATAAGAAAATTATAAGCTGTTACTAAACAAATATCAACAACCCCCTTTGAAATCAATTTTGATTAGAAAATGAAATTCCAAATGTTTTACTGATATTTATATCTAATAGTTTTATTCACAATTATATTACCATAAATAAACTGACAATAATTATGAAATTCTAAGTTTATTACTTATTTTTATAATGGACTTTTTCAAAATACTATAAGAGTTGAAGGACATTTTTTCTCATATAATAGCATCATTGTATTTCTAATGAAAAAGGTATAAGCAAATAAGAATGCATAAAACATAAAGGAAATTTCGAGGCAAATTTATAATTTAAAATCAAAATTTTTTTTTCTTTTTATCATAAAATGTCTTAAGGCAAAATCTTGGAGAAAGTAATTGAAGAATTCTAGAGATACATTAGTAGAAATTAAAAGTTAATTGTATTTCTATTTGAAAACATTCAATTTTTATTTTAATGTTAATTTTTGTTTCTCTATTTTAAGTTCAATCTGAGCCCAATATTTATTTTTGAGATATTTAATTAAAATTAAAGTTTTTCAAGAGTGTAGATAAATTTAGATAAAACTCTCTAAAGCTAATAAAATATAGATCTTATATTCATAATAAATGTATTTCCTTTTCCGATGAGAATATTTATTTAGCCTCATATAAAATAAAATATAATTCAAAAATAGTATTAATATTAATGAAAACTTCTAATTTTTTACATCATCATTTGTTTAGAAGATTGCATAGATATGATTTTGCTAAGCAAAAAATTGTATTGAAATTCATAATTATGTTAACTATTGCATTTCTAGATATCCTATTTTTAAATGTGATAAAATAATTGAATAACTTTTTAAGAAGAGTAATTCATATCCTTTTGACAAATTAATCATCATAAATTTAAAATTTACACTTTAGGATTTGATGAATAAATATTATTTAAAAAAATATAAATTTATTATAGTTAGTTATAAAATTATAATTCTACAACCTTGAGTCAATAAAAAGAACAAAAAAGATGTAAATAATATGAAATACATAAACTTGAAGGACATTGATTATTTATAATGATGATTATAAATATTATTGTGAAACAATAAAAATAAAGTAATAAAATAAATTTTTTTTGAATAATTAATGATGGATAAATACAAATATGGTATTTCATTTGACTCATGAGCTAGCACAATCATTATATAGATCTAAGAATTATAAACACTCTTTTATAACAACCTAATTATGTTGTAGAGTTAAAGTTCAGCATATATGGGAGTAGACAAATCTAAATGATGAATCTGAAACAGTAAAAAGTGCAGGCTTGTTATGTAGATATGATGATAAAGGAATAATAAAATTCATCAAAAGAGTTGTTGATTCAGCTGATACTTATACATATGAATAATAGAAATGGTTATAGAATGCAATTCAAAAAATATATTATGAATCAGATTAAGAATTATCTCTTCATGAAATTCGTTTTGTGATAAAAGAAATTCAAAAAGAACATGAGAATAGCAATAAAACAAAGACTATTAGTTGTCTATAACTTTTGTGTTAGATATTACTTTGTCTAGGTCGAATAGATGAAGCTTTATCAATTTGGCCATCTTTTATTGGATTAGAACCCACTTCTTTAATTGGATATCAAAAATAAGGTATTTATTAAAGAATTTAATAACAAGCATAACTATTGGCTAAGTTAAAAAATGAAGAATAAAGTATTGATGTTTGGAATCTATATTTAAGCAATAATAAACAAGAAGAGTTTACATATTGTCAATAAAAATGTATATTTTCAAATAATTTATAGCTTAGTTCCTTTTTATTCAATTAGATAGAATGTAAGAAGCAGTTTAAGTATGGAATGATTATATTTTAAAAAATCCTAATTATCTTGATGCATATGTCAATAAAGGTATATATTAATGAATAGTAAATGTTTTTATTAGCTGATCTATTACATTAAATGTTTGATATTGATGGAGCATTAGAAGTTTATGAAGATTATATAAAGAAACATTAAAATGATTATAAAGGTTATAGAATTAAAGGTAAAATACTATTCTCTACAATAAAGCTGATTTTCTTGTTTCTTTGAATTAATTTGATGATGCAATAGAGGTTTGGGAAAGATATTTACAATTATTTCCAAAAGATAAAAAAGCTTATGAAAAAATGGGTAATTTCTATATAATTATCAAAAGTGATGGTTGTTAATCTAAAATACTAATGATATATGCACATAAATTATTTTATTATTTATAATTAAGAATTAAAGTTATAATCAAATTATATTATTATAAAACAAAATAATTTTTATATATCACATTTAATTATTTTGAATCAATATAACCAACTAAATATTAGTTTAATTCTATTTTTTATGTTTTAATTTTATATTAAATCTAAAGGAATAAGTACTAATATCTATCTAAGTGATCTCATCTTTTTTTATTACAAAAATATCCATATTATACAAATACTCAACATAAATATGAAATAGCTAAAAATTTAATTTTAATTTTACATAAATCCTAATATTATATAATATATTTCCATTAAATTTATTATTTTTTCAGCAATGTTTTAGTTATCTATTTAAAATAAAGTTAAAAAATCCAAAAAAGTATTTTATGTGTCACTAAAATATTAAAGAAAGTAATTTTGAAAATACTGGCTTTCAATTGTAAAGGCGTTTTCATCTTTACTATTATAATGAAGCTGATTTAATTCATTATAAAATTCCTAATCTATATATTTAATTAGAGAAGCAGTATAACCTAAAATGCCATTTGAAATTAAATTATGTATTGAATCCAAGCTAAAAACTTATAATTCTATAATACTTAGAATAAGGAAGATTTTATTTAGAAGGATCACAAGACTTAATTTCTTCCCAATGTTTTATTTGGCATATATCATCATTCAAGAAACTATCAAATGGACTATTTTAATTATTTTTATTAGCATTTTCTAAGATTGTAGTTGATACTTCGTTAATTATTAATAGTAATTAACTTTTGCATTCTTAAAACAATTCTATAGTTTCAGTTTAATTTATAAATGAAAGATTATTATTTGGTAATAAATTCTCAGTTTTTATAAAACCTCCTAAAATACTTGTAATATCCATCTTTATTCTAAATTCCCCATATCTTAGAGTAGCTTTTAAGGATGGTTAAAAATTCTCATGATTCTTAACAAATAATAAATAACTTGTTAGCAAATAAGAAATCCAAAAAATTATTAAACATATGATAACAATATAATTAAGTTTCGTAAAATGTTAAGTTTTATTAATTCTTGATGTTAAAGAGGATTCTGAATTACTTTGTTTGCCAAAAGTTTCAATTTATTTCTATTTCTAATTCTTTTTTTTTGAATTCTAAGTCATAATTTAAGAAAAGTCTTCAATTTTCCAATTATTTTAATTCTTTTCATCTAAAATTGATTTAAGAGCCATAAATTTTATAATTTAATCAACTGCTTAATTTTCATTTAAAGAAGAAACTAATAATAAGATAGATTTTTAAAGTTTATCAATAAAATTCCAGTATTTTACTTGTATTACTATTAAAAACAATACAAGAAACAATTCGATGAGGATAAGATTTTTAAAATTAAATTCTATTTAGTTTTAAGATAAAATTGTATCTTCTATTAATTCAATAACAAAAGTATTAATTTATTTTGCCATTTAAATAAAATTTAATCTAATAAATCCTGATGTATATAATTGATCATAATATGGAGTAGGAGAATTAAGATTTATTCTGTAAGTATGTTCAATAGCTTCATTTAACATAATGTAAAAATCTTGGATATTATAAGTAAAAGTACTAAAAATATTATTTTAGAAATATTTAATTTCAAAATCTTAAATTCCTTACCTTTAAGCTAGTTTTGGAACATTAATATTTAATTTTTTTAAATAGATTCTTCCATTCTAAAACATAGTATTTAATGTCTCATTATTTCTTTATTTTATAAACTAAGATATGTTAATTATATTTTATTATTGTAATTAAATCGACCAAAGCTAATAAATTACTGAGGAATAAAAATAAGTTATATTTTATGGTTCTATTAAATTCATTACTTCTGATGATTATTATTCAAGATTTTTCAGAACCATCATATTATTAATCAATGAAATAACAACTATAGAGATTAAAATTAATGCCAAAATAAATGAGATTTTTTACAAAGGTAAAATAATTTGAGTTTTCGAATATATTTATTCAACCAAGTATTAGGTTTCCTTTTAAGTTGAACAAACTGATGATCTTGAAGGATTGGATGCAAAATCATTGTTCTCTTATATTTGATTTTTAAAATATTATAGTTTCTCTCTTAAGTGTGATTTACTTTTACTTTTTTCATCTTTTTTTTTACTAAAATTTAGATCTGTTTTAGAAATTTTCTACTTCTTAAACTTAAATAATCAATTAAATAATTACTTATTCATTATGATCATTTAAATCAATATCTTCAATATTATAATTTTCTGAACATTTGGATTTCAATACTAAAGGTCCTGCATAAATATCTACTTAAGCTTGAGTTTCAGGGGATCTTAATTGAATCTGATTTTTAATTAAATGCTATTCAAAACTTTAATTTGCGCTACTTAAACATAAGTATTCATTTTCCTTCTAAATCTCAGGTATGTCGTCGTTTATGGCTTTAAATTCTTATTTTGCTTCATTAATTGCTTCATATTGCTCCTATTTTTTTAAAAAAGCTAATGATTAAGTTAACTTAACATTTTATTGTATTTTTTCCTCTTGAACCTCAGATTTGATGTTTTTTTCAAATAGAACAGAATTAGAAATCATCTACTAAGTTGATAATACTTTATAATCTGTTAAAATTAACAAAAAATATCCAACTTTTTTTTTTTGGGTTTAAAAAGTATTAAACTGTAAATCATATTAAAGTGCTAATTGAAATTAAGATTTTTAAATATCTCCAAAATCTACAATTTCAATTAATTATTATTATAACTATGGTTAAAGTAATATAATAGGAATTCCATCAATATTATCATTCCAATCTAATAATTACAAATCATTAACTTTTTATCGATCCTTACTTAAATCAAATCTTTATTTAAGAGTCGAAAAATATTAATTTCTATATTTATTTGAATACTCATTAGTATTTTGAATTTTAAAAGGTTCTAATAAATTTTAGGTTTACGTTAAACACATTCGATGATTATTAGGAATTACCCAAGTAGATTTTAAATTACTTAGCATAAAAGATTTTGTTTTTTAATACTGTTTTACTAATAGTTCAACTTACAACATTATATTTGGAATATAATATTATATTAATGGATTTTTTTCTAAAAATGACCTTACATTTGATTACTCTTTTTAATTGTTCAATTTTTTTTCACATTTAAAAATTTTCATAAAATGATAATTAGATTTAGCAGCATTTTCATAAAACTATTAAGTAATACCATGAATAGAACCATCAACTCCAAATATTATCATTTGATTTTATTGAACTTTACTCATAATTATGTTCATGATAAAATCATTATTATCTATATCATAATGAGGATAAATGCTTATGAAACAAGGTTCAATATATCCTTCTGAATTTTAAATATAGGTTTTTCGACTTTAATTTTGAGTTTATGCAAAACCATAATTGATAAATCTATCTATGAGATCATCATGTATAATTCCTAAAAATGATGGCATTAATTAAGAACAATGTTTTATATACTTAAGATTATCTTCTTTTTCCTCTAAAAATAATGAGAGCTTTTTTGTGTCTAAATTAATAAATTATCCTCTATTATTTATTATACTAGATTAAAATATAAATATTCTATCTTTTGATATTTTTTATAATTACTTTAGATTAACTGAATACTGCTTAATGGTTCATCTTATCTAAATCTTTCATTTTTCAAATATTCTTCTATTTTTCTTTCAATTTTAAAAGATAAATATTAATTATTATATATCGCTGAATAATAAAGTTGAATTATTCTCATACTTAAAGACTCTTAGATCTCTGAATTTTTTAGCCTTTCATTAATCATATCATATTTTTGGTTCATTAATTATTTACATTATATAATATTTTCAGAAAGAGATAAAGCTTCATTAAAATAAGTTTCAATATTTTAATATCCCTTTATTAAATGATGATAAAAGCTTATTTTTTACATTATTACTTTTTCAAAACTTGGAAATAATTATTCTTAAGAAAAATAACACTCATAAACTATCTTAGTTTTTAATTTAATTTAATTATTCTCTTTTTTATGAAAAAATAATTGCTTTTAAAATATTTCAAGCAATAAATCACTTTATTTTCTTAAGTATTTAATTAAATTTCTAGATGTCCCTATAAAATATAAATTTCTAGTTTATATTTTCAATAACTTAATTAAGGATTTTATTGGGTATTTTTCTGATAGATAATAGCAAAACTGGATAAGATAATTCAAATCAGAATTCTCATTTATGATATTTTTAAATAAACAATAAATAATTTTAGAAGGTAACTAACATTTTACACATTTATGCATATTGAAAGCAATCTAACAAATAATTTGATTTTCTTAAGAATTAGGTTTATTTAATGCCATATCAATTAACTTAAAGTTAAATAAAATTATACCTATAATGTAATAATATTTGCTTGATTTTCAGTTGTTATATAATATGATCTAATTTTCTATGTAATTTAGGTTATGATAGATAGAAAAATCGAAACTATTAATAAATATTCACAAACTGCAAATTCAAAAAATAAAGCGAAAATTGTTACTATCGAAACTACTTTGATCAAAACATGAATATAGCAGTTTTTTTTATTAAGTTATTATATGATAGATATTGCTTATTTTAAAAAAACTAAGATCACTCTTACAATTTATAATTATTTATAAACTTTCAGCATTATTGCAAGTATAATAATTATTTCTTTAAATAAATTAGACATCATTTAATTTTCTAAAAGCATTATATTATTATCGCCATTTAAAGTTTGCGATCTTAAAAAATATAAATGAACTAATTTTATAAAAATACAAAAGGAAAAGTTGACAACGCATGAAATTATCAAAAATATTCCTTTTGATTCTTAACTAAAGATGTGGTAATTCTCTGTAGTTGTTTCATAAAATATAAGAAAACAAGAATATATTACTGGTATATAAATCAATGAGGAATAATATATTAAAAAATAGTGTAAAATTTGAAATGAGATAGAGCTTTCCTTATCTTCTGTTATCAAATTCCATACAAAAAGTAAAGTAAAAGCAATATGTCCAAAAAAAATTAAATAAGAAATCAATTCAAAGCAAATAAGAGAGTTTTCATCAAAAGCCAAACAAAATCTAGCAAATTTAAAAACGACACTAAATTTTATAAATTTCTTTCAATACTTTAATTCTTTATTTTAACTCAAGCTTGAATCAAGTGTAATACTTATCTCTTAAGATTTAAAAATAATCGATAAAATAATTTCAATGCTTAGCATAGTATTGTGAATTGAAGATGCATGAATACATTTACACACTAATTGTGAAGCCTTTATGATTTTTTTTCTAATCATAAATATTTATCAAAACTAATAAAGTTAATAATATCAACTGAAAATTTTAAAAATGATATTTTACAATAAAGAAAGGGAAATAGAAATTAATTTAGATTATATTTATATAAAAACTCTATTTTTTAAGTAAAGCTTTCAATATTAAGTAAAGATTATTAGCAGAATAAAACCAAATAAAAATATTTTATTAAATTAATTGTCCCAATTTATTTAACAAAAATATTCTTTGTCTAAAAATAATTTTATTTTTATTATAAAAGAAGTTTGGGTGAGATATTTAAAAAAAGTAAAGTTAAAGACCAAAATATGGTGAAATTTAACATTGTTCTCTTTTCGATCAGAAATATAATTATCAAAATAATTTTTATATCATAATTAATATTAATATTTTTTAGTTAATTTATTAGATATATTGTATTCTAGATATATGAAAATAAATTATCATAAAAATAATTGATAACATTAAAGGAAACCAAAATAAACATAAATTATCATTATAAAATATAAAAAGCTATCAGCATTATAAACTGAAGATAATAAAATGAATTAGAAAACAGAAAAAAAAAATAAAGAATATAATTCTTGAAGATGTACTTTTTTCTATATATTTAAAATATAAAGGGACTCATCTCAATTTTTGGCATGTGTATTTTACCAATAGGTTTTTGATTTTTCAATGTCTGGTTTAATGGTGGCTTATCCTGGTTTCCAAGAGGCTGGACATACTTCTCCATGTTTTTCAACATATTAGAATGCTTACAATAATCTTAAATATTCATCTACATTTCTAAAATTAGAGTTTTATTATACCTTCCTACAGGAGCATCATTAATTGAAGCGTGACGTAAATTTTAATTACCATCAATTAAGAATGTTCCTCTAAGTGAAAGTCCACTATCTGTTAGAACTCCATAATCTGAAGAGATTTGTTTGGTCAAATCAGATAAAAGAAGAATATCCAATCCTCCTAATCCTCCATCAGCCTTTGGCTTTTTCACATATTCAGCATGTGAATAAACTGAATCCACTGAACATCCAAGGACTTCACAATTGTTCTCTCTAAATGATTTAGCTAATTTAGAGAATTAGATAATTTCTGTGGGACATACAAAAGTGAAATTTAATGGATAGAAGAAAAGTAATACATACTTACCTTTGAAATCAGTTAATTAAACTTATTCAATAGCATTTTTAAGAGGATTCCTAAAGAATTAATCAATAAATGGTACCATGCATTTGTTTTAAAGAATGGGGCTGCTTTTTAGATTATTGCTTTTCCTGACATTTTATGATTTGGAATAATTAATGATTAATTGAGATTATTCCTAAATAATTTAAATACCTCAGACATTCTCCAATTCTAGAATTACTTAATTTCTATGCTAATACCATAAATATTAAAAAGTCAAAGAAAAGCAATACCTTATAATCGTAATAAAATTATTCAATAATAAATTAAATGTCAATAACTCATGAGTAATTGAGGAAGTATTCCTATAATCGATGGAAGAATTCTTCACAACCTATATAGGAAATAACTTAAAAAAGAAAATAAAGTGATCCAGAAATAGCACAGCTACATAATGAGATACCTGTGTAATTTGAAAAATCAAATACATAAATTCATTTATCTTTAGAATAACCTATTGAAGATCAAATGATTGCCTCTGATTTAATATAAATTACTAATCAATTTGATCCAAATCAAGCAATTTCAAAAACGTCAAATTTAAATAAATCTGAAAAAAATAAAATATTTCAACCACTTCTAAATAATAATCCTTTTCATTAGTCCATTAAAATTTCAAATTAAAAGGGAAACAATTTTACTATTCAAGAACAATTTAACATAAGAATTGATCCTAAATTATAAACTAAGATAAATAAATCTATTTAAAAAAATGAAGACTCTATTAAGTAAACAAATCAATAAGTTCTTCCAAATTAACATCTTTTTCTTTAAACCAATTAAATTTCCCAATATATTGAAATATCTCAATAAGTTGATGAATAAAATGAATTCAAAGAAGAAGCTTAAAAATTTCAATTTTAAGAATTATTAGAAAGTAATAAGCAAATGTAAATCTAATCTGAATTTTTATCATCTAAACCTAAAAATGAAGATTAAGAATAACAATTTCCATAAATTGTATAAATGGATATTGATTTTAATAAAGATGAATATCTAAAGATAATTTATGATTATATAGAATTTATTAAAATGACAGAATATACCGATGTTTAATTAATTGAAAATGAAATATTAAAGTAATAACATATAACCTCATAAAAATAATTTATGCTCAGAATTGAACCTCTTATTATCAATATGCTATTTGAAGAAATACCAAATAATCCTTTTTAAAAACAATCAGATTTACAAAATTAATCTATAGATTATGCAGATTTTTATGATAAACTTAAGAGTTATAGAACCTAGTTAGAATAAGATTTGTATGTACCAAATTTAAGTTAATTTATGCATTTCTAATTATCCTAGTAAACTCTTAATTTTTTACAATTAAAAAGATAATAAATTAAATGGACTCCTTCACTTTTTAAATCATTGTAAAGAAGTAGGAATGTTTTAATTACTATTTTTTAAATTTATAATCAAATTAAACAATCTGATATTTTATTATTTGATGCTGATATTGATGCTTTTAAAATTTAATTAAAGTAAATAGATTTTAATGAAATTAACATTTTTTAAAATCTATTCAGAAAATATTAAACTAAAACACTTAAAAGATTAAACGATTTAAAATAAATCAATTAGAAAATATAGAAAAATAAATCCATAATGATTTTATCATAAACAGAACATTAAAATATGAATTAATTATTTTAAACCTAACTGGAAGAGTTTAGATATTAATTAAAAGAAAACTAAAACGAATCACCTATAGAGTTTAGATAAGCTATGAGTCTAATAAAATAATTCAACAAGTATGCCATAATTAAATTTTAGTATTTAATCATTGTATATCCAGATAAAATAGTTAGAAAAGAACTTTGAGAAAGATAATAAATATTATGTTCCAATTGAATTTCAATCAGAAAAAGAAATGATGAAAATCTTTGATTTAATGTACATTAATCTAAAACATGAAATCTTGAAAACAAAAAAATTAATAACATTACCTATAGGAAAATTTAGTTGGGAACACCAAATTTAAGAAGAAGAAGAAGCTTTAAAAACTATAAAAAATAGATTTTGCCTTCTAAAACAATTTTATGAATAATCCATATAAAAATATAAAACTGAATATTAATTTATTAGATAATTAAAAAAAGGGTAAATTACAATCAGTGAAAATATTAACTCATTAGAATAATACCTATATTTTAAATAAAATATTTACAATAAGAGTATAAGTATGTTCTCATATCCAAAAATACACTTTTAACAAATTGCGATTTCAACTTTGATTTATCGTGATCTCTTTGTATAAACAAATAATAAAATTGTTGCTATTCAATAACTTAATAAATATTAATTTATTGAAGAATTATAATTAATTTTATCAGATCAAAATTATCCTGATGTCAAATAAAGATTAATGGAAATGAAAAATAAGCTCAATTATTTAAAATTTTCTAAATTAATTCAAGATGAGATTGAATTATTACTTTCTTATATTAATAAGGCTTTATGTTATTTCCCTTATGATTTAATGAATATCTTTATTAAAACAAAAACTTATGAAGAAATTGAATTAGAATTAGGAGATATTGAATAATTTGAAGCTTTAGAAAATTCAAATATGTAAACTCAATCTTAAGAACTATTTGAAATATTTAAAACATTTTTTGAATCTAAAATATAGCATTAATTTGATGAAATATTTATTCAATTATATGAAATGAGTAAGGATCAACATAGTGATTGGAATCCAATAAAATTAGGAAAAAGAATAGATTTATTATATGAATATAAGAGACAAGATTTAGAAGATAATCCATATATCAAAAAAGAATTGATAGATTAAATTATTGATTATCCTGATTTACGATATCTATTTTAGGAAGGAAGACTGCTTTTTATTTAATTAAGAGAATTAATTGAAGAAGAGAAAGAATTTGAAAAAAATAATTAAAAAATTTTAACTTTGATTTAAGATTTTGAAGCACCAGAAGGTTTAGATTTTGCTTTGATAGATCTGAAGCCTTTATTAAATTTTCATAAAAATCTGAAAAAAATAGATAAATATATGCAATTAAAAAATGAAATTATTAATTTAGGATTAATATTACAATAAGAATATAGCTATTACTTATTATCTTGTCAAAATAAAATAAAAAAGTTATTTGATTGTTTTGAATTGAAAATAAATTCTTTAGATAAACAGATTCTTGATAATATTCTATTTAAACCTATAAACTAAAATGTTAAAATTCCTATATATGAATTACATACATACTTTAATTTTTGTTATACAGATTTTTAATCTATCAAAATTTAAAGGTTTGCAAATAATAAATAAAGAAACATTATACTATTTACAAATAAGCCAAATGAAAATTATGATGAAGATATTGATATAGTATTACAGGTATTTTATAATAAATCTAAGGTTCACAATATTGGAATCTATGTTGATCAATAACTAAGTTTTTAATGTGAATGATGTTTATGTTATCTATTTACTATTTTATTAGATAAAATTGTAAAAAGAAAGTTTTCCTTTAAGTTATATAAAATAAATAACAATAATTTATAGTATTTAAAATTTAATTTATGAATAATAAACTATTCCTAAGTTTGTTAAGATAATTCAATAGAACAAAATTCAGAAATGAAAAATCAATTATAGCAGATCTTAGTTTAAATGTGCATGGAGATACTCAACTAAATTAGATTGTCAAAAAAAATATTGCATTAATTCGTTCATATAAAAGTTTGTTAACAATTTTGGATTACAATTAATTTTAGGCTGAATAGAATAATGTTATAAAGCGATTATAAAGCGAATTTGATGATAGAGCAATATATGGATTTAATTGCTCTAATGAATTATTTATAAAATTTTTAGGAAAAGTTCTTGAGAAAAGTAATTTAATTAAATAGATTTAGATTGTTGGAACAATGAATTTGACGAATGGCTATTAATTTATTTGAAAAATAATACTATCAAAATGAGTTAATCCTTTGCTCAATAATTAAAAAAAGCATTATAAAATTACAATAAAAGTGAAAATTTTGAGTAAATTTTGGATGATCATATTTAATATATTGAAAAATTGAAATAATTAATATGATATGTAAATGAATCAAGATTTTTAGGCAATGCATTTTCTTTAGCAAGGTCTTTGCTCAATCTACATACATGTTTCATGACAAATTTATTTGTGCTAATCTGTGTTTGCAGTCAATTTATATGAATTAAGACATTTTTTGGTGCAATTAATTAATTAATCTTGACAATCTCTTAAACAATCAGCAGACACAAGAATAATTATCCAACAGAGCAATAACACTTAATTCATTTTAATTTCAATAAATATTTAAATTTTATAAATTTATTGCAATAATTAATATTTTCTTGCAATAAAAAAAAAAAGAAAATATAAATTAAAAATATTTGTTATTGAAATAATGTTTTTAAATTGTAAATGAATACAATAAATGACAATAGTGGTTTCATTTTTATTTTAAACCTAATGATAATATCCTTTATCTTGGATACTTAATAAAATTTATGTATAATAAGTACTTTTATTTTATTAGGTAATCCAAAATTTAATGCTTTAAATTTGTTTTACCCTGTTGATGCATTTTGTAAATCTTTTTCTGCTTCAACTAGTATAGTATTCTTTTTAAATAATGCTGAGTTCTTTTCTCTTGACTTTTATCTTGAGGTGACTCTAGATGATTGTCTTGATTTTTTAAATTAATTTTTTTCATTATTTAAGATTGCTAAAAACTTATCAAGATTTTCTCTTGTTTTATTGATCTCTTAAGTAAGATTAATTTTTAATTACGATAAATCTGATCTATAATATAAATTGTATAAATATTTACGATCTTACATTGTCGGTTGCACTTAAGTCTTAAGTTTAATTTGTGTAAAATCTTTTTTTACTTATATTTTTAACTTTTTCCTAAAAAATAAAATATTTATAATGTTTACTAATCTTTTAAATTTGAGTTCTTTTTCTTGGAATCTTTTCATTTATAATAATTAAGCATGATCAACTGACTGAATATTTTTAATTTGATCCTCTTCATTTTCATCTTCATTTTATTCTTATTTGATATTTCTATAGCAACAATCTTCTAGAGTAAGAAGATTGACGCATTATTTATGTTTTTAATAATTATTGAAATTATCAGATTCTATCTTATCAATAATTTCTTCTCTCAAAACACAATAATTCATATATTGTATCATTTAAGGAAAACTTAAAGGAACAAAAGTTAATTGTTGTTCAGGGTTAATTTGATTGATTTCATAATCTTCTCTAATTTTCTTCATTAATTAGACAAACACTAAAGATAATAAAAAAAAATGATACTATCTAAAGCTTCTTAATTTTAAAGAGCTTATTTAAAATCTGTCCAATTTAATTTATCTATAGTTTGTAATAATTGATACCATCTTCATCTTCATCTATGCTTTTAAAAAATAGTTTGAGTTTGGACTTAGTAATATTAATTCCATATTTAATGAACATATCATATAATTCAGATCTATCTAGAAATTCTTATAAGTTTTGAGTAATGAATAATACTTGATTTATCTCTATCAATTGATTTAAAAACTGCTTTCATCATGATTTATTCTTTGAGTTCTGAATCATAAAGAATGTATTTATCTTTAACTCTTGATTTATAGCGATTTCTTAACCATTTAATGGTATCGAAAGTTTTGAGATTATAATTCATAAATTTTATTGTACGATTATAGATAATGAATATCATTTTTTTGCTTATTGTGCTGCCAAATCTTCGTCCATTTGTTTAAGTTAAGCACCACCTCTGAGAAGACCTGATCTTCTAGCAGCAACAAGACCGACTTTTTGACCAGGAGGAGCATATCTTGAAAGTGTGGATGGATGACCAATATGTTATTAGTTACCACCACCATGAGGATGGTCAACTGGATTCATAGCCACACCTCTAACTTTAGGCCAGCATTTTCTAAGTCTTCTATATTTATGGAATTATCTTCCTGCTTTGAGTATTGGTTTCTCAGTTCTTCCTCCTCCAGCAATTAATCCTATAATTAATTCATAAAAATTACCTACTGTGGCTCTGCAAAGAGCACTAAGTGTTTTTCTGGTACCAGATGGTAATCTAACTCTAGTTGTTGTTCCATCATCTGAATGACCAATAATGGTGGCATAACATCCTGTTGCTCTTCCCAAAGCACCTTTATCTCCTGGGTGTTCTTCCAAATTGCAAACAACTGTACCCTCTGGAATTTAACCAATAGGAAGAACATTTCCTGTTGCCAATTAAGCTATGATGATTCAAAATATAAATGTTACCTTTAGCTCCGCAATAAATGTATTAGCCAGTATATGATCCTTCAGGAGCAATGAAGAGCTTAGTGATTTTAGAATACTTATATGGGTCTTTGAATTCGACCTCAGCAAGTGGTGCTCCTCTTCCTGGATCATGACGAATAGCAGTAATCACACCTCTGACATAGCCATGTCTTTCAGCATAATCAAGATGTCTGTATTATGGAGATCCTATTCTTTAATTTTAATGTGCTTTGAAAACACTGTTTGATTTTCCCTTTCTTTATGCTCTGATTCTCTTACCCATTTTTAAAAAGATTTTAAAATTTATTTTAATTGGCAGTGATAAATTCTTTAATAAACATCATTAATTCTAAAAACCTTATTTCTAAGCCATATCTATAAATTTAATCATGATCAAGATAAGATTAGCAACTTTCTTCAGAGTATATTTGTTTTTCTTTTTTTAAATAACTAATTTCTATTCTCCTTGTAATTTCACTTTGTCTTTTTGCAATTCTTCAACCATAAAAACTTAAATAATACAATATCTTATTACCATTACATATAAAACAAGTTGTTCTGAATTTACATTATTTTGGAAAGAAATTCTACCAATCATCTATTTCTGTTCCCATATTTAACGATATAGCCTTCAATCCTTTTTATTTTAAGAATCTTAAATATATATCTTCAATTCTAGTTTCTGTATCAACTCCTAATCCCCAATTTAATCCACAATATTCACAGAAGGGTTTTGTAATCTTTTCAAGTAATCCTCCTATGTATTTAATTGCTATTTTCATATTTCTTGATCTATATAACCAATATTTAAGTATTGCTTTTGTGGCTTCGCTCATGTTATCCACACGTTTATTGAATTTTTATGGAGAAGCTCTAGCCAGTTCTATTCTTGAAGAATTTTTAGCAAATTATCTGAAATTCCAAGCATTATCAAATCCAGCAACAGGATCTTCTTCATTCTTTTTTTCTAATAGACCATAGATTGAATTAAATTTATCCAAAATTATTTTTCTTTTTGATTTTAAAGTTTTTGGAGTTAAACTATTTATTAATACTAATATATACATTAATTAGATATTATCTGCTAACCACTATTTATTAGAAGTAACAAATAGATTTTTGAAATGTTCATTAGTAAGATCTTGGAAATTGTTATTGATTTCTGAAAGTCTTTCAGTCTATTCTCTAAATTCTATAGCTAATTTCCAATTGGGAATAAATAGTTTTGGTCCTGAAGGAATTTGAGTACTTGATACTTTATCAATATCGTCAATAGAAGACATAACTTATTCATCTTGAGGTGAGACTCTATTAGAGATATCCCAGATTTTTAATTTTTTTCCAATTTCAATAAAAAGATGATGGAGAAAGAAAGCAACAACAACCCAGAAGAATATAATAAAAATAAGAGCTTAATGAATTAAAAATAAGATACCTTCATCGTTAAATATGTTATATTAATTGACATAGATAATGTGTGAACCAAAAATAACCATCTATATGGCACAAACTTATAAAGTGGTAATAAAGTAAAATTAAGATGAATAACACCATTCTAAAATTATAGAGTTAAATAATTATTACAATCAAGTGTACGGAAACAGTTTTCACAATTTAAATCATTTTGAAATTCACTTGCTTTCCAAAAGAGATTTCTATTTCTAAATCTTTCTCTTGTACTTTTAATATAAGTTAAAAAATCCAGTTGATGATATTGTTCAACTAAATTGTATCCAAAAGTGTCAATTATTATTTAAAAAGGAATCAAAATGATGGTCCATAAAAAGTAATAGATAAATTCACTTTTATTGATCTGATAATCAGCCAACAAATTGGATTCATCATAAAAAAACCACATAATAGTAGTAATAAATGGATTGAATACCAAAGTGATGATATCATCAGCAAAATTAGAGAAATAATCAATCAAATCAGTTTGATCTTCATTATCTGCTGGTAATTCTAAGTGGGTACCTTAATCTTCATTATATTTTTAGAATGCTTTGTGATGCTGTTCAAGTAAATAAGTTCTGAATTTATATTCAAATTCATCTTAATCATCTTTGGTAAATGAATTCTCATGATTATTTGATGAAATCTTATTACTTATTAAGGATTCATCATCTGAAGCTAGATTCTCCTTTCCATCATCTGAAAACACAATATCTGAATCAGAATCATCCTCGTTAGATTTTAGTACATTCTAAATTTCTACTAATTTTTCATCTTCCAATTCATAATCTTCTTCTTCTTCATCTAATAATCTTTTCAGCATTTTATACACCTTATCAAATTGTTATTCCAATTCTTCAGTTACATAATCTTAAATCTTAATCACATAAGCTCTTTCTACCATCTCAATACCCTTATCAACAATAGTGGACAACAAGAATTCATAAAATGTTGGATTACCCATTGTAGCTACATTGATATAAGTACTAAATATTATTACAATTGGACTAGAAATCAAATTATTATCGAAATAAACTTCCAAAATGTATTCTAAAATCATTTGGAAGATTTTAAGAAATATTTGAAACATATATGCATTGTTTTCAAAAAGAGTAGAGTAAGAGAATTGAGTCATAATTAATATAATTGTTGTGATAAAAGCAAGGCAATAAAAAATACGACTACGTTTCCATAGTCTCACATTCTTAACATTTCCATTATAATCTTCTTCAGGATTGATTTTTGGAACATAAATTCCACTAATGAAATAAATAATATATAATCCTACTGTAATCATTGCAATTCCACAACGAGAATTTCTTAATAATACAAATTCATCGCTTGTATATTTTTATTAGTTCTTAAACAAATCAAAAAATACTACCATACATCCATCATCCGACTCAGAATAAGGAGTCAACTTACAACTCAAACTTAAATCTGTATTCCATATCTTTCCTGCCATTATTATAGATATTAAGATATGGACTGTTAAAGCAGGAATAAATGCCAAAAATATACCATATAAACTACTGATCCAAAATATTCTAACATAAATCAACAAATTAATCTTTGGTCTTGGTCTATTCCTATTGGTTATGTAATGATAAAATAGATAAATAGCCATTTCCATTGTTAAAATAGCTCCAATAATCATGTACAAAATGAAATAGACTGGCCATTCAAGGGCGAAATTATTAACAAGTTATCCTTGTGTCATAGATATAAAGTTGAATATCAAATTATATCTTATTTCGGCTTTTCCTGCTTTCTAATCTTCGCTCAATTTATAAAAATTTGTAAAAGTCACTGATCCTGTGATTATCCTCTTTTATGTTTAAGTAACTTAATAATAGTGAATATCTAGATTAACTTCCAATGGCATCATTCCACTAGGTATTGAATTTGTTGTTTGGATCTCTACTACTTAACTAAATGGTACTTCATAATCTGAATCGAAGTCATTTGGATCCAAAGGGTCTGCCTAAATATAGAATAGTGTTTCTTATTCATTCAATTCAAACCATCTCGGTAAGCGAGGATTTATGTTATATTTTTCATCCATAATACAATACAATTGTAAATTATTGCATTCATCACTTATAGGTCTCATACTAAATTTAAATGGATTTATTGCTTCAGTTTCTCTCTCACTATATAATGTACAATTTTTGTGTTGAATCAATTAGTATAAATATATATATTATCCAAATCCTTGACAATTTGAAAAATAGGGAAGATACGGAATAACTATTTGATTTCTATCTCCCCAATATTTTGATTATGGAGAGTATGTTGTGTATGAATTCTATTAAAAAAAATTATTAGATGAATAAGATATTAAGTGATCTTGATAATCAAATTGATTTAAAGGCAAAATGTTTGCAGGCAGTGCTATCTCATCATTCTTCGATAATATGAAAACAAAAATATTATTTTTATTCGTAATTGCTGTTTTTGGTTCAATATTCTAAACTTTTGTTGTATTCATAAATTAGTATTTTTAAACATAAAATTCTTAGGAATTTAACTAAAATAAAATCTAAAATGTCAGCGTCTTAAATGCAAATATTATAAATTTAAAATCACTTACTTTTTCAACATCACTCTATTCAAATATATGAGGCAATTCAATTATATTATCATTTAAATTTAAATTGATGTTCCAATCATCTTAAGCATAATTAAATTAATAGATTCCTTCTTCGTCGGTATATTTGTTTAAATGCCTGAGATCAATTATCAACTCAGTTAAAGTGAATGCATTCAATGTATATTTGGTAATATATTAATTTGCTCCTTTTATTGATTGATTTGTCTCATCTTAAGTGCTAGGTTTGAATTATTCATTTACAAAGTTAAGAGGATTTACATCTCCTTAATGTTATATTGATTCAACTAAATCTATACAAAAATAAAGCCAAACTAATAATAAAGTTATTGTTTTCATTTGATATATTGTTTTTTTATTAATATTAATTTCTTCAATCAAAAAAACTATATAATTTTTATAGAATAAATTCTATATAATTTATTGATAAGGTATAAATTAATTTTAATTTTTTAAGTGGTTTAGGTCGAGTTTAGGTCTTTTTAAATTTATCAAAGATAGCAAAATAATGTCACAGGTTTCAATTTTCAAAAAAAATTTGAAGAAACTTAATTAGAAAAATAATAAATTTTAAAAATGATCAAAATAATCATAAATTTTTTTCAAACTCATACAAAGCATCATTATGTATTTAAGCCTAAAATAATAATATCTAATATACATCATGTTCATGAATTTAGAATTGCCAAAAGCGATTATATTCATCTTCCTTTTCCTCTTATGCATAATCATGTTTTTATTTTGTATTTATTTCCTTCTCAATATTTATATCTATTTCTTTTTTTTATTGAGTATTAGATTATTATTATGATTCTTTTTATTAATCTTAACCTTCTTTAGGTACTTCATCAAATTAGAATTCTTAACCTTCTTTAGGTACTTCATCAAATTAGAATTCTTATTATTTTTATTATTCTTTTGATTAATTTGGTTATTCTTAATTCCATGAAAAATTACCCCATTCTTATTACTATACATTCACTGAATTATTTTCTTCACTAACACTTATTTTAAAAGCATCAAATATATTAGATAGATTTTGAGAATTTGTATCATTTTATATTTTTTCTTCAGAATTGGAATTTTAAAAGGTGTCATATTTTGGTTAAATGTCTTCTTTATTAAAATCAACATCTTCACTATAATCAGCTCTTGTATGACCCCCTAATTCATGATTATTTAGCCTTTCAGCCTTATCAAAATATTATTTCTTAAATTTCTTCCATGATTCTTTTTCTAATTCAGATTACAATAATGGATATTTGGGTGAAAACTCTTTCAAAAAATGAGCCAATTTAGTTACAAAACCCAAATATTCCTTTCTTTAATTTTAATTGTTAATCACTTCTGTAGTACATTTCAATAAAAATTAAATAAAATCATTTTGATTGAATAACTAATTATTTTAAATATTTTACATTTTAAACTAGATTATCCAATTTTTATTCAATTATATGAACTAAGAATCTATAGTATTACAAATGCAATATATCATGTTTTTCATATTTGATAAATAATTAGTTATATACTTTAAAGATATCTTATTCTTATAATTTATCAACAAAGGATTATTGATTCAAACTAATACACACACCAATAATTTCAAGTAATTTAATTTTATGTTATCCAAAGATAGGATTAGTAGATTATAATAAAAATTCTAACCATTTATGTAAATGAGATTCTATTACATTGAATAACTCTTATTAATCTACTTAGAAAATTGCACTTTCGGTTGGATCACCTTATCTCGTAATTATTTTGTAATGTAAAATTAATAGATTATATAATGCAGTTCCTGAGGCAAGAGATACAAAATTAGATTCATGAACAATAGATCGACAAAACAAATCTATTGAATCTTTATATAAGAAATCAAAAAGAGGTTATGCTTTATTAATTAAATATGCTTTCAATGTGATCTCTTAAATGATATGAGATACGTTAGTAGATACCTAATTAAAGATTATTTATACTTCAAAATTTGAATTATCAATAATTCTTTCAACTACTCCTCTTAATAATTCAATTCTTTAAGGTGTATAATCAATTGTAGTCTCCTATTCAATTGTTAATAAACGAATCACAAGTTCTGAAACTGAACGAGATTAAAGTTATCTAATTAATCTAAATGTCAAATTTTGATAATTATAAAATTCAGCAAGAAAGATATCAGTACGCATTTTTAATAGGTTAAATAATACATTACATACATATCCTGCTAAAACTGGATTTATATCTTAATCTGAAACAAAAAATTAAAATAATTTATGCAATAGAGATCTATTAATATTTTAATTGATACTTATCTTCTCCAAAAAATTACTCTAAAATCTTAGGATTTTCACAACATACTAACAATTCACATGAATAAAATGGATATCGAAAAGCTCTTTTTGAATTTGAATCATCCGCTGGCATCTCAGTTAAATAACTCACTAATTCATCCACTTGTTATTTTTGCATACTACGTATTAATCTATATCTTACTAATCCATTAATTTCTAATTTTGATTTCTGAATTCCCCAATTATTTAATCATCATCTAACAATGTAGTCAATTATAAGTCTGTATTATCAAAATGGCGATCGAATCCATTTTCTTTCATTAACATACCAAATTGAGTCCAAAATTGAGCACTATTTTTAATTCTTATACTCTTACCCTATATTCATCGTAAGAATTAATTTTAATAATGGAATAATAATCTAATTACTTTTTGAATTAAATTCAACATCAAATAGAGTTTACTTTTAGTAATCATTAAACAAATAAAATGATCTTATATTTATTACTTTTAGTTTTAAATAAAAAATATTTCAAATTTTCTCTGAGTACATAATATTATTTCTTTGATAACCCTTAATTTGTTTATTCATACAATATAAAAATCAAATTTAAATTATTATAACAATTATTAATAATCAATCAAATTATCAAAATCACCTTAAAATTCGAAATGATTTAGAATCAATTAAATAAGGATTATACTTAAATGTTATCTTAATATTGTAATCATTCTTTTCAGCAGCAATGTCAATATTTTTATATTACAAATCAACATTAAAAATTAACATATTTTATTTCAATATTAAATCTTTTATCTTACTTTAGAAAGTCTAAAAATTTACATTACATTTTTAAAAAATATTATTTTTTATATTTGTGTTAATTTTTAATTTAATTTTAGATCAAGAAGGATAGAATTATAAATTATATTGATAAATATAAATCTAAACCTATTTAAACTTTATAAATGAGATTAATTTATTTATTGATTCAAACATATACATTAAGTGTATAATTAATTAATATATATGTTTAAAAAAAGACTTAAACTTATTGATTTTAAACCAAATACTAACTTTACAATTCATTTTTTTTTTCTCAAAGTAGGTACTCTTAAAGTAGGTGCATTATCTTAATTTTGAATTTCAATTTGTTATTATTAATCTTATTTTTATATTAATTATTATTATTAGACTGTTTATTTTAATTAGAAATTAGTCTCTTATGAAATAGTTAAAGTAGGAGGACAAGATAGTCTTCTTAAGAGTTTAAAAACTTTTTTAGATTATTTTAAAGTCTTCAATTAATGAATTCTAATAAAACATTCTGAATTTTCAGGCTTAAATCCAATTCTTAAAATATCATCAAAATATCCTTTGAGATACCAATTATCCATTTAAATAGAACTAAATGGTCCTAAAATAAAAAAATAAAAAATAATACCCTAAACTTTTAAGTAATCATCTACATAATACCATATTTTTGAAAGTAAATGATTAGCCTATCCAGGAGTACTTTTACTAAAAATAGTTTCTTTTTTAATGCTTTATAATTATTGTTAGCTCCAATCAAAAGTATTAGATTATTTTGGTTAAGGAGTAAGAATTTATTATTCATCAAATCTAAATAAATCACCTCCACCACTTTAATATACACCAGCTGTTTTGAGAGGAGTAGCACAATTACTTGAATAAACAAGAATTTCTAAATTGAATAATTAAGTAAACCTTGATTAAAACCACGTATAGGACGAGCTTAATATGGATTTTGACTTAAAGCTTTAAAAGCTTATGGGTATTATTAACATAATGTTTTAAAGGTTTCAGGCATTTATTCAAAAGGCTTTTATCGATAATGAGCAACAAGCTATGCTCTAGAAAGTTTTTATTACATTTTATATAAATAAATTATGAGAATATACTTATTTCTTTTATTTAAAACAAAATGAAGAACAAAATTTATAAAATATATTTTATATTAAATTTGTTATTTACTTTCAAGAATCTATGTCTATCATTTTTAAGACTCCTCTAATCTATTCATTATCATCAATGTTATCAAGAGAAAAAGACTTTTTTCTCATCAAATCCTTCAATTCTTCGGAATCTTAAATAATTTAATAAATAAATTACCAGTACGTTCGAGAATTGAAACTAGAGCTGTTTAATAATGAACACTCCTATTTTTACATTCAATAACATTATCACATTCTGGCTCATATTAAAAACTATTTTATAAATTATGACCAAGCCATTATTATTGATCATTTAAATTTTCTTATGATTTCTAAGTTCTTTAGGAATTATGTAAACTTCTTTCTCTAACCTTAAATACATTCTAAATGATTCTATTTCTAGGAACAATCTTAAACATTCTAGATTAAGAGAATTATTCATTAAATCTATACAATAATAACAATTAATTAACCTTCTCTCTTATATGTGATGATAAAAAGAACAATCTTATTTGTTGCAATTTTAATTGATGCATTATTTTGTTCTAAATAAAATAGGATGATATTCGAGTTCTTTCCATCCATGACATTTTGAACAACTAAAAGCATCTGGACATCCAGAACTGTATTCTGTGATATATTCATTTGCATTCCAGTTTTAACATGATTACGGATAGTAATTGTATAATTATGGTTTCCTTCTAAAATCTTGCCAATTATGAGCATAAACACATAATGATTTATCATGTTAGGTCAAATTAAATGGACACCAAACAGTTTTATAATAGAAGATGAAGAAATCATCATCGTATTCTAAATTATGAATGAGTTCAATAGTAATGTCAGCTTCTGAATGAGCAAATGAACAGAATTTACCGTAATCGCATTACTAAATATGATTAGGATAAAAGGAGCAAAATTTAGTTTTGTAATTGTCAATTCTATATAACTATTCAACTCTATTATGAGCTCTATTACAATTATCTCCATATGGACATATTGAATTATGTTCTATGTATTTGCATAAATCAGCTGAATATTCTACTCCAATTCTATAAACATTTATAATAATTAAATACCTTTTACGATCCTTTCCATAATGATAGAATGGACAATGTTTATGATTATGATTACCTATAAGTTTGCAAGGATGGATTTTAAAGAATTCCAAATCTAAATGTTCAACTTTTATTTATGATTATATTTGTTGACTGAAACCTAAATTATTATGAGTTACATCTGTAGTTTCTAAACATAATATATTATATATTAACCTGTCTCATTTAATTTTATATTTTTCTCATTCTTCAAACCACAATTCATACTTAACATTCCTTTGGGTATATTTGGATGCATCTAATTATGAACTTCTTTTTTTCTATTTCCATAACATTTATTATTTGAATTGAATTTCTTAGAATCATTCCTCATTTAAGCATGAGGAATTTACATAAATTAATAAATTATGAACTTATAAAACACTTAGACATGAAATATCAAATATATAAAATATATTCTAAATCAACTCATATATTACATTTACATTTCTAATAAGAATTCAAAAAGAATTTAAATGATCAATTAATTAAATTTAATAACTCAAAACATTATACCTTAATCTAATAATATTACTAAATATGTTAATCAAGAAAACAAATACTATCAACCTAGATTAGGTACAATGGAATGAAATCAAAAATAAAAATCTAAATCCAACTATTCCATCTTAGGACTAAAATAATAGTCAGTCTTGTAATAAAACAATTCTTTGTTAAAGGTTTGAATACAATCAAATTGGAAATTATACTCTTATAAAAGATTTAAATAAAACAGGTAGAATTTCAGGCTATATTATTCTAAAAGAACATACATTTTTATTCAGCCATTACCAAATGAAATTTGTAATAGACTGTCTTTTTTCAAAAGATTTATAATTATGTGTTATCATTGCATCTCAAAATATTTTTATTTATCAATTGGTAAATTTTAAATTGTAAGTAAATCAATATATTGATTTGGGTTAAGGATATAAATATGGAGTAATCACTTCGGATTCAAAATATTTAATTATAAATACTCATGAAAACACAATCATTTTATATTGTTTATAAAAACTAACATAAATTCTTACTATTTACTAATATAAACCAAATTTCAACTAAATTTTTGTTTCTAAAACAAATAATGTAATGTTTTCAATTAAGTTTGGATCACCATTTATCAAAAGATGGATTATAGAAGATGATAAAATAAAACTTCAATCTTAATTTTATCTCAATCATACATACACTATAAGTTATATTACAAAACATTATATTTTGATTAGAAAACAATTTGGATCATTTGAGAGTATGTATTGCATATTTTCAAATCTAAATAGATAAAGAAAACTAATAAGAACAATAAAGAGTTCTTTTTTTGAAAATTTATAAATAGATCCAAATTGTGATTCTAATATTTTGATTGATAATGGAAATAAATTATAATTTTAAGTTTAATACAAAATTTATTCATTGTAAACAGGACATTTTAAATAGGCTTCGTAAAACTATAATAAATTACATTGTAAACCTGGGATAGAGATATCTGAGAATTAAATAAAAATTGAATATTTTGAATTTGAAACTTAAGATTGATAGTGTTATATATGATTTCTATATTTAAATGAACTTATTAAATATTAATACGTTTTAAATATTAAGTAATGAATCAGAATTATTTATGAATCCAAACAAGTCTTCTTAAGGAATGGAATAATCCAATTAATTTAGACTTTGAAGTTGTATTCTAAAAATAATATTAATAAAAATATACTTTTTGATTGACAGTTTCAAGCATTTGTAACTTAAGAGATAATGCTTTTGCTCTTCTAATAGGAAACCAAGAATAATCGCAAGCTAATTATTTAGCTCTTATATAATTATCAACACCATTATTAAAATCTGATTGCTTCATTCTCAAATAACACATGTAAAATAAATAATTCCAAATATTATGTTCAACTTTAATATGATGCCAGAATCCTGTATTTTAACTAGTTTTATCAAAAACAAGCCTATCAATGCCACAAATAAAACATTTATGATTTTAATCTTTTTCTTTTTATTTTTGAACTGATCTTAATTCAGAATAAGAAATTATAATAACAGCCAATAATACATTGATAATGAACAATTTTATGATGATATTAATGATATTGTCATAAAAGAATCTTCCAAAATAATTATTGAAATTACTCATATATATTTCTTCAGCTTCTTATCCGATATTTTCCATAAACCTACCTCCTACAGATCCATCTGTCTTAAATGTCCAATCAAAAGTTACATAAACACATTACCATAAATGACTACAAAGATTCTAATTTTTATCAGTAACAAAAAATTCAAAGAAATAAACATAAGATATCAAAGCTACCCAATATTCAAATAAAACAATTGTAAACCATAATCCAATAAATTTAAATTTAGCTAACCATACAGCCTTTAAAATAGGTATGAGTGGTTCCAAATATAAAATATGAATTAAATGAAATGCTAAAAAAAATGGATGAATTGTTATTCCAACAATATTAAATGCTATCTACAAAATATAGTATATGATGTCGAAATCAATAACAAGAACAATTATTGAGATTAGCACCTTTATTAAACCAGAAATCACATGTCCAATTAATGAAGATGCATGCCAAGCATTCCAAACAAATTATAATTTAACAGGGGCTTTGTCAATGAGATAAAAGAACAAAACCATAAAACTAAAAAATTATCATCATATATTTTACTTTATTGAAAGATTTAAATATGCCAAAATCATTAAATAATATTTAGTATTTGTGTTATTGTAATCCTCTAAGAATCTTGGCTCATTTAATCTGAAATATTAAATTACACCAAGATCTTTTGGTTAATATCCAGGAGGAAATGCTAATTAAGTATAACTTAAAATTATTATTAAATTTATTAAAAATCCATTATAAAATGCTAATTGCATCCATAATTTACCTCTTCTTGCAAGAATTTCCAAAAATTTATGTTTCTTAAAATAATCTCTAAGAGCTTCTTAATGTAACATAAATTTATAAGCAGAATCTACAAAATTAACAAGACTAATTATTTTTGTTTTTGTACTTGTTCTATCTGCTTAATCCAAAAACTTTTTCTTTATTTCTTGTCTTAACAAGTAAAAACAAGGTAATTTTGGAAAATATGTCAAATAAAGTACTTCATCTTTTACAAATTCAACTTGTAATGTATTCATTTTGTAAAATTAAAATGCTTTATGCATCATTTCATGTTTTTTTATTATATTCATTTTTTCTTCTGCTTAACCTCTTAATTACTATTTTATTTAATTTAATTATTCTAAACCATGTTACATTAAGGATTAACCTAATCGTGATAATTCATTTAATATATTATCTTTCAAAAAATCTTAAACTAATTAACCTTCATCATCTTTTTTTGAGAATTCTTCAACATCTTCAACTACATAATTTAGTTCTGACAAAATTACATATAAAATATATGCATTAAATCCACTTTCCAATATAAAATTTGGTTAATTTACAAATATTAACTTTGAATAATCTTCTTCACCAAACAAATTTACCATTTAATGATAAACACTAACGAAATGTTATATTAAAACAGTCTTTGGAACTATTTTCTTTAATTTCTATATTATATAGTCATCTTTTGTATTAATTTCAGCAACAACCAGTAAAATTATTAAACATTAGTGTTTTAATTAATTTATTTATACATTATCTAATGATTATTTTAAAGATGAATCATTTAATACTTTGATTGAGAATTCAACAAATTTAGAATTAGCTACTAATATTTAATTTGGTCGACATGCATATACTTATGATTTTATTGTTTTTATGCATTATATTAATTATTCATAATTATTTTTAATATCTAAAGAGCATAAGTAATTAATTGTTTATTAAACAAGATCATATGATTTTTTATTGTTCTTCTAATAACGCATCAAATTTTATAATTCTTTATTATTATCATTACACATTAATTCCATAATTTCTAATACTAAAGTACTAATTTTTAAATCCTATTCTATTGTTAAAAGCATTTCCATTTTTTAAAAGAATTTATCACTAGAAATAGCAAGACTTAAAAATGTTAAGGTTGATTTTTAAACTTATTTACAAATCATAAGTTCTTTAATTAAAATCAATAATTAAATAATGTAGTCATTTTCACTTTCATTTTCTTCCCAAATTAATGTTAAAATAACTTTAGTTCCACCTAATTAATCAAGTATTTTAATTCTATTTTAATCAATTTTAATTATTTGAATTAGCAATTTAATTGCAAAAATAGCACTTTATTTTGAAGCTTTATTTGATTTCCAAAATTAAACAAATGACAGCATTTTTAAAATTATATCATCGTTACTTAAAATTAATTCTCTTTTTTCTTTATCTTACCAAAAATCATTAGTAAACATATCACTAACATGCCAAATTGATTAAGCTAATTAATCAGTTTCAGTCCATTCTTTTATTTTTGGATTATTATCAAATAATTTTTTAAAGAATTCCCAAAGTTCTAAATCATTACAACCTTAATCAGATCCATCACTACCTTCAGTTGCTTGATATTCTTCAAATTTCTCTGTTTTGAAAGTTTCTCCATTTATATCACTCATTAATCCTTCATTATCATCTGAATCTGATTCACTTTTTTCATCTGGAACTTTTAAATCAAAAGCTTTTACTAATCTATGAACTTAATATTTAGTAGATGAATCACTATTTTTTGTTAATTGAGAATATTGTTTTAAAACACTCAAAGCATAACTTCTAATCTATGGTATATCTGTCTTGAATGAATTTTTCTTATTTGTATACTCATTATAAGTATTTACTAAAGGTAATAACGCATCTATAATATAATTTTTAGCAGAAATTTATAAAAATTCTTACTATTCAAGCCAAGATGCTTCTATACTTATAATTTATAAAAAGTAACTATCATGAGTTAATAATAACTTTTTCTTCTTCTTTGATAAAGTAAATATAATTTTACAAATAACAAATTTAATCTTATATTATTAATATAAAATTTACTTTTGTAATACTTTCTTATAATTCTAAATCTAAATTTGTATTTCTCATTTCATGGGTTTTCTCCAAAAAATAAGATGTTAAATCTGTAAAATCCAAAACTTCTAATATTTTTACTGATAAGGCTGCTCGATCATCATGTATTAATACAACTTCAATAATTTTTAAGAAACTCTATCGAAATTCTTCAATATTTGGTTAATTTGGGTAGAATTTTTGAAAATTATAATTATCTTAAAAAGGCTATTAATTATTATATTAATTTTTACATTGATATCTTTAGACTCACATTACACTAAAGCTTAATAAATGTCTTTATATAGAGATTGACATTACTTATTTCTAACTATGGATGTAAATAATTCTATAAATGATTGATATTTTCCATAAAGTTTCACATATTCCAATAATTAATATAAATCACTAGAATTCACCAAAGGTAGTAAATTATGATTATTTGAAAATAATTCATTAATTAACTCTATCTATCCTAAATTCACCATATTATATCTTAATAATGGTCTTGCTAATTTAATTAGAACATATCTATTATATATAATTATTTATATTACTCCTAATTTTATTAATCATTTCTAACAGCCAAACCTATTAATCTAAGGCATGCTTAAAATATTTATAATATTTTTTCAGCTAATTCTTATTAATATTATTTCTATTCATCATATTCTATTAATTCAAAACTGCATTCAAAGATATCCATATTTACATCTATTACAGATAAACATTTAACTATTAATTAATGAACAACCTAATAACCACCACAATTTAAAAATATTTTTCTAACTGATTTTTCATTGATTTCATTTTTTGAAATTATTGTATAAATTTCTACTAATTTCTCTAATACTTTTTCTATTGTTTCTTCATTCTTTTCATTTAATGCTATTGGAATGTCAAGACGTAACCAAATTTAAGAATTTTATACATTATTTTTAAGCTTTTAAACCAATATATACATAGTTCTATAAATGATCTACAAATTATTTGTCATTATCATTTATATTTACTTTAAGTAATTACAAAATTCAGATCTTTAATTTTAAAATCTTTCAATTAATTCAACAAAATGATTTTATAATACATGATCATTAGCAAAATAGAAACCTTTCAATAATACTTCAATAAATGGACGATCTATTATTCTATCAAAATGTCTAATTCTATTTAATTAAACATGATCTTTAATTCCTCTTTATTAAAACTTTTTTTATCCTGGTTTTAAGAGATCTTCTCTCAATAATCCTAATAAAGAAGATAAATATTTCTTTCTATAATAAACTATATGATTTTATAAATTAGATTTATTTTCTACTGAATCATGCAATTGTTATTTTTCAGAATTTGTAGATTTCTTAGAAACAGAGGGTAAAAAAATATTTGTAAAAAAAGCAATTGCATTATCAATCATAAAATCTAATCTCATATCTAAAAGATATTAAAATATTTTGCATATTTCTATTTTTATTTCTATTTCATAATCTGATGTATTAGTTTAAGCACTAAAAGTTTTATTGTAAAATCTATTTAATACTCGCTTTACATTCTAAAGTTTTCTTAGAAGAGGATCTCTAATAGTTTCAATGCTATTTTTATTTATTTTCTTTTATTCAGCTTTCCTAAAAAACTTTAATGATTAAATTTTAATTATTTTAGCTAATTTTTCATTAACATTCTTTAATTTAAATTTTGAATGTGCTTTCTAATAATCATAGTCATATTCAAGTAATAATGATAATTATTAAATAAGTGTTTCTAAAATTAATTCAATGTCTTTAGGATCATCCATTCTTTACTTACTCATTTCATCATTTTATTTAGAAAACGATCCAAATTATAATAACATAAATAAAATTCTCATTATTTATAAAGTTAGAAGATTGTAAACTTTTTATGGTTATTATAGATGAAGATTCTTAACCATTTATGTTAAATAAGAACTTAATATCTCTTTAAATTAAACAATGACATAATTTAAAGATTTAGTTTCTAATTCTACTTTTTCAAATATTCCATCATCATCTTCAAAAAACATATTGTCAAAAAATGTTTGACTATTATTTATATTTACTCTAATTAAAGTTGGTTTGACTTAAGAAATTAAAGGATCTCTATCTAAATAAATATTTTTGCATAAAGCAATCAAATGAGCTCTTAATTCTGGATCTAGATCTATTTAACTATTATTTAATAAAGGTACTAATGAATTATCACTAAATTGATCTCCAAAATATTTAATTGAATCATAATTTCTAGATAAACATAATTAAGAATATAAAAAGAATTAAGCTTTTAAAAAATTAAGTTCTTCTTAAAAATGAGGATTAGAATTTTTATGAGCATGTTCAAAATATGCTTCAAATTTAATAGAAACTGGTCCCATCTTACCATTACATGAAACAATAATATTTTTATCTTCATCTACAACACATTTCATTAAAGTTATATTCTTTTTCTTATTTATTAATGTCTTAAATATCATTTCTTGATTTGCAAATATAGCTTCTACTCCAAAAGAACAACACACTGCTAAGAAATGCAAAATTTCAGTTTTTTAACTATTTGGAATATCAGTAGTTTTTTTTTTGGCTGCAGGATTTAATGATACTTTCTCTGTCAACCATTCTAGAATAAATGTTGTTTTATTTGGTTTATTAGATGAAACTATTTAATTAATAATAATGAATATTTACTTTTTCTAATTTTAGAAAGTTCTTCTAAAAAAAAACGATTCTTACTAACTAAATTATTTAGAATTCCTATAAATTCAGGGTATAATATTATATGATTATGAAGGATGGGTAAAAACTAAAAAAAGCAATTCTAATTTTCAATATTGTCTTTACATATCTAATAATATAGATTGTTATAATATACAATGTTTATAGTTTCAATTAATTATACTTATAGTATTTTAATTTACTAACGATAATAACTTATTATTCTCCCTTCATCTCTGTCAGCTCTACTAATATTTTTGGTTATTTAATAAAACTTTTCCTCTTTTTCAAAGTAATCTTTATCATTTTAAGCTATTGGATCAACAAATTCTGGTTTTAACATTTAAAATAATAAACAAATTAGTGGAAATAAAGGTTCTTATCTAAAAGACTAAAATTTCATAAATATTTATATATTACATCTTGTCTAATGAATGAGATTTGATTATATTTTTGATTTGGAGATAAATTAGAAATTAATTTATTCATCAAAAAATCGCTTACATAAATTAATACTTGTTTAAGTTTTTAATAAATAAAATAAAACTTAATTTTTAATCTAATTTCTCCTTCTTTATTTTTTATATCATATTAAGAACATTTAATTTCTTAATCATAAATTTCTTATATTAATTCAATTGCTTCTATAAAAATTTTAACAGAATATTATAATAACTTAGTTTCTGTGTCTTCATATTCTCCAATTTTTCTTAATCTTAAAATATTAATGTTTCTATTTTCTTATTAATTATTTTAATCTTCTAAAAACTCTCCAGATTAATAATGTTGAATTTTAAAATAAGAATCTTTTTTTAATAGTTTTTATCCTTGATCTATTGGTATTAACATAAATAATGATAATTTACTTAATTGATTTGTTAATATTGGATTACCATTTAATAATTCTAAATATCTAGATGATTAATTATGTTTAAATCTCACCAATTAATAAAATAATATTTATCCACCTTATCCGTTAGTTTTTTCAATTTTCCAATATGAACTACTTTAAAGTTTTTGAATTCTCTTCATACCTATTCTTTCTATTACATCATCAAATGTCACTTTTAGATCTTCATATATTATTTTAGAAAGAGTCAATGAAGTTAATTAATTTTAAAGTCTTTTAATTTAATACTCAGCTATTTCATGAAATGTATCATATGGTTATTTTGCATTCAAAAATAACTTAAATAATATTATGAATGATATACATTAGTTTCACTTAAATTAAGTGCAATTAGATCACCTGCATATAAGAAATCTTCATTTTCTTATAATGTACTATATAAATTCATTTTTAAATAAGTGGGATTTGTTTATGTAGATGATACTTATTCAGTTGAATCCTTAGAAATTAATCGTAAATAACATTTTCTATTTTAAATTGATTTCGCAGCACAAAGAGTTACAGTCTCTTAATCTAATATGCAGGATATCTATTTCTGATATTAATAAACTGGTTAGAAATGTAATACAGTATACTCAGAAGGGAATTCAACTAATTGAATAGATTCTTAATCTATCATTACAAATCGTAGAGAATCTTTATGAACTAAATGAAAAGTGGATGTTCCAAATAGTAATGAAGTGTCTTGTAGTTTTTGGAAGCATGAAAGATTGGCCATCATTTCTTCATCAAGATTGTTTTCATAACATTTTATAGTCTGTTGTCTAGATTATATTGTGGATTCTATGATGCTCAATTAAACTACCCTTTTTATTGATTTCTTTGTCAATGTCATTTCTAACTAACTCTACTAATTTGCCAACCCAAAAGTGATTGAGAACAGGTATGATCATAAAAATGCATTTTTCAAAGTTCAGAATCTCATTCTAATGAGTCACCTTATGAACTAATAAATTATCATTAAGTTAGTCAGTAGAAAGGTAAGTCTCGTTTTCTGTACATAAGGACAACGATATTTGACATCCATAAGTAATCTTTTTTAGCATTATATATAATTATTGATCAATTAAAATAAATGTTATTATAAATAAACATGTATTTAGATCAACTAAATTATCATACATTCATCATTTCATTTTATAATTCATTTTCTACTTCTTTATTTATCATATCATTCTAAAAATTTATTATTTATGTATATTCATTTCTTATTTTCAATAAACATTCTAAACATTCTAAACATTTTAATGATTTTAATCATTCTAATCATTTTAATCATTCTAAATTTAAAATGAAAACTAAAATTATTATTATTCTTAAGTTCTATTTATATATCCAAATACTCAAAATTATCTAAACACTTTAGAATATAATATAAATTCAATAAATATTAATATCCTTTATTCAATTAAATATTATCAAAACCTAATAATCTTTATAAAGAATTTCAATTTTGATAAATTATATGACCTCAATAAAAAGACGACAGAATAATTTACAATTACTAATGAATTGAATTTTAGAATAAATAATAAGAATTTTATATTACTATTTAAGATGAATCAGCATATACTCACTTTGATTTCATCATTATTGTAACCTAAATCTTTCAAAAACATTATTTTTTTTTATTTTCTAAATGGAAAAATAAAATAAAAGGACTTTGATTAGTAAAATAGAAATTATAGATTTTACTTAAATATAGAATATTCTATAAATTCATTGAGATATCCATACTCTGATTATTCATAATATTAAATGTATATTACAGATTTCAAAGATATTGAATCAAAACGTGTTAAGGAAAGACTAGTTGAAAGTGCCTATTCTAAAGTTTAGATCTGGAGGAAAATTTTTCTGGAAGGTTTAATCAATGAATAAGGAGAAAAATAATATTATACATTAAATGAAGCTTCTAATTTTGTAGGCATTCCTAAAAAGACTTTGGAAGACTATACTCAAATCTTTCATAAAGTGGAATTAATAGCATCTGTATATGATTTCTAAGGAAAGAAGATGGGATTCTTAAGACAATTTATAAGAAAAAATAAATCAAAAATTAGAAAAGCCTTATTTGCTGAAAGATTAAGACAATACTAAAAAAAACAAGAAAACTTAAATAAAAAATGCATAGAGGATAGCTCAAATAAACTTGACGAACTTTCATCATTTAATGATAAAGAATCAACTTCTTATAAAATTTCAGATACTCATTTATTTGATTTGTAATCAGAAGAATAAAACTTTTACTAAGAAAGTCGTGTCTTTTTACCATATTAAAAATTTTGATTTAGTTATTGATTGTATATTCTAAATGTATTATATATAACTTAATTTTTATGTGCTAAGTAAACCTTGAAGTAATAATTGCTCTAAATAAACAACTGGATCTCGTTAAGGTTGAATTTATTCAAATAATCAAAAAAAAAACAAATATTTTATAATAAATAAACTTGAAGTAATTTAATTTAAATAACTTAATGCAATTCTTCGATATTACAAATATAGAAAAGAATGTTTAGAATTAAAAAACTAAGAGTATTTTGTAGGTTCCTAAGAGTCCAAAGAAAAAAAATTAGTTAAACTATATGGAAATGAATAATTTTAAATTTGATTGGATAACTTTAGATGAAGAAGAATAAGAAGTTATGAAGTAAGATAGTCCAAAAACTTATAACTTTACTATTCAAGAATAATTCTTATGGTTCTAAAATGGTCGTACACATTCTGCTTATCCATTAAAAATTGAACACGGGAGTGTAATATTTATATTAATAATTATATCATATAGTTTGTTGAATCTTTGAAGAGACATAAAATTGATGAATATAAAAGACATAGTCTATTATGTTGGATGGGTTATGTGATGGGTAGTTATGAGAGTGCATCAAATGAAACTTATTTTTTAGCAATCTCAATTTTAGATAAATTTTTATAGTAATCTCCTTATGTGCTGACAAACTAAGAACTATTAGCTATTGGAATTTGTTGTTTGAGTCTTGCCTCAAAACATAAAGATGCTTTACCTTTAACATCATAATAATTAATTTAATTAAGTAGTGATAAATTAAATGAAAATATATTGATAAAATGCTAATTTACTATTTTAAGCACTCTTCAATATTAAATTTAAGTTCCTAATTACTTTCAAATTTTTGATTACATTATGAGAGATTTAGAATATAGATATTACAAATCTATATCATCAGATATTATTACTAATTCATAAGTTTGTATGAAGTTAAAAGCTATATATAAGTGTAGTTTACAATTATTAAGATTTGTCTCTTAATACTATGATTCTACTATATTTTCTTAAAGTGCAGTATCCTATGGATCTATCTTTTACACTATAAAAAGAATGGAACTATTGAAATTTTCAATCCCCAATGATCTAATTAAGGTGCTCTAATAAATTCAAATAGACTTAGAAATTAATAATACTGAAATTGTATTAAAATATATTTATCGATTATGTTAAAATGGAATGTCTGAAAAATAATAAGAATTTTTTAGGCAAACCATTTTTAAGTATTGAATTTTAATTAGTTTTATTTTTTTTAGAAATAGAATTAGTATCAACAATTAAATTGTCTTCTTCTTACCTTTAGTAAATAATCCAATTGAGAAATATTACGATATGGATTAGAAAGACTAACGATTGAACTTTTTTTTGAATCATTAAGTGGTTTTTACAATTCTTTTACTTGTTATCTAATTTAAGATTTCAATTAAAAATCTATAGATTTATTATTATTGATTGTAAATCTTTAGGGACTCACTTATGGCAGAATACAACGATTTACTGGAACGAATGTTCTATTAAAATTTTTCTTTTTTAATATCTTCGAAGATGTATTACTAGGTTAAGTTGGCAGAGTTTTAATTGGTAATTATATTTCTTAAACCACTTTGAGATTCTTAATTGGTATAAGCAATAATTTATCATTAATAGTTTATTGTCTTTTCATAAATACTGTATGTCTCATTTATGTTTTTGAATGAGTATCTTTTCTTTAAGGAATCTGTATAGATACTTATTTATGTTGCATAAGAATATCTTTTGATAATCGGGTGTCACATGAATTACAGCGTTTTCTAAATAAGATTGTTTTAGAAGAAGATAATTTATTTTTGATGAGAATCATTTTTCTTGCAATCTTTTATGCTTAAACAAATTATTAGAATATTTACAAAAGCGATAAGCATCATCTGCAAAATCTCTTTTTTTCTTCTATTAGTATGCTTATTCAACTTAACGATGACAAGTTGCACCTTTATACATTAAATGTATAATTTTAGTATTATCATGTCCACAATCAGAACAATAACAACTTCTTCTCCTAATTTTTTAAGCATTTCTGTTTTATATTCTCTTTCCTTCTCTACTTCCAAAACGTAAATGTTTAACCTTTGTTTCTGATATCTTTGATTTTATTAATTCAAACGATAGAGTTCTTTATGTTCTCTTTAAAGGATGAGCTTTAGTACAGTAGCTATTTGCATTTTCACTTTTTCGATGTACAATAAAATTATATAAATTAGCTGAACTTTCTTCATAATCCATACTGGGTAAACCTTGAATATCTTTCTCTAATTTATATTCTCACTAAAATCTTACTTAATTCCTTCATCATTTTTTTGGCACTTTTAAACAAAATTTCCTGCTTTAATATTCCTTCTAATTTTTTTTCAGGATGTGAATTAATTTTCATGACAAAAATAAACAAATAAGTAATATATTATAAAAATAATCCTTTTATAACTAAAACTAATTTATCGAAACCTCATCTTTATTTACTCTCTTCTAAAATTATCTAAATTTTCTAGACATTTTTTCAATAAATTAAACTTATTTTCTAAATATTCTATCTCTCCTTCTAAATAATTTTATTTTTTATAATTTCAATTTTCAAGATTCTCACTTCTCAAAACCTTTTATTTTTATTACAAAATATTATCATCAAGCTAACAATATTTATTTTACACATACATCAATAAATTAATTTTTAACAAACATATTATTTTTTAAAATTTAATTACATGATAAGGTACTTAAATTCTGGATTTCTTATTTTATTTTGAAATCTTCTCTAAATTCTTTATTGTTTACCTTTAAAATATATAAAAACCAAAAGTTTCAAGATTTTCTCTCATTATGATCAATAATTTAATAATGATTGTAATCCTATCATTTAAGTTTAAATTAATTTCATTTGTTACCCAACAACTATTTTGTATTCATCTTCAATGATGTTTGATTTTTAAATGATCAAATAAATGTTATAACTATAAATTTTCAAATAAAATTCATTAATTGCAGTAGTAGTATTTAGTATCTGAATCGAAGCTTCTCCATTCATTACAAATTTATTTCATAACTTCAGACAAAACAAATGGTTTTCTTGGAACTATATACTATTTAGATATAAATTTTAGTGCAAATCGCTCAAATCCATTTTATGGTTATTTTAAAATCTGCCAAGCCATTTCTTGATTATGATAAATAAAAATGTACCTTTAGATGTATTTAATTCAATTTTAGGATAGGATGCTACTTTAAATTCTGTTTGTAAAAATGCTCTTTTAAAAAGAGATTGTTTTTAAACGTTGACGGACATAAATATAAGATTTTAAATAAATATTTAATAAATTTCCCTCCAAAGGAATTTAAAAATGATTATAATTGAAAATATCCTATTTATATTTAAAGATATATATTTAAATTAAATAATTTAATAGATATTTATAGTTAAATCACTAATTATATTACAAAATAACTCAAATAATATAATTTAATTATTATATATTTTTGCATCATAAGCTTTATTTTTATTTATTTTAAAAATATCTTTTTATGTTTTTAAGCATGAAGATTTTCTCTTCTGAATATTCAACAATAGATTTTTCGTTAGCTTATAAAATTTCAGTTAAGTTTTGATATTTTAATTCGTTTTAAAATAATTTGATAGAAAATGCTAAGTGTTGAATAGTATGATTTTCTAAGTAATCATATTCAGCCTCAAGATCAAAATTAAAATTCATTAAATCAAATTTTTCTTGATATTTTTTATAGTAAAATTAAGGAGAGTAAAGACTTTCTTTTTTAGATATAATATTTATTTGTTAATTTAATTCAAAATTTTAGAATTTTTTTTAATATTCCTTAAATGATTAAATTTATTCCTAATAAAATACTTGAATAATATATTACTTTGAATTTAATTTTTTATAATTTAAAATTCTCTTTAAGTTTTTATCCTTAAATGATTTATTCTTATTTATTTAAATACACTTAAATTTAATAATTCAAGAATTCTTTATCAATCTCATATAAATCTTTTAAGATTTAGAGTTAGTCGTAAGATTTATCTCTTTTAAAAAGTAGATAATAAATATTTAAATAACATGAGTATTAATATCCAACTACTAAAATTTAAAGTAAATATAGATTAGTATAATAAGGTGTATAACTCATTATTTATTTATTAAGGTTTATAACATAAAATATATTTTTAATTTTTGCTAATAATATTTCAGCAAAAGTGCTCTTGAACTAATAAAACTAGATTACTTTATCTAAAAGATCATCCTGCCATGTAAAAGAAGAAATTATTGATTTTTTTTTAATTAATTTAACTGATTTAAGTACTTTAATTGAAGGTGATTAAATGCTTTGAGATGATGTTTCAGCACTATGATAGAATTAATTTTGAGAAATATCTGTAATTTCATCTGATTATTTCATTTAATCAATTTATTTATTAGTTTAGGTACTTTAATTTTAATTCTAAGATTACAAAGTTTTTATTAGTGAATCATTACTGTTCATGAAATAACTAAATTTTTAATGATCCATTTCTTTATTATTTTCTTTAAGATCATGAGATAATTATTAAGACTAGAATTATTCTTACTATTAGTTAGACCTAATAATAATTGAGTTTGTAGGATCTGGAAATAATTTGAAAAGTTCTTCCCAACTTATTCTCGATGATTCTTCATAAACTATAGATCGATTTAAAAAATCATATAATTATTTTTTTTCATTTATAGAACCTCCTAATTCAGGAGGAAAAGTTTTTATTTCAATTTTATTTTGTTTTGTATTCTTTAAGGCTTGTAAAAATTAAAAATATTAAAAACCTTTAATTGGTAATTATTAATAGACTAATTCATATATTAATACACCTAACTGAATTAAAAATATAAATTTTACACTATAAACATCACATTTATTAGAATAAATTCCTTCAATAAGAATTTATGGAGCTGCATAATTAGGAGTTCCAACAGAACTTTATTCCAATTTTAAACTTGGATCTTATAAAATTTTTGCCATTCCATAATCAGTAAGCTAAATTATCATATAATTCTACTTAATAATATCCATGATTTCCAAGTAATATATTAGCTGGTTTTATATCCCTATGAATAATACCAAAATCATAGAGTTATTTATAACCATTAATTACTTATGATAGAATTTATAAGATTTCTGTAATTTATAGTGATCTTTTCAGGGCTTGATTTTGTTTAATTAAATTTTATAAATCTCCTTATTAACAATACTCCATAAAAAAAAAACATTTTTAACTCTATTTACTTATATGAAGTATTTTGACTAGAAAATTACAATCAATTTAAGAAATATGTTAAAGGATTTCTATTTCTCTATCGAACATTTAAGAGACATGTTAAGATGGTAAGATTATCTAAACTAATCATCGAATTTACTTTAACACATAAGGGTATTTAGTATTTTGGATTATAACATTTATAACAAGAGGAGAATGCTCCTTAGCCAAAGTCAGAGAGATAATCGATGATAAAACCATCTATTGTTTCTTAAGTATCACTCATTTATTAAAAATTATTTATTTTAAAGTTAATTTTAATAATCAATAATTAAATAAGACAAGAAAAAACATTTTGAAGGCTTAAATTATATTTTTATATAAATAAATCATCAAAAATATACTCTAATAAATTATTTTAATCATTAAACATTTCACAATTCCATCATTTTTTCAATGACATTACATTATACTACTAACATATTCATTAAATCATTTTATTAATTATTCTGATTTACAGTATTTGAGATTTCATCATAATAACTAATATTTTTTAACTTTATAGATGATGAATCACTACGCAAATTATCCAAAAAATTTCCATTTCCTGAAACTTAAAAATTATTTTTAGGCAAGATTTGTTATGCCTTCATGTTATTTCCAAATTATTATAGAATGTTCATCTTCTGTTATATTATATCTTTCTTTTAATTCAACTCTTTTTAAAGCATCAAAATTGCAATAGGTATACTTTCAGTGTACTATCTAGATATTATATCACATGCATAAAGTGTCATTGAACCTAAATAGAATGCTTCATTTGTAATAAGAGTCTTAAAATTAAATAAAATAGTTTTACAATAATTTTACTCTATTCTGAATATTGAATTTGTAATTCTTTAATCTATGACTCTAATTATTCAGCGTCATGTAGATTTTAAAGATGAGCATTTTGAGTTTAACATTTTTCTTGCAATTTTAATATTTATTCTTAATACTCTTAACATTCAACCTATTTAATAATAATGATTTTTTTAATACTTCAATTTATTAATTTAATTTTTATAAATCAGAGTTTTCTTAGAAAAGCGCATTTAATTATTAAAATTATTAATTGTTTTATTTTTACAATTCATAATAATTTTATTCAATTTTCATAATTTCCTCTTATTTGTCATGGAAATATTTATTTTCATAAATTAATTTTTAGTTTTGTATCTACATTTAATCTAAGTTAGTGTTAATTTCAATAATTTTTTGATTAAGTTTTTTATAAGTTACTGAATTTTCTGAATTAATATTATTTTCTAGATCTTAAATTAATTTGTTTTTCTCGTTAATATTATTTTCTAATTGAATTATTTGAGAATCGGTTAATTATTTTTCTGTTTGTAATTATACTAATTTTCCCATTAATTGTTTATTAATTATAGTTTATTCATCTAATAATCGTTTATTAAATTCACTTTGTTATTCAGAATCAAAATGAAGATTTAAAACTTTCTAATTTTTTTAATATGGTGATTTTGATTTAGAACTTAATTATGATTAATTTCTATCATTCATAGATAAATTCTAATAATTAGATTAATCAATTAAATAACTATCGTTATTGATTCCATATTAATAATTTGTATCAAAATCATATTTAGGAATTTATTAAGCTGTTTGATTTTGTTATATATTGGTGTGATTTTAATTGGCAAATAAATTTTCTTTGAGAACTTTCATCTAATTATTTAAGACTTCAACTTAATTTATTAATAAACTATGATTTTATTTAGATTAAAGTGCATTTATGATATCTTAAATTAATTTTTAAGTATCTCCAACCATTTTTTATAATTTTAGTTAATTTGAAAATGTCATTTAATCAGTTTTCTAAAGTTATAGTTATTCTTTGAGTATATCAATTTGTTTTTGATATTAGATGGAATTATCAGCCATTTTGATTGCATCTGAATTATAAAGAGTATTAATTTCTTATAAAAGTAAATAAATAAAGTATTTTAAGGTGACTAAATCTGTACATCTATAGAAATCGAAACAATCATTACAATGTTCTTGACAAAAGCATTTAATTTTAGCAAGAGATGGTGCACATTCATCTTAATTTTAATCTTTAATCATTTTAAAATCTCTTAATTTTATTGATAATTGTTATATCTTTAAAATACTATTACTATGAAGTTAACTTGGTTATTGACCTATTTTAGAAAATTAACTATGAATAGAATATTTATCATAAATTGGTTAAGCACAATCAGTTTTTATATGTTTAGGAGAATGATCAATTTTACTAATGTTTTCTAGTCTTTTATTGATAATTGCTTCGTAATAACTTTGTGAATCAATCTTTGAATCATATTACTATTTTTTCTTTTCATTTATGAATGGTTATAATAGAATATCTACTTTTGATTTTACTGCTGATCTATCTTCTGCATGTTAACTATTAAGATTCTTTACTCTTTATTCTAATCCTTAAATTTTATCTTGTAAATTATTAGTGCATTATTGTAATTCTAGACAATTACTGATTACTTAAAGTGGTTAACGTTGAACCTTTAAACTGCCCTTACGAGAATGACATGATGTAGGTGTTTAATATGGTTTCATAATAGTGTTTAAATTATTATTTAACAGCTTTACAATATTTATTAACAAAATTTAATTAATATAACTATTTATTTTTAGTAATAAATATGAATTGGTTTTTATAAAGTTTAGAATATAATAATTTTATATTAACAGAAAAATTTTCAGTTATATACAACTAGTATATCAATTACTAACACTTTCCACTTTCTTTTTTTTTTTAAATTATATTGGTATTCTTTTCTTATTAGCACAATCCTTACATCTACAGATAGATGAACATTTTTAATTCCTAATATAACATTCACAATAATTTTTTTAGCATTGAGATTTTTAACATTTACAACCCCATACTTTTGATCGATCAAATAAATCATCATCGTGTTTTTATCGTTAAGACTTTATTTTAATTTTTTCTAATGCTCTTTCTCTTACTTAAAGATAATTATCACAATTTTTGCAATTGATGCATTTACATAGTTCAGTACATTATTTATTTGAATGAAAACATTGGCAATATAGTTTAAGACAGTTAGACTTAGTACATTTACACGGTGTATTATTGATTTCATTAGATTAGGAATCAAAATCCGATTCTAAAATTAACATTTACATTTGGTTTCTTCCAAAAGTACTGTTTTACTTTATTTTACGAATTCTTCTACTTCTTTGTTCAATTGTTTAAGAACAAGGATCATCAGCTTTTTATGGCTAATCTTAAATTTAAATGAATGGTTCCTTGTTGTTTTCATCTATATTAACTTCTTATTATTGGTTCTCATTCTAAACCTTCATTATTATGGATGATTCTTACTCATCATTCATTCTATCTGATAAGATGCTCCTAAAATAAATTCAATCTATACATCATATTTTAAAGTTTTGGTATTGGTATTTGTATTGGCAAATCATATTCATAATTCTCTAAAATATTATCGAACTTGTTAGTGTTCCAAATATCATAAGTTACTGTTGTTGACTCTTTTCTTTTATTTTGGTTCTAAATATTTTGATGCATAAGCTATTTTCTTATTATTAAAACTGTTCTCTTCATAATACTTTATACTTTATTGAGTGATTAAATACGCACCATACAATATTGAATGATTAAATACGTTTATTCATCTTATATTTTGTTCTAGTTCTTGAAAGCGTTTATTCAAGTTAAATCAATTTATTGTAATACACTTTTCATATTAAAATATTGTAATTAAATGCATCTACAATAGCATGTAGTAACTTTAATTCTAAAAAAAGAAATCTACAGGTTGTTATTCAATCCTCCTTGAAAAATTAAAATAAATTTTATTTATTATATGACAATAATATCTTAAATATTATAGCAAGTCTATATCTAAATATTCTTTAAATTATCTCCTTCACTTTTTTTAAATATTTAAATTTAGCATCATCTTAAATGATATAATTCTTAAAACTAATTTTGTTACTTTTGATTAAGAATTTTAATATAATAAAAATTGATAATCTCAAATAAACTATATAAATAAAATTAACCTCTTATATGTTGAAATTATTAAAGAAGAATATTCTTTTAAATATAAACTTTTTTAAATCATTAATATATAAAGATAACTTGATTATAATAAATAAAGATGGGAAGTTCATGTATTTCAAATTAAAAAGATACTTTATTTGATGATTATTATACAACTTAAATTACTCCTAAAGAGAAAGGAATATAAAACATAAACTAAACTATTGTAGCAAATTTTCAGTAAGTTAAATTATTAAAGGAATCCTTAGAATAAGGAATCTAAGTTTCTAATATAGAAAGTATTATGATAACTCCAAGATGTGAATAAGAAGGAGCAAAAATATTAGGTGAATTGGTAAAATTTGGAATTTAAATAACACTAATTTCTAAAAAAATACCTGAAAGCTCTAATTCAAGTGTAAAATCACTTTTAAAGAAAGGAATTTTAAAAAATAAATAAGAAAAGAATGTAACTTAATCATTAGAAGAATGTTTGTTATATCCATCTTCACGAAGGATTAGTGGTAAAAATATTAGATTCAAAGAGTGAAACATATATGGATTATGACATGACATGACTTTTTAGAAAATTTATAAAATGTTTTTTTTTTATATATATATTTTATTAATTTTAAATGGTTACTCAAACTTTTGTTTCATAAACAAATACTCGAAAGATTTTAGTTGGAATGTTGAAGTCTTTATTTAATCTTTCTTTGTTTACAACTTTTAATTAGGCTTTGTTGAGCAAAGTTTCAAATTCTTTTTCATATGTTATTTATCCAAAATCTATAGTTGTGAAATACTTTATTTTAGGTTTAATGTATTCAACGAATGTTAGAAAAGATGAATTTTTCTTACTATCAGGTTGTAGAGTCAATATGAAATATATTGAACCACCTTGATTTAACAATGATTTGGCTAATTCTAATGCTTCAATTCTTTTAGGCATGAGCATAAATGATGATGAAAAGACAACAGCATCAAATTTTCCCTCTTTTTTTTCAGTCACTTCATAAAAATTTTAATATCTAATTTCCAATTTACGACCTCCTAGATTGTAATTTCTAAATATATTATTAGCTTTTATAACATAAGCCTAATCAATATCTACTCCTAAAACTTCACAATTTTATGGTAATTAGTTCCATACATGTTTTAAGGGAGATGCTGTACCGACGCCAATATCTAGGATCCTTTTTGGATTTCTTTGGTTCATAAAAAAGACTAATCTTTCATAGCTGTATTTTGTTAGGAAATTTGAGATGATTACATCATATATGGTTGATGGGATGATGTATAATGTTTGTACAATTTTATTGAAAAGAATCTAAATGAATGATGCCATTAAATAAAATATTAAAAAATGTTTTTATTAATAATATACATAAATATATATGTTATGTTTCTAGATTAATCTATTTGATTAATGATGTAGTAAAACGGAATACATACTAAACCATTTCATTAAAGTTGAAAAAATAAATTATTTTTATTTAAAAAAAAACTCAATGTTGTTCTTCTTGTTATTACTGCCATTTTATAATTGTAATTATTTTTCTTAGGTTTATACCTACTTTGATTAAATTGAAAAGTTAAAATAAGTAAGTTCAATATTGTTAAATGGATAACCTTGTAATTTAGAAGCTTTAAATGCTTGTACATTAAAATTATACATGTTCAATCAAGATCCTTATACCATTAGCAATTTAGGTTATTTTCATTTATTTGGATTCCCAGAAAACAAGGGAGATGAATTTTTAGAATTTTGTAAAGAATTTGGAGGTTTTTCAGTGCCTCTATTGAAATAAAATGAAAGTTTGGCTTAAAAATATTTATCATAAAGTAAGAGACCAGAAACATAAGTATATCTGTCTTTTATAGATTGGATGAACTTTAAGAAAGGAGGATCAATTCCTAGAAGTATAAGAAAATTAAAAAATAATGATGATTCTTTATCTAAATTAGCATACTTCAATTATTAATTCAATTGTCATAGATTCAGACATATACCTGAATTAGAACTTAGTTAAAGATTTGAAGAAATGTATAATGAAGTTGATTGTTAATAATGTGATTAATTGATATTAATTGGATATCAAATAGGAATGAATGAAATTTAGTATTTTCATGAAATAATACCTGAAGTTGAATTAACAAATGAAGATTATTTACTTATAGAATAATAAGCAAATAATGGAGATCCATAAGCATAACTTAATTATGCATATCAATTTTATGCTGGTAATGATTAATTGGGCATAGAGAGGGATGTAAATCGTGCTATGTAAATTTTTGGAAATATGACCTAGAGTGGAGAATCCTTACATAATTTAGCACTATTATATGTAATGAGAGGAGATTATTAATAAGCTTAAATATTATTATAATAAGCAATAGAGAATTTTTAGATGCCAGATTCATATAATTTATTAGGCTATATGTATTTATAAGGTCTTGGAGTTGAATAAGATTTTGCAATGGCTTAATCTCTCTTCTAATAAGCATTAGATAGAGGATTTCATGCAGCTGCTGTTACATTGGGAATTATGAAATTGAATTCAAATGTAACTGAGGGGATTGAATTATTGATCAATTAAACTGAATATAATGCAAGATGGGCATTAATTTAAACTTATGTAAATTATTAAAAAATTATGGATCAAAAATTTGGATGTTAAAAATTCTTAAATATAACTAGAGATTTTATTATGTAGATTGTATATCCAGTTATGGAAAAAGAAAAAAAATTACCTAATGATCCCAAATCTTAATATATAATGAAATAATTTTGGGCCTTTCTAGGAATTATTGAACCAATAGATTTAGAAGAATAAGTTATTTATAAAATAGCAGGAGCAGCAACAACCTTTGCTAATGATCTTACTGATTAACAATTAAAGAAAAAACTCTATCAATCAGATCTTTAACCAGAAAGTTATATATCACTCTCTTAGCTTGAATTTTCAGAAGGAAATTCAACATAAGCATAATTTTGGATTGATTAATTAATTAAACAATGTGTTTAAGGCAATTATGAATAAGATACATTATTTGTTGCTTATGTGTGGAAAGCATGGATAACTTTATTGAATATTTTTTATTGATTGTTTTTAGTTACATTTATACATATTAAATTAGTATATTAATAACATAATAAGAATGGAATAAAAATCTTCAAAGCGAATATTTTCTTTGGATTCAAATTTTGAACATGCTGAATTCATTTCAGCAAGAACAGATACAAAATAAAGATTAGGAGAGTTATTTATTTAACATCCAACAAAGTTAGAAAGTATGAATAATAATAATTATACTTAAAGTGTTTGGACTGAGATAAGTAAGTTCAAAAATTCCAAAATTTAAGCATGCCAAACCTTTATTTGAATTACCATTGAATGATACTTAAAGGTCTTTGACACATTAGACAACATCAATAATTGATTGTAGTAAATGTAACCAAAGTCTTTCAAAAATGATAAATAATAAAAGTAATCATGAGAAGTTGATTCTTTCTTAACCTACATTAGTAGCAGAGGAAAAGAAAGAAATTTAAATGTAACCTCCAAAAAGATTGGTTAGTCATCATGGAAGATAAAGGAATGAATTGCCTCCTATATTAGCTCATCCTCATATATCAGCTCCTCCTTTTTTTTAATAATCTCCAAAGACTTAAAGAAAATAAAAAACAATGGGTAAACTTTCTTTTGGAAGGATTTCAAAAAACTTTGATCATGAACTAATGCATGTGATTTAATCAGAACTTTAGAGGTAATTCAACAATGACCTTTAAAAAGATTATCCAATTAATAAGATGCTGCAGAAGCATGTATTAATTTATGACATATATTATTCAGTAAAACCTAAAGAGATGTAAATAAGTATCACTTAGCCAAGCCATCAAAGATTTTAAGAAATCAATATAGAGTGAAGATAAGTCGAATACTTTTGAACTTTTCAAATTAAAAGAAAAGGAATTAAATTAATTAATATCTGGGCATAATTATGAAATTTATTAAACTATTGATGATATAATATGATTCATAATATATTTAACAAATTATCATAAAATTTACGGATTATTGACTCATTTTTATAAAAATTTTAAGTCACTTAAATTTGTATAATATAATGTACAACAAAGCTTTAGTGTTAAAATAAAGACCTGATGAAACATTCCCATAAAATATGGATTTTTTTGAAGTATAAGAAATTCCAGTGCCTGAACTAAATGAAGGAGAAATATTAATAAGAGTAGAGTTTGAATTCAAATAAAGGTTTTGTACATAGGAGTAGATCCAGTTATGAGAGTTTGGCTTTCTGGAGCTAAAACATATATAGATGCAGTGTAAATAGGATAAGTGATGCCAGCATTTGGAGTTGGAGTGATAGTATAGACAAAACAAGCAAAGTGGGATATAGGTAAAAGAGAAATTCTAGATTTTAGGATAATTAGTATTTGGTGTATTAGAGTGTGCAAACTTATGTAAGAGATAAACAAAGCCTTTGTTTAAGGTTCCATTGTTTGAAATTGGAGATCCAAACATTCCATTGTTATTATCTATTTATGGAGTAACAGGATTGACAGCTTTAAATGGAATGAAACTTATCCCATAGGATCATATACCTACGACTTAGTAATAGAAAACATTTTGTGTGTCAAGTGCAGCAGGATCTACAGGATCTATTGCTATTTAGATTGCTAAGCATATGGGATATAAAACTATTGGAATTGTGAGTGGAAGAGAAAAGAGAGATTTTGTTTTAAGTTTAGGAGCAGATCAATGTATTACATATAATGATTGTAAAGAAAATGATGAAATAATTGTTGAGTATAGAATATTATTAAAAATTAGCAAATTGACATAAGAAATTTAAAAAGTAGCACCAGAGGGCATTGATGTATATTTTGATAATGCAGGAGAAGAAGTCCTTGATGCTATATTACCAGCAATGGCTAAAGAAGGATTAATCTTACTATGTGGTGCTACATCAACATATAATGCTTGGAAAAATAGAGGAGGATTAACTAATTTAGCTTCTGCTATCACTTAATAAGTTAAATTAGAAGGTACATATCTCATATATTATTAGGCATAATATTTTATTAGGATCAAGCCAAAATTTATAGTGGATTCTCAGATATGATTGAATTGGTCAATGATGGAGTAATCAAACATCAAGAAGAAATTTATTATGGAGTTGAAAATTTTGTTTAGGGACTCAAAAGAGTTTTTCTTGGTTAAAATATGGGTAAAATCATTATTTAAATTGAACAATAAATCCAAGATTAAGCTAAATTATGATGATGATTATGTTGATTTTTGTTTAATAATATTATTATAATTTATTTATTATAATTAATTTATTATAAAATTATTTATTAATTATTATATTTCATCTAATATCAAAATACCATTATTTTCATTATACCCATCTATCTTAGTATTATTTCAGTTTCTTAATTCATTTATGGTGGACCACAAATAAAATATGTTGCTGATTAATGTAAATCTGATATGTGATCCATAAATGTCTATTGAGTAAATCTGGTTCCAATAATTGGACATTCCTTTAATTTAAAGTTTCCTTTAATAATCAATTTAAAATTTGGAGTATTCAAGTATTATTGAAGGGAAAGTAAAGCAAAATAAATGTCTCTTCCAATCTAAATTATATTATTACTTAAATTACCAGATCATCAATTGAATTTACTGCTAAAAACATAGTAATTGTAAATTTTTTAAAATCTTTGATTCCTAAATCTATTAGTTTAGATGCTTCATTTCCAAGTTTCATTTGAACTATATCAAAATAAGAAACTCTCAATTAATAGTCTAGAATGTCTAAGAATGGAAACAATCCTGTTCCTCCAGCAATAAAAATTAGATGAGAATTATTCTCAATTTATATAGAATTTCCAAATGGACCTTCAATAATATATTATCCTTATCTATTATCTTAATGAATAAAATTGGAAAATCCATTTTTTGTTTCATATTTTTTGATTATTAAAGGTAATTCATTATCAAATTCTTCTAATTTTGGTAAATCTTTATGAAGAGGTTATAAATTAATAATCTTTCTAAATAGTTCAAGTAAATCTTTTCTATATTTAGTTCTTTGATTAGTCATACTTAACACCATAGTATATTATCTTTAATGAATATCATTATTATCATCAGATTTAATAATAAAATATGAACCAAATGTTTCTAATCCATTTAAATCATTTTTTAATTAAAATTATTAATTTGTAAATCCAAATTTAGCAATTAAAAAAGTATATGGATTAACACTAGTAACTGTCCAGATAGCTTTTAATTTTTTAATTGATCTATTAGTATTGATATCATAGAATAATTCTAGATCTTAATTGATATAAACACCAGTTTTATATTTTAATAAAGCCTTTAATGCATAACTACTATGATGATAAGGTTTAAGAGTAAGTTAAGGAACAGGATAAGCACCAAGTACATATTTAGTAATATCTTAACCTTCTATTAATTTCCAGATGTAATTACCAGCTGGATGAATCATTTATGATAAATCAATAATTTGATTATGATAAATACACCACAATTTATCAAAATTCCATTATTCTATTACTTCTAAATTACTTGCATTAATTTTATTGATTAAAGGTTCTTAAGATGGTATAACTTATTGTTTCTTAAAATAAGAACTGCTAGAATTTCCATTAGTCATCACTTTAAGTGATCCTTTTTGATATAGAACTTCTAATATGAAACGAATAGTTAAAACTAATCCAAGAATAAGCATAATACTAATATCATTATCCATAAATAATCCAGCTATTATTTGCAATTTCCCTATTACATAAACAGCATTTCCAAAAATTGCATGGTATGATGGTTTTACTGATACTTTTTAGTTTCTTTTATAAGATGTTAACATGTTATAATATAAGATACCACCTATACATTAAACAATCATACAAATTGCTAAAATCATAAAAAATACTATATGGAATTCATTTTGTACTGACTCCTTTTTAAAGTTTTTCCATAATAAAATTTCCCAATCAACATTTAACATCAAAATAGCTGTTGTTAAACAACTTGATATTATTAAAATAAATAATAATCCATGTATATATGTTCTATATATCCAAGTTTTATAATATCTACCTATTATTATAGCTAAATCACTAGCCACACCCCAACAAATAAAGTTTGTCCATTTATGCAATTTAAAATATTTATTTTCTTCTTCTATATCCACATCAACATCTCCTCCTTTATCAATCATATCAATTTTCACTTAACCATAAGTATCTTTACCATGCTTTTCTACTTTCAAACTCTTATTATTTTTACCATGTGCCCAAATCATATCAACACCTTTTTATTACAACAAGTCTTTATCATATTTGTCTCCTTTAATATATAAATTACTTTCATATACCTGTTATTGATTTCCTTTTGAATTTTACTCCACTCTTCCCTTCCTAATTGTAATAAAAACCCAAAATCTCTATATCATTTCTACCACCCAAACTAGCATCTGTTGGTGGCTTTTTTCTATCTGAACTATAACAATCATTCCCAATTATCATATTGCTATCTATCTCAAATACCCAAAGATCAGCATCTTTCATTGACTATCCTTAACCTAATGAAAAGTAACTTATCTTATCTATCTCTATCATCATTGTCACTTCTTGCGAATCTTAACTAAACTCAAAATAAAAATCAATTATTGTGTCTAAGATCACCATTATATATACTAAACTAAGAAATTCTTGCATGTGTTCTTGGTTTACTTATATCATTCCCAGGATCATTATAATAAAAGATATTCGAACCTAGAATAATCTCTTACATCAATCCAAAAAGTAATATTCCTAGCATTTATTTTTTATTTATTTTTTAATTAACCTTTTGTTTATTTTTATTCCATATAAATACAATTTTTTATATCTCTTAAATATAAACACAATCTCTCAATCAATATCAATTTAATTTTATACTGACTATCATACTTATATTTTAATTTTAATTTATTTATAATACTAATTTATTCTTAAAAATTAATATGACATTCTAACACAATTACTTATTACATATCAATTTATATTATGTCATTTATTTTTTCATTTATAATTTAAATTGTTAAAACCAATAAAAAAAGCGATGTTTTAATTAATCAGATAAGATTAAAAATTATATATTTTCAAATTTCGTTTAAAATCATATACTATAAATATCAAAGAAATCAAACTTAGAAATATGAATGATTTGAATAAAATCTATATAGATTTTAACATTTATAAGAGTATAAAAGTCTTTATTTAACTATTCCCATATTCTATATAGATAAAAATTTTAGATAAAACTCTAAGATAAATGCTAATTTTGAATATTATCTCAAAGGAATGAATGCTAAAGAATCTTTGAATAACGAAAAATAGAATTAACTTCAATAGATATATTTTATAATAATATGTATTTTTTATTATTTAAATTTATTAAATATATGTGAGTAGCATGATAGATGAAATAAGAACTGTGATTGGAACAAATCTTATCAGAGTATTTAGAATGGCAATAATGATGCATTTAGAGCATATTTTAGATAGAATTAAGACATACAAATTTTTATACTAATTTATTCCTACCTAGATCATCAGATTAGATATACACTAAAGTAAGTAAGATTGATCTTAGAAATTAAGTATGGTAAATGTATTAGTTGCATCATCTGTTTCAAGTTTATTAAACATAATGCCAGATAGAATATGAATATAATTAATAATAGTACATCCAATTGATACATTATTATTTTTACATTTTTAATTAGTATATATTATTTACATCATTTTTTGATTATTGTCTTTCTTTTTTCATCTAAAGTTTATCTTCGTTTCTTCTAACTTTCCTATTCTAAAAGAATTCTTTTTCTTTCTCTTACTTTTCTTTTTATTTCATAAATGGTTTTAATAAATTAATCAGTAGGTTTGGTTGGAGGTTCTCCAAACATTAAACATAATTCTTTATATTTATTCTCTAAATTCTTTAGATTTGCTTTCTAAACAATCACGAATAACTCAATTTCATCATATAATTAACCAAAAACTTCTTTAGCTCTATCATCACCACCCTAATCACTATCTCTTGCCAATATTATTTGTTACTTATTTTACTCAAATTATTTCAAAAATACATATAAATTATCCATCCTTCTCTATTCCTATGATAATATATCTAATTTTTATAAATCAGCATCCATATCAATCACAAATCCTGATTCTTCAATTTTCTTTATTATATACATCCAAATATCAAATTATTTTTATTTATCAGAATAACATGTTACTTTAGGAATACTATCAAATCTTAATCCATAAGCTTAATTATTTCCATTTAATATTGATCCATAATAAAATAAATGTCTTATTACTATTAATAATTCTTAATCATTTTTTATTTAATCAAAAACAGCATCAAACATTAGTAATAATTCTTCTATTACTATTTAATTCTTCAATGATTCATATTTTGCATTTAAACTAATCAATCTTTCTTCATAACATTTTATTTCCATAACAAACATACAAAATTAATCAGCATCACTGTAATCTTTTATTCTTTTTTGTAATTCTTATAAACTCCATGATTTCTCTTCTTTCCATAAATTCTTCTCATTATCCTTTGGTAAACAATCTATCAAAAGAGCTACTTTATCTTCTGTTAACTTCTCTTCATCAACTATTCTTATAGCTTATAAAATTTCTTCTATTGGATATTTTACTCTCTTCAATGCCATTTATATAGCTTAGGCTCTATTAGGATCTTTTGGTCCACTACCTTTTGATAATTTAGTAATAGGTTCTTTTTTTATAAACATAGATTAAAAAACAGCTGATTACATAATAGATTAATCTATAATAGACTTAGCAGCAAAAATATCTACAAATTCTCCTATTTCAAACTTCATATCATTATATTTAAATTATTCCCATATTGATCCATCTACTTTATTATTTGGAATTGGATTCCAACTTTAACATTTCTTCATTGCAATTTCAATTGGAATTATTTCAAATTTTGGTTTTATTTCTTTTTAACTTTTTATACTTCCAGGAGGTGGAGGTGGTGGAGGTGGTGGAGGAGGAAAACCAGCTTTACCAAAAGGTGGTGGTGGTGGTGGTGGTGGAGGTGGAGGTTATCCTTTATTATCAAAAGGAAGAGGTGGGGGAGGAGGAGGAGAAGGAGGAATAACTTAATTTATAGACAGATTAGCTTAACTGCATTAATGAGGTGTTGTAGGTTCTAATTGAGTTTATGGAATAACTATTGAATTCAAACATTTTTCTGATCTTACTTCTTCAATTGTTTTATCAAATTTTTCATTTTAATTATTTGCTATTTTATCATTCTCAATTTGCTCTTAAATTTATGGTAATTATTAATTATTTTATTAAATATTTGTAAAATTAACAGATGCTTTTAAACTATTTGTTTTTGTAGCTTTTAATAAATTTTATTTATTACTAAAAAATATAGATTATTATTATTATTATTATTATTATTATTATTATTAAGTTTATTTAAGTTTTTCATTTACTTATGAATTAAATGAATTCAAATTGATTTAATTCTATCTTTTTGATTCATCTAATTCTTATAATAAAAATTATTTATCTTCTTCTAATTTACTTATTTTTTCTTCATATTATTAATTTAATTTTTCAGCTTCTGCTAATTTTCTTTTTAAAATACTTATTTCTTATTTAATTTCAAATAAATTGACTCCATTTTATTTTTCAGTTTCATCTTATTAAATAAATTCTTCATCTTTGATTAAGCAAACATTTTTTTTTAAAAGTTCAATTTCTTATTGCATCTCACAATCATCAAGTTTATAAATATATTTAGACTCTCTTTTTGTGATTAATGGATATTATTATTCTTCTTAACTTTAAAAAGTAAAGATTAAACTTGGAGTCTGTAAATATTATTCCAATTTGTTAGCTAATAATAAATTTTTAAAAGAAGAAGAAACTTCACAATTTTCATAATATTCATTAATAAATTCTGCAAAGCAATACTTGGCCTAAAGAGAGGTTTCCATTTAGTTAAGATTAGCTAAAATGACTTTTTCAACTTGTATTTGATTTAAATTTTAATGTTTTTTCAGTAATCTTAGCATTAGGTATATGACTTCAGGATCATCAGTGAGTTTTAAATGTTTATCAATTAGATCGATAGAACATGTTTATTACGATTGATTTATGCAATTTAAATACATAATGAGAGACATGCCTTATAAGTCTAGATTGGAATCAAAAATCAATTCACTGCTCTCTTGAGGTCCTGAAGCAATGATCCAATAATAAGCAGATGCCAAATCAAATAGATGATGTGATTTTAAGAGTTCTTATGTTTTTTCAAGACTAAGATTGAGTAATTTACCAGTAATAGTCATATATTGATGAGCAATAGAGTATTTGACAATAACTTCAAGAGAATTGAAACGTTTATGATCTTTTTCTGTCATTTCTACATCATTTAAGAAGATGTCAATATGTTATTAAATACAAGGACCAGGATGAATGGTTGTGATTTTAAGTTCAATAATTTATTTATTTTCTCTAAGTACACATTCTAGATTGATAGGTAATTTGGGTGCAGTGGACCTGATTAAAAATTACATAAAAAAATTATGTTTTGTTGCAAAATTAAAAATACAATTCAAAGTACAAGAAGAAATTATGAATTATTGGAAGAGATTGGAATGGGATCATATGGGAAGGTTAAATTAGCGAAAGATGTAGAGAATAAGAAGAAATATGCAATAAAATTAGTAATGAATTAAGTAATATTTAATAGATTGAGAAATAGAAGATGGAAGAATTTCATGCAGAAAACAATATATTGAGTGAGATAAGAATATAATAAAAACTACATCATCCAAATATAGTAGAATTGGTGGAATACTTTGAGGATGATAAATATATATATTTAGTATAGGAGTATTGTAGCAAAGGAACACTTCGTTAGTAGGTTAGTAAAAGAAGATTATAAGAAAGTGAGATTTATCATTACATATATTAATTAAATGAGGCATTAATCTATTTACATAGATAGAAGATTGTTCATAGAGACTTAAAAGTATTTGAGATAAAGTATATTTTTAGTTAGATAATATTTTATTGGATGAATAAGATCTAATAAAGTTAACAGATTTTAATTGGGCAACATAAATTAATGGATATGTAGCAGAACCAACAAATTGTGGTACTACACATTATATGCCTCCTGAAATTGTATTATTGTAACCACATAATGAGAAAGTAGATATTTGGTCTTTAGGAATTATTATTTTTGTATTAATTTAATACATATATATATAGGAATTAATATTTTAGAATCGTCCATTTGAAGGATTAACTTAAGAAGAGTTGCAAAAATAAATCATTTATCATAATCCACTTATAGATTGTAAGACTATTCCTACTGATTTAATTATGTTACTTAATTCTTTGCTTGCCAAGAATCCAATTTATAGATTAAATTGTGAATAAGTCAAACTTAGTTAGTGGTTTCAAAGATAACATCATAATTCATTTTTGCAACCAGATGAATCACTAAATCTTACTAATATCACTTTTAATAAGAATGATTATATTTGATAATTAATATGATTAATGATTAAACTTAATTAATAGGATGGCAAGAATACTAACAATCTTCACATACTAATCAACTTAAACTTCTCTCTGAATCTATGGAATATCCAACACCTATCACATCTTTTAAAAATAGAAAATTATTACCAAATCTATCATAATAAAAATAGTCTACAGAAATAGAAAGTACTAAAAAGAAATCTATTCATTCCAATAGAATCCAATAGAGTCAAGTTCTCTATTAAATTAAAGATGAAAGACCTCTCAAAAATAGGCTTCATAATCCTAATAATTTGACAGTCATTCCTTCTCAATTCAATTTCACATTCAGTGAAGATAAATTCAATAAAATTACCAAAGATTCTTCACCCAACAAATACAAACTTTATAAATTAGCTCCTTTGCTATAGAAAGTTCATTAAATTTAAATTAAAAATAAAATCCTCACTATTACTCAAAAGTCACCTCTTAGATAACTATAAAAATTATTAGAAGTACTTAATGACAAATGATTTATTACTACATCTTGATATTTAAATTATTTATATATATATATATTGTACTATATGTATGCAAATGTAATTTGAATCAGAATAAAACAAATTGTTTTCTAACATTACCAATGATTTCATTTGGAATAACTTTCAAAACATTGAATCTAACTGTCTTTGATAATGGTCTTATTATTTATTATTTAAATTCTACCTGCATTATCCACAAACAACAATATCTCCTTCCTTAACTGGTCCAAAAGCTGGTGAAATGTGAACTGGAACATTTCTATGTCTCTTTTCATATCTATTATATTTGGCAACATAGTGTAAATAATCTCTTCTAATGATTATTGTTCTGGTCATCTTTGTTGAAATTACTATGCCTCTATTCTCTATTAACTTTTATTTACTTTAATATTGCTCCTCTCACACTAACATTTCCTGTAAAAGGACATTTCTTATCAATATAGTGACCCTCTATTGCTTCCTTTGGTACTTTGAAACCAAGACCGACTTCTTTCCAATATCTAACTCCTTTTGATGTTTTCTTAGCTAACAATTTCTTTGAGTTTTAGAAAATTCCCTCTTATTTTTAGAAAGCTCTTTATGTTTGAACGTCTGCCATAATATAATTTTTTAAAAAAAAGATATAAAAATTTAATACTTTAATGATCGAATTAGAATACAAAATACAACCTAAAGCCTTATTTCCTCGTCTTAAATAAAAATCCATTAATGATAATACTATGTATACAATCTAATTACTACGTAAAACCATTCATCAACTTACTAATATATATTCTGAACCTAAACCCACTGAGATGGCATCCAAAATGCTTCCTGCACATAAAATTAAAAGATTAAATCATTCATACATCAAAAACTATTCTCAAAACTATAATAGTTAATCATTTGATTTGCACTAAAAGGCTTCTACTTAAACTATCCCTTATTATTTCATTGATAATAAGAAAGGGTAATCAGATAANCCTAATAATTTGACAGTCATTCCTTCTCAATTCAATTTCACATTCAGTGAAGATAAATTCAATAAAATTACCAAAGATTCTTCACCCAACAAATACAAACTTTATAAATTAGCTCCTTTGCTATAGAAAGTTCATTAAATTTAAATTAAAAATAAAATCCTCACTATTACTCAAAAGTCACCTCTTAGATAACTATAAAAATTATTAGAAGTACTTAATGACAAATGATTTATTACTACATCTTGATATTTAAATTATTTATATATATATATATTGTACTATATGTATGCAAATGTAATTTGAATCAGAATAAAACAAATTGTTTTCTAACATTACCAATGATTTCATTTGGAATAACTTTCAAAACATTGAATCTAACTGTCTTTGATAATGGTCTTATTATTTATTATTTAAATTCTACCTGCATTATCCACAAACAACAATATCTCCTTCCTTAACTGGTCCAAAAGCTGGTGAAATGTGAACTGGAACATTTCTATGTCTCTTTTCATATCTATTATATTTGGCAACATAGTGTAAATAATCTCTTCTAATGATTATTGTTCTGGTCATCTTTGTTGAAATTACTATGCCTCTATTCTCTATTAACTTTTATTTACTTTAATATTGCTCCTCTCACACTAACATTTCCTGTAAAAGGACATTTCTTATCAATATAGTGACCCTCTATTGCTTCCTTTGGTACTTTGAAACCAAGACCGACTTCTTTCCAATATCTAACTCCTTTTGATGTTTTCTTAGCTAACAATTTCTTTGAGTTTTAGAAAATTCCCTCTTATTTTTAGAAAGCTCTTTATGTTTGAACGTCTGCCATAATATAATTTTTTAAAAAAAAGATATAAAAATTTAATACTTTAATGATCGAATTAGAATACAAAATACAACCTAAAGCCTTATTTCCTCGTCTTAAATAAAAATCCATTAATGATAATACTATGTATACAATCTAATTACTACGTAAAACCATTCATCAACTTACTAATATATATTCTGAACCTAAACCCACTGAGATGGCATCCAAAATGCTTCCTGCACATAAAATTAAAAGATTAAATCATTCATACATCAAAAACTATTCTCAAAACTATAATAGTTAATCATTTGATTTGCACTAAAAGGCTTCTACTTAAACTATCCCTTATTATTTCATTGATAATAAGAAAGGGTAATCAGATAATTACAAAATTAAAATCACAAACTCTCCTAATCTACCATTCAATTCAATCCATATTTTCTAACAACAATATAGAAATAAGCTTCAAACCATTGATATAACTAACAGGTTCAAAAATCTCAAAAATAAAGCATTATCCTAAAAATACAGAAAAAGAAATAAATCTGTCTCTCATTAAAAATGAGTATTATCAATATATACTATTTAAGTTTTCTAATCCATATATTTTATAAACAATCTAAATTTCTTAGAATATTCATTTTTACATTCCTATTTATTTATTTTTCATCATTCTATGTAAATTTATTATTCTAAATCTACTTCTACATTATTCATAATTTTATTTATTTTTCTATTCTAAAATCAAAAATAATTTATATTATTAAAAATTTTTCTTATACCTCAAATCAAAGAATTATAAGCTCTCTCATTTAATATAAATGAATCATAGATATTCAATTAAATATTAGGTAAGATTTTCTGTGAGAAGAATAGAAATTTGAATTGAATAAGAAAACAAAAAAAAATACATAAGTTATATCATGAACATAATTAAAGATAGAATAATATTTAATAAGTTGCTTTTAATGAAGATTTATGTTGTTTAAATCCTAGATATTTTGAACATTTCAAATTCAACTATAAATTATTTCATTTGTATTTATATTAAATAATTATGGGAAATAATCTTTGCTATTAAACTGGAGAGAGATCTTCATAGTTTCCTTAATTGTTACTAAAATAAGATATTGGAGACTGCGAAATTGCTTTAACAGCAGGTCCAGTTGAAAATGAAGATGTTGAATGTTTAGTGATTCCGACTGATTCTGGATACACTAATCTAAAACAAAGCGATAGGCCAAATTTTAAATAAATAAATGAAAAATGTGTTTTTGTGGCTGGTGGTAAAAGTATAAAATTCATTTATAAAAAAAAGAACGCAAAAGCTAGATATTGGCAATCGTCATGGATAAGAATTATTTATTAAAAAATGATGATGGAGAAGATGAAAAATAGACTATTTATGCAACAGTTTAAGAGGCTCTAAAATTGGTAAGAGTTTCAGATCTAACTTAAGGCTGAATAAAAGCAAATTAGATCTGTCGGATTTCCAGTTTTTGAATCTAAAGATCATACCACATCAGCCACAATTATGTTGATGGCTATAAAACTCAGTCTAACAGAGCAAAAAATTAAATCTATAAAGCGAATAGCAATTACACTTGATGTATGAATGTTATATAAATATACAAGCATATTGAACAGGTAAGCAGTTTTAAATGGGTATTTCAATAAGTATTTAGAGGAAGCGAATAACTAAAACACTCTAGAACCTATTCAAGTTCAATCAATACATAAATAGATTCGATTTCTATTGACAATCTAAAAGCGAAGGTAAAAAGTAATACAAAGGAAGAAGCTCCTTGAATTAACCAAATTCATAAGTAACAAATTGATTTATATTGTTTAATATAATTATTTATTATATTCTTCTAAAAAATTTTGATTATTTTAATATTATTATTTTAGGGATATTATTTAATTTTAAATATATTTTTCTCTTTTTATGAATTGTATAAAATTAATATCGCCAATATATTTATTGGTTATATAAAATCAGACCTCCATTGATTTATAGAATCCTGGTATTTCCTAAATTGAGCTATTATTTGCTTAACTCTATATTAATGAATTTTGATACTTTTTTTAGAAATAAACTCAAATCAGAAAGCCTATTAATATTAGCAACAATAAAATTAATATTGTTTGTAAGATTAAAATGCGCTTCTTGGTAGGATTATGTTTCCATTTTATAATCTTAATAATCTTTCTCAAGAAATTAATAGAAGGATTCATAAGTTCTATTTCCACTATATTGATAAAGATTTGCATCCTTTTTAAACAAAATCATAGTTGGTACTTCATTGATTTAAAATAAGCTGCACAAATCTTTTTCAATTTCACTACAATAATTAATAATTTTTACCAATCAACAGCCCCAACACTGATAAATTTTTTAATTTGATAACCTAGATATTCCCATTTTGGTAAAAACTTTTAAGAATGTTGACATTAGGATTTATAGAATAGAATAAACCATGAAGGATTTACTTGATTTAAAAATTTAATATATACTCTAACCAATATTGAATGAATCAAACATAGCTTAATTAAGCTATTTCACTTCTTAAAATGTATATTTTGAGTGAACATACACAAAAGGTAATATTAATTTAAACATATTAATAATAACTTAATCACAATCTCTTTAAACCTTTACCTCTTTATTTAAGTCTCAAAGTATATAAATCCTCAATTTATTAAAAAAAATTATGAGAATAATTATGAATTACTCCAGCTAGATCTAATATAAATTATGCTAGCATAACTTAGTTTTAATAGATTATTCTTTGTTCTTAAGCTTAAGTTTTAGTCAAGACAAACATTATTGTTTTGCTAACATGTTTATGCTCATCAGATATTTAAGAATCTTAATGATGAATATAATGTTTTGTATTATTATGGGATTCCAAAGCTACAAATTTTTACTCTGGAGAGATATCTTCTTGAGCTATTCATAAAATAAAGATGTTTACTTCTTTTAAATTTTATCGAATTAGTATCATATTCAAATTAATCATTTGTAATTTAATAAAGAATACAACTACTATTAACATCTACTGAAGTGATATCCATTTCAAAATTCTTTGCTAATTTGCTTAAACTTAATTTAAATTCTTCAACTGTTGTTTTGCTCTCATATGTGTCCTAATCTATAAAACTTCTCAAATTATCACAAATCTAAAGGTTACAAGTCTTAAATAAAGTATCAGAATAATCCCAAGGACCTTAATGCAATTTATTAAAACATATTTCTGTATCCTCTATACTTATTAAATACCATTTATTATTAATTTGATGCAGTAATTTAAAAAAAGAACTTTCAGGTAATAATTAATATGTGAAATAGTTTTCAATTAGATAAAGTATCTAAAAGTAATATTTAATGTTTGGTTTAGGAAATTTTAAAATTCCCATCAAAGAAAATAATATTTTACTCTCAACTTTAAATTTACTTTAAAATTTCAATTCCTAAATTCTTTCAAATTTCTCTCTGTAAGATGTTTTTAAAAATTCGTCCTCCTATTACTTAATGTAAACTTCAGAAGCATCTCTAAGTACTGCATTTTATATTAATAATTGATGATTAGAAATGTTTATGTATTTTTTATTACGTAATTCTTCCTTTTTTATTTCATTTCTTAAATGGTTCATATATTCAGTTGTTACATTCTGTAAATCAAAACCTTCGCTGTTTTATTTTTATTCTAAAAAACTCTGATAATCTTTGAAATGTTATTTATATAATGAACCAACATCATATGGTTTATATTCTGGGCCTTTGATTATTATGATACTTTTAGAATGAGCAATTTACACAACTCTGACTTATGAATTTTCTATAGTTTTTTACTTATTTTCATTAAAAGTATCTTATTAAAATTGTTCTGATATAGTTCTAAAAGCTGGATTGGCTTCTTTTAAATCTTATTTATCTTTTTATTAAAATTAAATAACATCTGGATTGTCATCATTTAAAATTCTTGTTTTTTTTTTTAATTAAGTAATCCCAGAAATTCCATTTATTTTTGTGTCTAATTGAATTTCATTTGAAATTTCATCTTGATCTTCAAGTTATTCATCTTCTTATTTGATTGATAATGATACAATAGTAAATACTTCCCAAACAAGTCCACTAATTAAAGCTAATAAAAATATAGACAAAAATTCAAAAGACCCAATAAAAATCATAGCTGAAAACATATTTTCAGTATCATAAGTTAATTCGAATACAACTTAATTCCATTCAGCAGCAATAAAAAATTGAAGCATCATCAAATATGCTCCACTAAATGTTTTAAAATCAGCATATTTACAATCTCCCCAAGAGTGTTAAAATTCATTTGGATCACATTTAGAATTGGCATATGGATTATCAGGAACTGTTTCTACATCACCATATACATAGATGCCAATTGTAGCATAAATAAAGAACACCATTTAAACTGGCATCATCAATCTTAATATTATAGGAATACAGAATAAAATTTTATATAATAATCTTCTAACAACATCCAAAAATTCTACTCCTTTTAGTAAAAAACTAATAATTTTAACTGATCTAAATGCTCTAAATAACCGAAAAACTTTCTATATTTTTGCTAATCTCAATATTCTATTTGCCTTAATAGATTGTACAATATTCTCACTTACTACACTAAATAAAACATAATCAAAAACTAATTATAGAATAACCAATAAAATATCAAAAACATTCCATCCTTCTCTAAAAAATTCTCTTATTCCAAGTGCAACAATCTTAATCATACATTCTAAAGAATAAATTACTAAGAACATAGTGTCTAAAGAATTGAATATATCTAAGACATTAATATCCTCAATAAAAAATGCTATAATAATTAGTATACAATTTGTAAGAGTTACTATCAACATGATTGTTCCAAAAAGATTTCCTTCTATAAATTACATTAAACCTCTTTAATTTAAATATGCTCTTATTTTTTCCCAACATTCTAACGGTTTAGTCTCAGGTAGATTAAATCTGGTTCCTTCTTACAATACTTTTAATAATTAATAAAATTCATCAAATTAAACTTTATCACTAATTATTATTTTTGTTTTACTTGAAATCTTTATCAATTTCTCCAAATAATTGTTAAAGTTTGTGTTCTGATAATTAATTTTTATAGAAAACTCTTATAAAATCCTTAAACTATGTTTCAGCTAAAAATCCTTAATCTTCAAAATCTAAAGAAATAAAACTAGCCATCATAGCTGATTTCTATTTTATTATATCGCTAATTGCTATTTCCATTCTATGATTTCGAAATCCTTCATACACTACTGCTAATGGAATAGGTGCAAACAGAAAAATAAATAACAATAAATAAATAATAAAGAATAAAGCATAATAGGTTCCTTACATCATTGGCGGTATTAATATGTCAGGATAAAAATCAAGAGTTGCAGTCATTAGTAACATAGAAAAAAGTTTTAAAAAATTTCCGTAATCTTAGGTTTTTTTATCAACATTATCTAATTCTCCTATCAAATTTATGCCTATAAATGAAAATATCGAAATTACGAATATATATAATGCTATCAATAAAAATAAATCTCGACCTGCTTTCATTATCCCTTTTAAAGTCCTTCTCAAATCTTTTGAATATAAAGGCATTAATAAAGCTCTTAAGATTTTACTAAATCTTATTATACTAGGATCACCAAGATGAATAAAATAATCTAGTAAACACATAGAAAAAAAGAAAATTTTAAGTTATCTTTTTAAATTAAATTTGAATCCAAAACCTCCTTTCTTCTTTTTTGTTAACAAAATTACTGTTATGATAGTATCTAAACCAAAAAATGATAAGATAAATCCTTCTAATCCATCTGTTGCTGCTGATTCAAAGAAAGTCATCAATTAATATAATAAAGTTAATATGAATTGGAATTAAATCCAAAAGTACTAATTCTCAATAATCCATAAAATTTTTAGAAATTTCTTATCAGTTTCATCAATGTCATTGCGTATTGTTCTAAAATAATAAGCATCATAAATATGTCTTTCTGCTTTAGCAACTCTTTATTAAAATGTAAGTGTTTTCACTGTTTTTTATATTTCCTCTGCCAAAATATCATTTTTTTTAATCAGATTATCAGGAATTTCAGTAATTGTGATTGAAGCCCGATAAAGAGAAGCTTAAGAAGTTTTTCTTTTGTCATTTCTTTTCTCTTTTTTCATTATGGAATAAAATATATATTAATATTTAAATTAAGTAATTTTTGAGAATATTTCATTGTGGACTCTTATATTACATATCCATTTAGCCTTTTTTAAGTGGAATAAATTTCCAATCGTATAATTTGTTTTTTACTCTTAACCAGTTTTTATTTCCAAATGATTTGCTTTGACATTATGTTTATTAAATCAAAAATAATGAAATATTTAATACTTCTTAATTATTTTTTTCTTTTAATTATATTAAAAAATACTATATAATACTTCTTTTTTTGAAATTCAAAAATAAAGAGTATTCAATATCTTTCATAATAATAAATAAAACCATAGAATGTATACATTTTTAGTAGGTAAAAAAATTTATTTTAAAAATTAATTTTGTTAAATGAATATTTAATTTATATATATTGATTTTGTTCCTTTAAATATCGCTATTCTTTTTTTACTTAAATTTTAGAAAACTTTCAACTATTATGAATTGACATGAATGAAAATGATTTTTTTTTCATCTGTTTGAAAAACCTTTATTTATTCAAACTAATTAAACTGATATTTCAAAATTTCATAATATCGTATGTTTTATTTTCTCATTAGACCACTCATTAAAAAATTTATTTAATAGAACTTTAATTCCTGTCTTAGTTTGACAATCTTTTTAATTACGATTTAAAATAAATATTATATTTATTAAATAAAAATATGTATTTTACATAATGTTTAATAAATAATTTAATATTTATCTAATGGAATATAAATCTAATCTAGATAATTTTTGAATAATAAAGTGAAAGATAGTTTTTTTTAGAAGTTAATTTATATTGAATTAATTTACAACTTATAATATAAGCATAGAAGAAATAAAAATTATTAAAAATTGAATAAGTTAAATAGATTAAATAAAATAATATTAGAAATAATATATGGCAAGGTTATATTAATTGTTCATAAATTAATTAAATAAATATATATATGCAAGAGATACTTGATAAATTTCTAGAACTGTTGAATTAGACAGATGAAGGAATAAAGAATAAAATTAGAGCATAAACTGAAGTTAATATTGATTTTTAGGTTCCCAATTCTAAATGGGATGAAGCTTCAGTCAAATTATTAAAGTTACTCATTCAAACTTATTGTATTGATTAATAGATCAGTCATCATTAAGTCCCTGACAATGTTTGGAGTTTGATTTCATAGTTATTGAAAAAATCTGTAATTGATTGTAAATTATAATTTGGGAGAAGGAAAAAAATAAAAGTATTTTAATATTAATGGTCAAAAAAAGAAGATGAAGCCTTAAAAGAAATTTGTATTTCTTATTAGACACAGAATAAATAATATAAATGGAGTGACATAGCAAAAGAATTAGCATAAAAATTAAACCATTAAAATGTGAAAATGATGAAAATTGTTAGAGATAGATGGTTAAATAAATTAAATCCGAACATTCAAAAAGGTCCTTGGGAGAAGAATGAAGAATATGAATTATGTAAGCACCTTTTAAAACATGGAAAGAATTGGATGAGTATAGCAACGGAGATGAAAAATTAAAGAACAGAACATTCTATAAAGAATAGATATTTCAATATATTAAAAAAATTGGAGAAATAAGAGGTTCCTATATTAAGTAAAGCAGAAATTACTAAAGAACTAGGAAAATTATAGTTAAATAAAATAGAGAAATTAGAATAATTTGGATAATAGGAGATTAGTTTCATATTATATTAATTAAGTAATTTGGAACCAAAGATTATAAAAACTAAGTTAGAATTTGAGCCAGAAAATAATGTTCAGAAAAAAAATAATGGTAATGCTTAAAATAGTAGTTCTAAAAAATTATAAAAAGCAGCTGAAAAAGATTAGAAAACGCATGCAAACAATATAGTTAAGAAAGTTCTTTAATAATATCAGTAAGATGAAAATCTCGATTATAATAAAATGAAAGATCATTATTAAGATGTAGTAGCTTAGAAAGGAGATACTGTAGAATTGGATGAAGAACCAATTAGTGATTCTGACAACCTTTCAGAAGTCTAATTTGCTGTTATGGGTAAAAATTCATCAAATTTGCATTTATTTCCCAAATCCTAACTTAAGGCAGTAATGGAAGTAATGAAACAAAAAAAAGAATAGAAAAAAGAAGTGTAATAATCGTTGAATAAGATTTAAGCTCTTCCACCTCCACTTCCAAAATTAGATTAGAAATAAACATAGCCACAACAATAATAATAATCTTAATAATAATAACAACAAAATCCATAACAGATTTCTTAATAGATTCCATAACCTCCTTCAGCTTAAATACCTATTCAAATGCCTATTGTTTAACCAATTATGCAATCAGTTGCAATGCAAACACCAATAATACCCATATAACATTAAACATAAGGTTAATTACAATAACAATAATAATAGTAATAATAGTAATAGTAATAATAGTAATAGTAATAATAGTAATAGTAATAATAGTAATAGTAATAATAATAATAGTAATAATAATAATAATAATAATAATAGTAATAATAATAATAGTAATAATATTATTAACTTGTGTATCCTTCAAATTTTATGTACCCTTAAGTTTAAATGGCTCCAGTCGCTTAAATACCTATATTGCCAGGGTAAATGATGGGTTAAATTCCAGGGTAAATGATGGGTTAAATTCCAGGATAAATGGTAGGGCAAATTCCAGGATAAATGGTTAGCTAGATTCCTGGATAGATAGTTAGTTAGATTCCAGGATAAATGGTTGGTTAAGTTCCTGGATAAATGATTGGTCAAATTCCAGGATAAATGGGTTAAATGTTAGGTTAAATTCCAACTTAAATGGTTTCTACAATTCCAGGACAAATTCCCTAACTAATTTCTCCTGTTCCCTCTTAAATGATGCAATAAGTATAGGGCTAAATCCCATAAATGGTATAACCTGGATAAATGGCTACTGTATAAAATGGTTAAATATAGATGTCATAAATTCCATCTATCCCTTAACTTGCTTAAATTCCTTTGTAATCACTTCCTTTGACATCAACTCAACCTGTAGGAATGCCACAATAATTTATCCCAGTCTTGTATTAATTATTTTAAGACCATTAGATATGCTCCTTAGCCAGTATATTAATAATCATAGTTACCATAAGGATAATAAAATTAATAATAAAAGACAAACTAATAACAATAACAACAACAAGTTCCACTTATGAATTATCAAATTCCTATGATGCCTCAATATAGTGATCAGTACTTCCAATTTATGAATATGAATTAAAATAATTAATAAAAATAACCCAAGTATTCATAAGTCAAATAAGAGTTGGAAGAACAATAATAAAATCGTAAATGAATTAAATTAATAAATTTATTTAAGTCAAACCTATCCTAATTTAAACGAACATTAATATAACATAGCCCCAACTTTTATCTTTTCTTTATCTGATATCTTTTCTTCAAGGTCAGAAAAACTTTTAATTGGTGTTTGATGTTTCAAAAATTCATCAATTGACATACCTTTAAGCATATGTTTTCCATATAGCTATATACTAACTTTAGAGGATTTCTTAAATGCTAAATTAAGAAAACTAAGAATATCTTCTTTTTATAACAGATCTATTTAATCAATAGTAATTTCTTTCTCTTCAAAAATAAAATCATTATTAGATATATGATCCCAATAGCTTAATCCTTTTTCTAATAAAGTTTTTTCTTTTTACCTCAATTATTAGATCTAATGTATAAAATTTATTTTACAGCTGCTTTTTTTAATTCTTCTATATCAAAATCTGTCATCTTTTCAATTTCTTAATAGAAGTACTATAGAAAATCTTCAATATGTTGGTTGACTTAATAAGGAGACTTAGCACTTCCTTAGACTAATATTCCTGCTCCATCAAGACATTCTAATGGTGAAAACTTAGCAGAAACTAAATAGCCTAATTATAAATCAGTTCTCAAATAATTAAATGCATAGCTATCAAAGGTGCCTTTCAATATATTCATTATTGCAAATTGTTTTCTATTTCTATTTCCAAAAATGTAATAATTATATGTTGCTCCATTATTTTCATTTGATTCTGCTGCGAAAGGAACTATGTAATTATTAGATAACTTTAAAATCTTAGAATAGATAGGATTGTAATCTAAATGTTTTGGTTTTCCAAATAATTTTTTCTCAATAGATTTATATAGATTTAATGCTTCTTCTCTTAGGATATTCCCTGTTAAATAAAGTTAGAAATTTGTTCCTTTGAATAATTATGAATGGAATTATTCATAATCTTTTATGTTTATGTTTTTTAATTCTTGCAAGATTTATTTTGGTTCATAATAACCATAGATAAGGGTCTACAATAGATATTGTTATACTTACATATTAGAAAAAGTTATTTCTAATTTATGAATATAATGGACTTTGTAATTCCTCATTAAGTTAATTAATCAAAGACTTAAGTGTTTAATCATAAATCTATTAATCAATTTATTGTTTTGTAAAGAATTTTAATGAATCATCAATAAATTCGAAGAATTTATCATTCCATCCATAAATATTAAAAATAATGTGATTAGGAGATGATTAAAATTTAAAGTTGTAATTATTTTAAAAGGCTGATTCTAAATGTTATTAAATTAAGGCAGTAGTATATGATTAAAATACCTTTAAAAGCACCTATTATTTTAAAGTGAATTGAAAATTAATTTTATCTATTTTCATTCCCATAAAAATTGCAGGTGTTTTAAAGGATCGATCTAATTTCCACCATAATTTTCCTATTGATGACTTAAATAAATATTCAGGAAGTGGATACAATTCCTCATATTAATGTTCATATTGTAAGCATTCCTTAATTGATTAAAAATAATTATTACTTCAACATTAGAAAAGACCATTTCAGAGTTTCTTTAAATAAGCATTTTTTCATTTTGTAAATCCTCATAAGGATCCTCTTGGCTATTCTATTAATATGGTTTACAAAAGGATTTCATTTTCAAATCATTTGGTTAATATTTATGAATTGATGGTAATTCAAATTTTGGTTGTTCAACTTCATCATAAGTTTAAATTTTTTAAATTACTGAATCTGGTATATCCAAATAAACATAATTAATTCTATTAACCTTGTCATATTAAACATCAGGATGATTTAATTGAGAATCACCTAAAAACACATTTAAATTATCAATATCCAACATATCTGTTAAATAAAAGTAAATCAATTCAGGATCATAATCTTCATATAAATATTTTCTTGATAAAACATCATGAAATCCATAAATATTTAAATTATGTGCTATCTCTTAAATATCTTCAATAATGTTCTCATTAAAATTAAATTTTAGAGATGCTGTTTTTTTATAATCATTGTATAATGATCTTAATTTATCATTATCAACTAATGTATCTCCTTGATCATCAAATAAGGTTTGAATGAGATAGTAATAATAAGAGAAAACAGTCTAAATAATTTGATCATAATCATTTAGATTGTAAACTTAAAATTCTAAAGCCAATACACTGAAACAACCATTATGATCATTGAATAAAATTCCACTAGACATGTCTATAATCAGATTTTTTTGTATTAAGTATTCTTTAATTCCTTTTTTTTATTAAATTAGATTATTAATAAATTCGATTGATTTGGTTTTGTATTATTATTAAACATCAGACAATTAATGTGTTATGGTAATTTTCTTGACATCAGATTTAGATCTATATTGGATCAATTAAGTGCCATACTAGATTGGATTACCTAAATCTTCACAGGATGGTTCAACTAAATTGTTATTTTTAATCTTTTCAAAATTCTTTATATAATTTTTAAGTTCAGATATAGGCAGACTACTTTCTACAACTAATGACATTAAATTGGATGAGTAAGCCTAATTAAAAAATTGCTTCAATAACTCTGATACTATCGAAAGTATATTTAAAATATATTACTTTCGTCCTTTAATAAAGTATTCAAATTTCCAATAGAAAACTAACTAAATGGATGTGACTTTTCTGAAATAATTTATAATAAGGCTTCAATTTTCCATTCATCAGTACTAGTGATTATTTCATATTCATTATTGACTGCGTTGACTTCTTTTTCAACCATTTTTTAATCTAAAACAGGGTCAATAAAAAAATGACTGAATACATCTAAACCTTATTATAAAGCACTATTTTAAATAGTAAAATAATAATTTGTTTCATAATTATCTGTGTATGCATTGTTTGTGCCTCCGTTGTTATAGATCAAATTATTAAAATAATTAGGATCAGGGTATGTATGAGTTCCAACAAATAACATATGCTCTAATAAATGAGCTAAACCTCCATAATTAGCTGGTTCTTAAAATGATCCTGCTTTTACACTTAATGCCACTTATGAAATAATTGCATCGTTATTTTAGATCAACAAAACTTAAAGACCATTCTCTAAAGTTATAAAATCATAGATATTTGTATCTATTAAGGGTTTTTTGAGTTATTGTTTCTAAAGAAAAGATGATTTTTCATGTTAGGCAACTTTTTATTATTAAATCATCATTGATAGCATAAAGGCAATTAAACAGAAAACAATAATCAGCATTATTGTGTTTAATATAGGGGATATAATTTTCTTATATGCCTTCGCATTATTCAATTTAAGTTTCTATTCAACCAATCCTTAAATTTCTTCTTCCATTAAAAACGATAATATTAATTTGTGATTTTTAATAAATTAAATTAAAAAAAACAGAAGAATTTACAAATGCTCTACGCAACAAATAGTATGTACTACAGATAATTCCTTACAACCACAGGAAAGTAATAAAATATTCATATTTAAACTAGGAAATCAAAAGCACAATATCAACCATAGTAATAGCAAACAATTGCAAAGGGATAAAACTCTGAACATCCTGCTGCTTAAAGTGCATGATTTATATTATCAAAATATATTACACATATATTAAATGCAAATTATTTACTTGAGTTTATGCTTTTACTATTTATAGAATTTTTGGGTATTTTCTCCACAAATTAGATTATATAAATTTATTGATTAAGTACAAGTCATCTAATATTTATGACAATAGTCTATTTATTATTAATATGTAATAAAACCAGAATTTTGATAAAATTTCATAATCATCAATAAAATCTTTACATTCTTAATTAGACACTAAAGATCAAGTTATAAAGAATTTAAATAATATAAAAATTTGAACACTTAAGATGAAGAGCTAGGATAATAAATCTGCTTCATAATCTTATTAATTTCTTGATAAATTAGGTGAAGGGTATATATAATCTTTTAAGCTTAAGTTCTTTTGGATTTATATGGAAAGTGAAGCATATTTTGACTGGATAGATATTTGCATGTAAATTAGTAAAGAACACAATGAAAAAAGAGAGAACACTTCTTTAAAGAGAAATAAAGATTTTATAATTGTTAAAAGGAAAAAAAGGTAATATTTGATCTACTAAAATGAAGGATTTACCTAATTGATAGCATCTGGTTAAGATCATAGGAATACTTATTTTATAATGAATTTGTTGGGAGAAAACCTAGAATAAGTAAGAACAAAATATGGGAATTTCGATAATACATCTATATTAAATATAGGATAATAGATGATTTAATTATTGAAAGAGTTACATAATTCTAATATAATCCATAGAGATATAAAACCTGAGAATTTTGTAGTTTTTTAAGATAAACTTTATTTAATTGATTTTGGATTATCCAAATAATATATTTAAGATGGAAAACATACCGAATTCAAAGAAAATAAAGGTATGATTGGAACTGCAAGATATGCTTCCATAAATTCTTTGAGAGGTAATGAATAATCTAGAAGAGATGATTTAGAATCAGTAGGTTATTTATTAATTTACTTATACTTGGGTACTTTACCATGGAATAATATTGTAGCTGAAGACAAGAGTGTTAAGTATTATAAAATATAGAGAATGAAAGAAGCATTTAAACCAGAAACATATATTAATCTACCTTCTGAATTATCAAAATATTTGGAATATGTGAGAAGATTGAAATTTGATTAATAACCAGATTATGATTTTATGTTCCGATTATTCAAAAGAGGAGAAGATTATACCGGAGTTCCAAAATTGTAAATCTAATAAAATCATATGCCATTTAAAACAAATTTAGTACATATAAAGAACAGAGATAGAACATAATGTTAAACAACTCGTAAATTGTTTAAATAAATTGAAAACACAAGTCGAAGAATTACTTTTGAAGATTTAAGCTCTGCTGGAGCAGATATTATGGAAGAATTAAATAATAATGAAAGAATCTAATTATAAAATCTATCAGTTGGGATTAAATAACCAAATTCATTTGATAAAATCAACAAAATTAGAATGGCATCGGAATAAATCTTTGAAATTGAAAATAAACTTCAATTTCAAACACCTTTTTCATTAAAATAATTATAATGACGATATTGATTTTTTATTGATTAAAATTAATACATTTTATATTATTAACAAATATTTATGTCTTCCATGTTTCAATTCGAAAATTTAACAATCAAATAGACTTATGCAATTAAAATCACTTAACCAAAAATTGAAAATATAGAATTATTCTATTTCGATTCAAATTAAGAATTTTTAGTTAAATTACGAAATGCAAATATCTACTATCCATGTATAAATATTAAGACTAATTAAAAATTTTCTGCTTAACAAATACATTCGTAACCTAATAGTTACACTAATTAAGAAATAGCTGTATTAGAATTACTTTGTAAGTATCCTCATACAAATATTATCAAGATTTATGAAATAATAAAAAAGGATAATTACGATTTAGTCTTGTAAGAAGAAATCACATAAAATTTAGAATAATTCTTACAAACTTAAAAAAAACTAACAATTCAAATGAAGAAAAATTTCTATTGTTAATTATTATAGGGATTTAAACATTTATAATCTAAAAATATTATTTTAAGAGATTTATAACCTAAACATATAGCTGTTAAAACTATAAAAGAGAATGATTATATTCTATAAGTAAATAAATCTTATGTATAATATTATAGATTTCAGATTTTAGATCAGCTGAAATATCTGAAACTGGAAAAATTAATACGATAAATGGAATGTCTGAATTTGCTGCCCCAGAAACATTAAAAGAATCCTAAAAAATTACTGGGTCTTGTAGTATTTATACAGTATGATAAATTATTATTAAATTAGTTAGGAATGTTATTGTATTATATATGTAATTAGGGAAAGAAACCTTTTAAAGCAAATTCTCTTTCAGAATTGATTCTCTAATAAGAAGAATTTTTAAAAAATCTTTCAACCAATCAAAATTTTAATATGGATGATTTAAAATTAATAGAAAATTATCAAAAAATGCTTGTTTATTAAGCTGAAAAAAGAGATTAATCTATTTTTGGCTTTAATTCATTAAAATAGGAATATTTTCTTTTAGAAGATACTTATTTCGTAAAAAAATCTTCAAAAATAGGAGATGGACAATAAGGTATTGTAGTTGAAGCATTTAATATTGAAACAAAAGAAAATTTAGTCTGTAAAATGATTAAAAAAGATTACAATTCAGAGGAAATCTTGAAAGAAGTATAAATATATGAACATCTTGAAGGTCATTAAAATTAAAACATTATTTAATTAAAAAAAATAATTAAAGACTCGGATTGGTATTTTATATTTTTGGAAAGATGTACAATGAATGTTAAAGAATATCTGAACAAAAATCCAAACGGTTTTACTGATTTACAAGTTATAGATTTCTTATAATAAATAATCTCAGGTTATTACTATATTAAAGAGCGAAACATCTTACATAGAGATTTAAAACCAGAAAACATTATGATAAAAATTGATAAAGATAATTATAATATTTATAAAGTAATATTTATTTATTTAATAATAATAGATAATTGATTTTGGAGTTGGAAAAATAATCACTAGTTAAGACTTAGCAAGTTCTGATGTAGGAACTACTCTTTTTACAGCACCAGAAGTATTAGAATAAAAATCAAGTTATAATGCATAATGTGATATATTTTCTGTAATAATGGTATTAATTTCAAGATTGGAGCAACATTATATTACATGATTTTCAAAGAATATTATACAAAAAAAGTTAACTAGAATGAAATTTTATAAGAACAAAAGAAATTTGAGACTTAACCCTTTAAATGTCCATTTTCAAATAGGGTAAATTATCTAATTAATTAAGAATCCCGATATTATATCATTAATCGAAAAAATGATAGTTTACAATCCAAAAAAAAGAATTAGTTGGGAATAATTGAAGAATTATGTTGTGTGGAAAAATTCTTAAGAAATTCTTAATTTTATTTATAACTTATTTTTATTCTCTCTTGATTGTGAAAAGTTACTTTTTGAAATACAAGAAAAGAATAAAGATAATTTAGAGTTTGTAGGACATATATAGGCTTATAGAACAGTCATTTTGATGTTTGCATTTAAAATCTAACAGAAACTAGAATAATCACTAAAAATTGGATCAATCAAAATTAATGATATTGAATATCAAATAGATTAAAAATTAATTTTTTCAGAATGGATGAAAAAAAATAATTTGCAGATTTAAAAACAAGAAGTGGAAAAAAAATAATAATAATTATCTAAAGAGAATCTTCATATCTCTAATATAGCCTAAGACATTATTAATAGAATGAATATAAAAGAAAAAGAAATTACCTTAAATTTTATACAAGTTCACATGTGTTATATTAGTTTATCTGATTAGTTATAAAATATTGTTTTTAGTTTTTGTGACTCATTATTACTTAAATATCAACTTGTTAAAATGAGAAATTTATTCAAAGACTTTACCCATTATTATCCTTTAGGATAAGGCTGCTAAAAATTATTATTAACTAAAATTACAGAAGAATAAATGCAAGAATACATAAATTAAAATTAATGATCAATAAATTTAATAAAATAATTATAATTTATGATAAAATATTTTCAAAATTAAATATTTTTTAGGATAAATAGCTAATTAAATATAGTATAGTAAAAAGTTTATTTTTAAATAGTTTTTTGTCTATTAATTTATGGATTATTAATTTTTTTATAATTTAAATTTAATAATTATTCTTAATGTCTATTACAGAACTAAACAGAATAATGAACTAGTTATTAAGTTCTATTTAAGGAAAATAAGAAAACAGCATATAACAAAATGTTTTTGATTTGTATAAGTATATTTTGGATCCTGAATTTGACGAATTTTTATTACAATTATGGTAGAAATTATTTCATTATTCTAAGTTTTCTTTATTATGTTACAGATGATAAAAAACTGAAGGAGCTACTTTATAATTATGCTTAAACAAATAATTCTAATTATTATAGATTAGTATGGACTTTAGAGGCTTTAAAGGAGGATTCGAAATCCAAAAAAGTAAAGGAAAGTTATAAAAGTTTTTTGAGAGTAAGTATTTTGGAATATAAATAAATTAGTAATTAAAAGAAGAATTCGTTCAAAATAAATAATTTTAAATAAGCATCCACTAAAAAAGTAAAATATATTTAAAAAATTAGATGGATTGATTCAAAATGATAGAGAGAGTTATAGGGAAATATAAGATCTGATTATTTTTAATTGAAAAGCATAAAGTTTAAGATTGAAAAAAATAGAAATAGAAAAGTAAAAAGCTTCTATGAGCTAATTTTTATAAAAAATAAATCTAATAATAAATAATCTAAAAAGTTATAATTAACCTGAATTAAGGGGTTTGACAATACCATTTAATTTTGGAAATAAAGATTCCTATATAATAGTGAATTTATTAGTCGACGAATTTACATGTTTTAATACTGCAAAAAGAGTTCCTTATAAAATTATAGTTGAAACAGTAAAGTAACAAATATATTTTATTTAATAATTAGTCCATTTGAATTATAACTGTGCTAGAGTGATAATCAATAATCTAAAATTCATATTTCAGAACTGATTCCGATGTATGATATTGAAAAAGAGATGAAAACAATATCTTAAATTAAAATATATTAGTAATATAATATATAAGAATTAAAAAAGTATAAAATTAATACAAATTCTATTAGATTNTAGTAAAAAGTTTATTTTTAAATAGTTTTTTGTCTATTAATTTATGGATTATTAATTTTTTTATAATTTAAATTTAATAATTATTCTTAATGTCTATTACAGAACTAAACAGAATAATGAACTAGTTATTAAGTTCTATTTAAGGAAAATAAGAAAACAGCATATAACAAAATGTTTTTGATTTGTATAAGTATATTTTGGATCCTGAATTTGACGAATTTTTATTACAATTATGGTAGAAATTATTTCATTATTCTAAGTTTTCTTTATTATGTTACAGATGATAAAAAACTGAAGGAGCTACTTTATAATTATGCTTAAACAAATAATTCTAATTATTATAGATTAGTATGGACTTTAGAGGCTTTAAAGGAGGATTCGAAATCCAAAAAAGTAAAGGAAAGTTATAAAAGTTTTTTGAGAGTAAGTATTTTGGAATATAAATAAATTAGTAATTAAAAGAAGAATTCGTTCAAAATAAATAATTTTAAATAAGCATCCACTAAAAAAGTAAAATATATTTAAAAAATTAGATGGATTGATTCAAAATGATAGAGAGAGTTATAGGGAAATATAAGATCTGATTATTTTTAATTGAAAAGCATAAAGTTTAAGATTGAAAAAAATAGAAATAGAAAAGTAAAAAGCTTCTATGAGCTAATTTTTATAAAAAATAAATCTAATAATAAATAATCTAAAAAGTTATAATTAACCTGAATTAAGGGGTTTGACAATACCATTTAATTTTGGAAATAAAGATTCCTATATAATAGTGAATTTATTAGTCGACGAATTTACATGTTTTAATACTGCAAAAAGAGTTCCTTATAAAATTATAGTTGAAACAGTAAAGTAACAAATATATTTTATTTAATAATTAGTCCATTTGAATTATAACTGTGCTAGAGTGATAATCAATAATCTAAAATTCATATTTCAGAACTGATTCCGATGTATGATATTGAAAAAGAGATGAAAACAATATCTTAAATTAAAATATATTAGTAATATAATATATAAGAATTAAAAAAGTATAAAATTAATACAAATTCTATTAGATTTGCACAATAGAAAATAGATTTCTAAAAATTAAACAAATCTTAAAGTTAGATAAAACTACCGGAGAAAGATATTGTTGTATCTAAAGTTCCAAATAAATTAATTTGGGGAGAAGATTGGAATATTAATTAATAAAAGATAAAACAAAGTTCTAAATATGGGAATCTGAAATCTCATGATGTTAGATAGATTATTATAAAAGGAGGAGATGATTTAAGAAATGAACTCTTAATAATGTAAATGATTAAAAAAATACATGAAATATTCAAACTGAAATAGTTAAATCTTTTTTTGAGGCCATATGATATAATTTTAATTTCTGCAAATAGTGGAATTTTGGAGTATATTCCAAATACAGTATCTTTAGATAAGATAAAGAGAGAAAATTAAAATCTTTCATTGAAATAATTTTATTTAAAAAATTTTGAGAACTTTCAACAAGCATAAAAGAATTTTGCAGAAAGTTTGGCAGGATATTCATTAATTTGTTATTTATTTTAATTAAAGGATAGACATAATGGAAATATTTTAATTGATAATGAAGGGCATATAATTCATATAGATTTTGGATTTGTATTGACATTAACACCAGGTAATATAGGATTTGAATCGGCTCCTTTTAAATTAATAGATGAATATATAGAATTATTAGATGGAAAAGGAGGTGATTTATTTAAATATTATAAGATTCTAATATTTTCAGGTAAACAGTAACATTATTATATAATAGGGCTTGCAATTTTGTAAGAAAATGTGACAGAGTTATTAACTTATTTAAAACTAATGCATTTTAGTCCAAAACATAATCTTTTGGCTTGTTTAGAGAATTTCAATTTAATTGAATTCAAGAAAAGATTTCATGAGAATGTTGAATAAAGAGTATTATATGAAAAAGTAAATAATCTTATAGAATAATCAAGTAATTCTTGGAATACAATTTTATATGATTATTTTTAATTTTAAAGCAATACTATACATTATTGAAATTATATTAATTTAAAATGAAATAACCATCGTATAGATGTACAGAAAAGTTATGGAAACCAATAGTAAGACCGCCAAGACATAATTATAGATTGAAAGATATGGGAAATGAGAATTTCATGGTTTCAGACACTGTAACTAAAAGATTAGACTTTGAAATTTAAAATTGTCGAGGGTTAATTTTGTAATGCAGGTATTTAGCTTTAATTTTAAATAGTTTATTTGAGGCAATAAGAATGTAAGATAAACCACATCCATGTATGATATATTTACATGGGAACTCAAGCAGTAGAGTTGAAGCATTAACGATTTTAGAATATTTATTACCTAACAACATCTCTGTTTGTGGGATTGATTTATCTGGTATATTTTATAATAAAAATTATATAGGTTCAGGATAATCATAAGGTGAATACATTTCTTTAGGATATTATGAATCAAGAGATGTTAATGATCTATATGAATATTTAAGATTAAATAAAGTAAGTGAACTTCATAATTATAAGTATTACAGCCATTAATTACATAAATTGGATTGTGGGGTAGATCTATGGGTTCAGTGACTGCTATCATAGCAGCAACTCTCAATTAAAATTTCAAAGTTTTAGTTTGTGATAGTCCTTTCTCTAATTTAACTCATCTCTGTTAAGAATTAGCATCAAATAGTTATAACATACCTAGTTGTTGTTTTAATTGCTTTTGGTGCTTAGTTAAAATTAAAATTAAAAAAGAGGCTAAATTTAATATTGATGATCTCAATATTTCTTAAATCATTCAAAGTAAATCTATAAATCAATTTTAAACTAGCTTTATCTAATGATACCTCTATTGTATTCTTATCTGCCAAATAGGATCAATTGATCTTAGAAAAACATCCTAAAATTCTAATGGAAAAATTTAGAGGAACCAAATTACTAAAACAATTTGAAGGCACTCATAATTCAAAACGACCCCAAGATATTATGAAGGAAACTGTCTAATTTATTATTATGTAATTTGATAAAATTTCTTGGAATTAAAACTCTAGAGATACTAAAATTACCAATAATACTAAAGATTAAATTCCCATCCCTGATATAGATGCTCCCCTTCTGTCATCAAAAAAACCTTTCATATCCAAATAGAATATGTGAAAGCAATCTAAGTGATTAAATCTATTATTAAAATTACAATAATTGTGATATAGTAAAATTCTTTTATATAATTTTAAATTAATATTCAACTATTTGTTTTTTTATGTTGTTTTATCATATTTTAAATGTCATCAAGCACCCTGATTTTACTCTATTACACTTATCTTTAATGCATAATATAATCTTTTGTCTTTAATGCTTCCTTCTCTTCCTAAATTTTCTCATTCTCTATCAATTTCACTTTATCCTCTAACTTTTATTAGATCTCAATTTATACATATTTTTATTCATTCTATAATGTTTTCTAACATTATTTTGATTTTATATATTTATTTTTATAGATTTCTGTCTATTACTCATTAACAACTTATTACTTTTTCAGCTCTTATATTAATCTATTTGATTCAATCAATTCATTTTGAGTATAATTCAATTAATGTTGCAACAATTCTACTTTCTATTCTATTTATTATTATTTCTATTTGAATTTACAAATAATATTACTTCTAAATGCTATTAATTTAAATAAGATATATCATTATCTAATTCATAAAGTAATTACTATAATCTTCTATTATCTTAATTTAATTAATCTATTTCTTGTAGAAGTTCTGCTTTTTCTTCTTAATCTAATTAATACTGTCTATCAAATTAAGATAATTTATCTTCATATTTTTAAACTAAAGAATTTCCCTATTCCAATTTTGATTTCAATTCCTAAACTTCTTAAACTTTATAATTTGCTTCTTTTAACGCTAAATCAGTTTTATTTCTTTGATCATCTAAATGAGCTTATAATTTTATATTTTCTTATTATTTATCTGAAATTGCATTATTTAATGTAAATTCTTATTTCTATTATTAACTAAGTAAATTTTCTAATTACTAAATTTGGTTGGCCATATTTTTTATCTTTTCCTTCTTTTTATTGACTTATAAATTTAAATCTTGTTGTTATTACAATTTATCTGATTAAAATTTATTTAAATCTAATTAATAGCGTTCTTCATTAGTTTTAATAAGTTTTTCAAAATCTTCATTTTTAGTATTTAAATTATCAATTGTTAATTATAAAATTTTTTTTTCTTCATATTATTCTTTTATTTTTGATTCTAAAAGTTATATGGTTTATTTATCATCCTTTATTCCCATTTCAAGATATTTACATTATTCTTCTTTGGAAATAAAAGCTTATTTTATAACTGAATTTTCATCTTTCAATAATGAAAACCTTTTTTCATGATCCTTGCTAATTCATAATTAAAGATTAATACATTTCATTTGCTAAAGTGTCAGAGAGTCGTTAAACCCTATCCAATTCAACCTAAAATTAGCCTTTTTATTCTTCTAGTTTTGTATCAAAGACTTTTGATTAATCCTTTAACAATCTGATTTTCGTTTTCTTCTTTTGAACCTTGATTTTCATTTCATTTAATTATGTTTTCAAAACTTCATTTCCTTTAGTTTACCAATCTAATCTCTCTCTCTCATATTTTTATATCATTTCTTCTTTCAACTGTAGTATTTTATTTTAATCTTTGCCCTCTTACATGTAATCTCTCAAAGCTGCCTATGCTGTTGAGAGAGTGTTCTTACTTTCAATTTTGAATTGAGTTCCTTTAATTAATTATATTTTTCTCTTGATACAAAACCAGCTTAAATAGTCATATCTCTCCAAGCATTAGGAGAATTAGGTACTGAAGGATCAATTTCTCTTCTTGCTTGATTTTAACGATTAAGTAAATCATTACTTGAACCTTGATTTGTTCTCATTATTTAAATATTAATATTTTATAACAGCCACATTAATCAATTATACATTACAATTATAATAGATTTAATATTTATTATAAATTCTTTCTTTACATTTTATGAGTAGTGATAATTTAAAAAAAGGATTGATTAATGATGGTTTTCGAGATTTTGGAAGTTTTGTAGAAACCATTATCCCGATCAAAAAAAAACAGCCAGAGAAAAAGTAGGATTTTTCAGGAATTTATTTGTTACTTGGATTTATCCATCTTTGTAAGAATAAATGATTTATTAGAAAATTAGCTTAAAAATAGAATATGTATATTTTTAAATAATGATAAATAAAAATTAATATAAAATGAACTTAAAATTTAAATTAGAGAGACAATATATTAAAGTACTGTCTATATGTTGATTCCTTTGTTTATTTATTTTTTTTTAAGCTGGTGGATTTAATAGTTATATGTATAAGCAAGTAGAGAATTACAAAGATTGGAATCAATATCTAAAAGTCCAATTTTAAGTTTATTTGGAGAATGTATAAATGGGTAGAGTTATATGAAAGTATTTAAAAAGGAGAGTAAATTTATAGAGAAACTTAGTGATAATATGGATGTAAATCGTAAAGTATTTTTGGAAATGATAGAATTTCAGGTTTGGTTTATGTTGATATTGGGATTAGTAAAGTTATTTGTAAATGCACAATGGCCTTAGTATATTGTGTATTTTATTCTTTTTCTCTTCCTTCTTTGGCAGGATTATTATTCATATATGCAACATAAATAGATGGAAATGTTTCAGAATGTGTTTAAGCATTTAGTTAATTATAATTGGGATTGGTATCATTTGAAAGATGTTTGGTATTTAGAAAGATTAAACCAACAGCAGCAGGTTTTAAATAATCATTTATAAGAATCTCATTTTGAAAATTATTTAGATCATTGGCCAAAATAAGGTCGAATAGATTATATAAATTATTCAGTAAGATATAGAGAAGGATTGAAACCTGCATTAAAAAATTTAAATTTTACAATAGATCCTTAAGATAAGATTGGAGTGATAGGAAGAACTGTAGCTGGAAAGTCAACTGTAACATTGACACTTTTAAGAATTTTAGAAGCTTTAGATGGAAAGATAGTAATAGATAATGTAGATATATCAACTATATCTTTGAAATAATTAAGAGAACATATAACAATGATTATGAAGGGGGACTTTGAGAGAAAACATTTATCCTTTAAATTAAAGAACAGATGAAGAAATCATATAGGTATTAGAGTAATATTGTTTGAAAGATTTGACTATTCAGAGGAATGGTTTAAGTAGTTAAATTAGTGAAGGGGATGATAATTTGAGTCAGGAGAGAAGTAATGGATTTGTATTGCCAGAGCTGTATTGAAAAAGAGCAAAGTAGTTTTAATTGATGAAGCCACTGCTAATAAAGATGTCGAAACAGAAATACTCAAGATAATCTAAATATTATTAAAAGAGAGAGGATATTACCATTGCTTATAGGATTAAAACAATTTTACATTGTGATAAGTAATTAATTATTGATTGAAAATATTAGAATATTAGTAGTCGATTAAGGGAAAACGAAAGAGTTTGGATAGACAAAAGATTTATTATGAGAGAAAGATTCTATATTTTATGGAATATATTAAGAAGCATTAGAATAAAATAAAAAAGAATCACAATAATAAATAAAGGGGGAGTATAATTTCAATTATAATTCTATACATCCATAGAAGGTTCTTGGAATGTTTTAATTTAAATGAAATGACCTTCAGTTTTTCTTTCAATTGAAGGTATTTCTACAATGCAATGAGAATAATACTAAAATTCTTCAGGATAACATAATTCTAATGTTTTTTTAGTAGTTTCAGAGACTTAAACTTTACCTCTTTCCCCTTTAGATTCCATTTTATTAGCGATTAAGACATCCGGTCCATATATATCATATCTAACAATATCAGTACCTAGAACTCCTCCAATAATTCTTCCTGTATGAATACCTATTCTCATATCTAGATCTGAATTATTAATTTTATCTCTGACTTTACTTATGATATTAATCATTTCAAATCCCATTTCAACAGTATTTTTAGCTTCTAAGGCAGGATTTCTATCTTTAGCATCAACCATTCCCATAACAACATAACAATCACCAATTGTATATAATTTATAAACATTTTTATCTTGGCAACATTTATCAAATTCAGTGAATAAATTCCGTAACATAAATACAACTTATTCAGGAGCAACTTTACTTGAATATTCAGTGAATCCAGCAATATCAGCAAATAAAAGTGTAACATCTTCATGTTAATCTTTTAAAACTGCTCTTGATTATTACAATTATAAGAATTGATCAAGCATATGAGTTGGTAATTAATGTTTAACTAACTAATCTAATTATTCATGTTTAGATTTTAATTTACATTTCTAATTATAAGCTTCAACATTCTTCAAAAACTTATATATTTGATTCGATACAAATATCACTTATAATAAACTTGCATAATAGATTAATGATTTCTCCCAATCATTTACTACAACTGCAATGATATTCATACTTATCATAACAATACTTTCTACTACTTTGTATTTCATCTTAATTATGGGATTGAGTTAAGTCAAAAATGACAGAAATATACCTATAGCGATACAAACTTCTCCAATTATTCCTTCTTTCACACTAAAGATATGCATAATCCACCAAATTAAAATAAAAATATAGAATCCAATAAAGTATTTCTATTCAAAAAAGTGACGACAATATTATTCATTTAATAATAAACAAATAAATATTAGTTTGACAAATACAATCAAATATCCTTAAACAACATTGATATACCATACAATAATTTCTCTAAATATATCATCAATCAAAATTGTAGATGTATTCTATATCAGAATTAAGATACCCATTCCAAGTTCTAAAAGAATGACTAATATTTTATTTTATTTTATTAATTACTAATAAAACTCTTAAATGACCTCTTCATCAACATCTGAATGAAAATCTAAATATAATCTTTTTTTATCCAAAATCAATACATCCATCTCTTTAAACTCATCTTCCGATTAATGCATTTACTTTATTTTATCTTTATCTACTTCAATCAATGGAAACTCTAGATTATCTTCAAATACGAGATTCTCTCTTGCTAATTTGATTTCTAGAGCTTCAATTAAATTTTGACCTGTTATCGTTTGTGGTTATTATTCCTTTATTGGTGCTTACATTTGATCACTCTCACCTCTAGAATGATGTTAAGATACATTATTATTATTATTATTATTGCTATTATTTAATGCAACATTTGGATTATCTAAATTAATACTTGATTTATGCATTAATTATGGAGTAACTATTTTAATACTTGATTAAACAATAGTAGGTTTACGAGAATTCTTGAATTAAAAATTAGAGTTTCTTTATTTACATGCATAATCATCTCTGTTCATAAATATCGACATGTCGTCTTTAAGTTTTCTCAATCTTTTTCTAGATATCTTCTCTTTCATCACTTCCTATACTAAATAAGTAGTCAATTGTCCTTTTCCTTTAGCTTCCACTATATCTAAAGTGAATGTAAAATCAACACATGATTAAACCTATTTAAAGGCCTCTTCAGATATTTTTATCTAATTATCCTATGCTGTAGAACATACTCTACTTGTTGTATTCACGGTATCACCAATCAATGAAAATTATGGTTTATGATATCCTATTACACCAGCAATCACATTTCCATAATGTACTCCTATCTTTACCACTATATTCTCAGTCTATCCAAAACTTTAAGATAATGCAAACTTTTGCATCTCAAATGCTACTTATAAAGCTCTTAGAACTGGATTTATATTATTTTATGATATTAAATTCTTCAATCCAGATGCAGCCATGTAAGTCTTACCAACTGTTTCAATCTTCTGTAAATTATATTGATTACATAAAGAATCGTATTGTCTAAATAAAATATCTAGCAAATGAACCACATTCTATTATTACACCTTTATTATTGTATCAAATTGACAAATGTCACAAAATAGTATTGCCACTTCTCCTTAATTCTCTTATATATCAAACTCTCCCTTCTAATTTATCATATTTCTTATGAACTTTGGCATCAATATTGATAGCGTATCACTTATCGAATTTATTTTCTAATTCAGTTACAAATTCTAAATGAACTCCTATCTCAAATTTCTTTACACTCTCAAATGCATCCCGCTACTTAAAGCTGTCTACATAAATGCTATCAGATAATAATTTAGCATTATATATGTATTAATATTTTAATTTATAGATGTGTTGTTTGCACTGAATCTTATTATAAAACTTATATTCACTATTATACAATAGAATATTATTGTCAAAGGTCTGTCATCAATCAATGGTTAAAGCATAAACAACTACATTATCAGCATATCACTTAATGAATTATCATTCTGCTAAAAAAAGTATATATCATAAACAATCTTGTACAAAAGACGTGATAAAATCAATATCTTTGACAATCTGAAATGATACTTCTTAAATACTGACGTGTATATAAATAAAGCCATTAATATTTGAGTACCGTTGTACCCATATGAAAAATAAAGTAACCATGTATAATCAAAATCCTTATTTACAAACCAAATTTACAGCAATATTGCTCCTTCAACAAGCATCCAACTCAATGGATAATAAAATCGATAATATTCTAAAATAGATGTTAACTCATTCAATTGATATTTTGTTTCCAACTAAATGTTTTTGAATTGCTAAGTAAATTTATTTATTTTTATACTCTTCTCGCTCAAAGCCATACCTGACAACATTGATCTTATTGAAGAGTCCATATCGTCTTCATTTTTAAACAATTTTAAAGCATATTTTTATATATTCAGTAGAAGCAAACTATTGTTCTTCTTTTGTGAATAATGAATCTATACTGGCTCCAATTTTTTGCAAATTTCACCCTTATCTTATACTGAAAAAGTTAATTTATCAATACTATAAGGAATAAACTAAAACAGTAATTATTCAACTGTAAAAACTATCAAAATGATTAGTATGATATAAAAAATACTTTGAATACTTATCAAATGTTCAAGTATTTAATAGTAAGTCTCTTAAAAGATTTAAATATAACTTACGAGTGTTAATAAATATAGTATTAATTATAATACCAACCAATAGATTATATTATCATATATCCATTTGCTTTGTTCAACAAAAATAATTATTGTGTACATCTATAAGGATTAAATTGAATTATCAAAATCTCTGCCATCATTGGTATAAAATTCAATGTACTTTTAAATTATTATAACAATAAATGATTCGAAAATTGAAAACAATAATACTTTGTAAATGAATAACCAATATTTGTGCTTTCTAAACTGTATCCAATTCTAATTATAGAAGTAAACTAATTATTATTTAAAATCTGTTATATTTCTTGAATTTAGAATTGATTACTTATATAATAATAAAGAAGGTAAAATAAACATGATCGATTAGAAATATGGGAGAGGTGGGATTTCATTTTGAACATCCAGAATACACTGGAAGAATATGCAAAACATTATTAGATAACATCTATAAAAGGCATATACCATTAAATTTTCTAGAAATTCTGCATGTTTTCTACTGTCATAAAATAATAATGTAACTAGATTATTCATATCCTTAATAATTAAATCAGCTGTACTCATATATCTTAACTTAGAATATAAAAATTTTTCTAATTATTTATTAGAGTAGTTTAGTTATAATTATTTATACTTTGATAATTTATTAGGATTATTTTAATTTGATTCTTTTTTAAGTCTTTCTATTTATTCCATTTTTTCAATTTTGCTATCTTAATTAATTCTCTCATTCTGAATTTGTATTGCAAAATCTGATTTTTCCATGATAATAGAATCATTGGCTTCATCTCCAACTACTAATATTCTCCTTCTTTATAATTATTTCTTCTATAGAATTTTAATTAAAACACCTTTTTGGTATTTATTCATAGAATATCCAATAAGATGAGTACAAAATGAAACTAAAAAAGCCAGATGATTATATAAATTTGAATCATTTTCAATAATCTCAAGAGCCTTTCCTTCAATCATTATACAAAAAGGTTTCGTTTTTGATAAATTTTTATTTATTCCAAGTAAAACTCCTCTTGTACTGGCTCTTCTAGCAAAATTTATTGATTTTCTCTTATTATTAGGACTGCTAAGTTTTTGATTATTTTTTTTTTCTGCTTGTTCTTCTCTTAATTATTTAATTAAGTTATTATAACACCATAAAATATGTTACTTAATTTATTAAGATATCATATCATTAGACTCTATTTTAAGAATATGAATATTTTCTTTCAATATATTTGATTTGTATGCAATAGGCAATACTTTATTTTTATTATCACCACTAGCAATCCATATTGATATGTCAGCATTTTGATAAAACGTAATAATATCCTTTAATTATTTTTTTATTTTTTCTTATACTCCAATAATTAAAACAACTTCTAATTGATTGTTTTTATTTTTAATTTCTTCTTATGGATTCCTTATAAATTAATTATAACTATTTTAATCCATATTAAATTTATAATATATGATTGGTCTACAACCTTTTTAAATAATTTTATTAATAATTCCATTCCAAACATCTTTATCATCCTTATCCATATTGATACCTTCAATTAATTCTAAACCATCTTCTCTGATATATTGAATATATTCAAATTTGTCATTAAATTAAAAGGCTAACAATTTATTATAATCTGTGATTTAGGTTATTACAGATAATTTTGTATTATCTAATTAAATAACTGTTACTGGAATTTCAAGTAAATTTTCTTTAATTTCAATAATATATTTATTTTTTCCAAATGTAGATCCAATGAATTTATAATCGTAATTTTAAGCTAAAGTAATCTATAGTTAATCAATTTGATTATTAAATTCTTGTTATAACGAATCCTATTTCTTAAGATATTTAGTTTAAGTATTATGACAAATAATGAGAATAAATAAGGCTTCTTCAATAACTCCTCTATATTCTGGAGTTAAAGATTTACTGAATATTTCTTTTTCATTGCTTGTAAAATCATCTTATCGATCATATAGAATATTGAATTCATCAGTTTTATAAAATCGATCAGCAGATAGTTTTTTTTATGGTTCCATTTTTTCTAAAATAGGTCTTCTTTCACTAAACTTTCTTTTTGCAGTTTCTTTGATAGGAGATTAAGATTTAATGATTCTTTGTTCATTTAATTAATTAATCATTCCTCCAAAATCAATTCCAGATTCCCAAGAATCAATTTAAAATAATTTAGGTGGTTTAGTTCTATGTATTTCTTTTAATTTAGAATGATCATCTGCAATTTCTTCAGCATTAAAATTAACTTCATCCTATTAACTAGTTTCCCTTATATCTTACTCAATATTAGGTTCAATATTCACTAAATTATCCTCTAATCTCCAAGGTGAAATCGAAGTTCTTTTAGTAGGACTCATAGGTCGATGATGAATTGATACTTTGATTGATGAAATTTGATTAGGTGATAATGATGAATCTTAAATAAAAAGTAATTCTTAATTATCTATGACTTCTTTCTAGTACTTTTTCCATTGAATAATATTTTTAAATGTTTTATTATGTATTACATAAAATGTATCATTTAAGAAAATTAATTTAATCTTAAATAATGGTATTGTCATTGTACATGTTTTATCAAAAATAACAGAATCAACTAATGATAAATCAGCTATTGGAGTTGGATTTAATTTACTATATATAGTGTTTAAATCCATTTTTTGATTTACAAATATGTTAAATTCTTATTAACTTTCAGCACTCTAACTTCCTTTTTGTTTATTGAATTAAAATAATTTTAAAGTTGAACTAAGAATTTATAATATATCCAATAAACCTATCAAATAATATGGAAACATATTCAAATATATTAGAAAATAATCAGCTAAATGTTTAATTCTCCAACCTTTATCAATATATCTAATGGATTCAATCATCCATGAACCAAAAGATAATAAAATTATTAATATTAAAGTAAATTTATAGAAAGTATCCATTTTATTTTCAAAAAAAGACTTTGTAGATTTTTCGAAATTACTTAAATAATAATATTTACAATTTAACCCACAACTCAATATCAATCCATAAACATAATCACATGTTTATAATTATTATCCTCTATAGAGAATATTCTCACTTTTGATATCAACAGCCTAAGGATCATTCTTTAATCTTATGAATCCTGTATAAAAAGATTCAGATTTATAATCCTTATCAAATGTTACTTTACCACTTAATAATAATCGATATTCAAATCCATTACCTTTAAATTAATGCATCTTAGGTAAAGATGTTAATTCATTAGCAAACTTTATCCCTTCATCTGTCTGTCCACTTACACATGCATTATTTACATAGCATTTCTCTTAATTTGATTCTAATATTAAACAATCTGCTGGACATATCTCATTCCTTTATAATATTATTATATCTCCAATTTCTAAATCCTCCCATTTTATTGTTTCTATTATACTTATTTTTGTGTTCTCATTCAATTCTGTTAAAGGTTAAGGAGATTAAGGCACCATTGCTTTCTCAGTTCTCTAACTTTATACTAATTATATCTTATTTAGTTTTTATTCATATTCCATTAAACCGATTTTTTTATTTTGCAACATCTTCCTCAATTTCTTAAATACTATCACTTTTCTTCTGTTTATTAAATTATCCTCTTCATATACCAATATCATGTAATAAAATGTTTTTATTAAATACATTACTATACTAAATAGAAATGGAATGACAAATCCATATATAACTTAAGAATCATTTTGACTTATGCTTAAACATATAATGCTAATTATCGCAAATATATGATTGAAAGGTCTCTTCAAATATCTCCAAATAACACTCCCCAATGATTATATTGTAGAAATTTTATTTTTTAATTCAGAAGATGAAAAACCCTTTAAATTTACTGTGTCTCCATTTTCAAATTCTATCTTGTTTATTAAAATAGATGATATACTTGCTTTGAATATGAATCATCACTCTTTTATTTGGTTTTTGTGTATTTCCTATGCAGGTATTCATATATTAACTATGATAATTTCATTATTTTATTATATTATTTCATTCATCCATTAATGTCTGTAACTCTAAACAACTAATCTATTTTCTTATCAATTTACTCACTATACCCTTTTCAAGTTTATATACTTTGAAATTTACTTTACACTTACATCTATACAATTTAATATATATTCATTAATAAATATATTTATATTCTTTCATCTATCAAATATTCTATTTAGATAACCAAATCTATAAATAATTACTTTTATTATTAACAAAGACGATTATTTTATAATTAAATTAAATCTAGATTTAATTTTTCTAAACATTTATATGTGATCGCTAAGGAATAAAAAATGACTATTTTCTAAATCAATTCCATTTTAAATAATTGGTGAAACTTTACATAATTAAAAATTTTTAAAATGCCATAGTATCTTATCGGTTTAATTATTGATTCAAATTTTTAATAATTAGAAATTAAATTTCATCAAAAATTGAAATAAGATATATTTGTCATTAATGGACTAATTAAGAAACATTATTAAATCAAAATTATGATATTATACATACTAAAATGCAACCATTTCTAATATTAAATTGATATAAAGTCTAGTGATAATGTTAAAATATAAAATTCTAATGGAAAACAATAAAAACAATAAAATCAGAAAAATAGAAAAATTTAGGGATAAAAATAAAATGAGAAATTAAAAGATGATAAACTTTTGTATATTTTTCTTTAAACTTTAAGACTATTAAATAATATGATAATAATATGCTATATGCTTATTATTAAAATCCTGAAATTATTTTTTATGTAAGGTTTGATTTATAAAATAAACTTATTAGCATTGATATTAAAAGTAATTATAAATAATTATACATATTACAACTTAATTTAATAAAATTAAGACAATAAAAATATATATCCAAATAAATCATTATCTAAAGTTAGAGATGCTTAATTTTTTTAAATTATGAAATTAGATTATGAAAAAAAATGATATATAACATTGAAGAGAGATAATTTAATGATCATATTTAATAAGATCTCTACTATTGATTAAATATTAATAGTTAGTCTAAGAACAAAAAAAGATGATTTTCTAATATAGATTGTTTACTTTTTAAATAAAAAATTAAGACCTCTATAAGAATAATAAAATAATATTACAAATTTCAATTGAGTGAGATATTCTATTCCTAAAAAAGCAAGACTTATAAAATAAATGATTAAATAGATATTTCAAAAATAAAAACTACTATAATAAAAATGTGTTTAATTTTAGATTCTTGTCGTAAATAATATATTTATCAATCTAAACATGATTTAAATTATTAAAAAAACTTCAAATCACTAAATTATTTTATAGGCATTAGTTCAAATACAAGAAAAATAAATATTAATAGATTAAGAATAATTATATTGAATTGAAATTACTTTGAAATAATAGTTTTTTTAAAAAATAACAAACTTTGTTGACTTCAACTGGAAGAAATTTTTACTTTTATTGACAATATACTTTCTTAACTACTCCTAGAGATTTTATCTGAGATTAGGTTTCTATTTTATATCTAACCTTACTATCTTTGATATTTAAAATTGAAAATTTTCAATTAACTATATTAATTCATATAATAATGTTTCGTAAAATGAATAATTTATTTATGTAAATATTTTAATCATCTTAAATAAATTTCGATTTTATTTTAACATTTTCATAATAGAAATAAGTGATTTTCTTGTAGATTATAAATTATTGTTAAAACAATAAATGATCACTATTCTCTAATCGTGTTTACAAATATTTAATTGGTTTATGGGGATTTGATATATTTCAAACTTTTATTTTAACATTCAATTAATATTTTTTTATACCTTGTAGCTTTGAATTAATAGGTAAATTAGTTATTTATATGGCATTTTATCAATCAAGGGTAATTATAATTTATGGTGAGAAACAAAATAAAAATTTCTATTTAGATTGGAATATTCTAATTTTGAATGAAATGGTTTGAAGTTTATTAGAATTAGAGTATGTAATAAATAAAAAAGAGGGAGAAATAATTTTTAAAATAAAAAAATTGGTCGGGGCGGGAATTGAACCCGCGACCGTTGGCTCATAAGACCAACGCTCTAACCAACTGAGCTACTCGACCATGTACGATGAAAATAATACAGTTATTCATAAATAATCAGCTGATTTGATTAACATTCATAAATAAATAGTTTCATAATATAATTAATATTGATAAGGGTTTATAATTTAATTATTTTTATTATCATATTATATTATTTAGATAAAATATAGACCTATCATCATTAATTCTGTGCAATAATATCCTTTTTTAAAATCTTATTTTACTTAATATAATGAATAAACTTGGAGATACTTTTTATTAAACTAATATTTATTCTTGAAACTAATAGATATATCCTTCAAAAATATCAAAGTTAAATATAAATTCTTTTTTAGATTTTCATTTTTTTTTAAATTGACAAGATTACTATTTAATTTCACTTAAAAATTGGAATTGAATATATATATTCTATAAGTATTGAGGAAACTATATTTAAATTCTCTTTATTTTTTGCTTTAATTTATCTTACTTCCATTAAAACTATTTTTTTGATTAAACTTAGTTTTGGCTTGTTTTTTATTCAAATGGATTTCTATTTTCAAAACTTGAGAATTATTTTAGATTTGAAAATGCAAGACTAGACCAATTTATCTTTAAAAAATTGCTATTTTAAAAATAATAATAAAAGAAAAAATTGTTAATTAATTATAAGTTTTTTTTTTTTATTTTTAAAGACTTTGATACTTTCTCAAAAGATTTATATGCAATTATATATGCTTTTAGTTGTATATGAGTAAAATTTAAAAAAAAGATATAAATATGTAAATAAAATGATAAATTTTATTTTATTATTTATTCAATCAATTACAAAGTGAGTGTTTCTCTTAATAATTCCAGCACTATAATCTAATTAAGAAATGTCTGCCATATTTGATTCAGTGATTGAGATATCTTCATTTTAAGAATCTGATTGTTTGCTAGTTCTCATGCTATTTTTACTACTTTGAAAATTGAGATTTTTGTATATTTTTTCAACATCTATTCCTCTAGATTTCACTGCTTTTACTAACTGTATTAATTTACGTTCCTTCTCTGATTATGTTAACATTTTTTATTACATTAGCTTAATTTAATCTTTTAATTTATTTCGATCCTTTTATTATTCTGAATTGGTTTAGCTTTTATGATTTTATTTAAACTCATCTTAAATTTTGAGTACTTTTTGTTAAATTTCATATTCTTTAAGTTTATTTTCTAGAATGAAATATAAAATATTACAAAATTACTATTAGTTATCCTTAGATTATTATTCTAATTATTATAATTAAATCAACAATTATGCTTTTTCTTAATCTTAGACTTATTTTTCATTGATTTGTTAATTATTTATAATTTATTTGATGGCTTATATAAGTTAAATTAGAATAAGAGACATATCTTATTCATTAATACAAGAATTTAATCCTGCAAGTAATTTAGTTAAAATTAAATTCAATTCTTTAATACTAATGTTTTTACCAATACTGTCAACAGTTGATTTAATCAATCTGATTATTTCTTTTTTTGATGCTTCAGATTTGAGATAGGATTATTCAGAAAAATAACTCTAAACAGATAGTACATCTTTTTTCTAAGTTGATTAAGTGGTTTATCTACTCTGTTATATTATCAAATGATACCAATCGTTTATCTGGGGTCAATAAACTATTATTGTTATAGTATTTAGATACCGATAATGATTTCATTAAATATTAATATTTATAAATAAAACATATCAGCAATTTTAATCTAAACCTGGTTTCTTAAATAATAATTTAATTTATTATACTAATTTTTAGAAGTATTGTAAACAGGGTGTTAAATTCAAACCACAATTTTCGTAATATTATGTACAATAACTCTAACAAATGGGAGTAGTTATATTTGTGGTTGAATCACAAGGAGGGAAATTCCATTAACATAAGAATTATTTATATGCTTTATAGCAAGTATCATCTTTTATTAAAACAATATCTATTTCCCCATTAATTTCTTAAACTAATCTATCCCTAACATAAGATACAAAGTCTAATCGAATTTCTTTATCTCTATTTTAAATAGTATGTTCTGGCCATAAATTCTAATATTAAATTTAACTATTACTCTTATTTAAGGAACGCAAATGTAATCATTAAGTTCTGTATTACAAAATTCAATATCTTCTGATATTAAGAATCTTTATTTACATAAACCTGATTCATAACCATTTATTTGACATCCAAAAGAGAAATTGGTAATAATAAATAATAAAAACATAATTTTAATGAAAAATAGACATATTAGTTTATACAGCTATATTGCTTTCTTATTTGTTATGTATGGTGTTTGGCATCTAACAATTCAATCAAAAAAGCATGGAGGATATAATCTTAATTAATTACCAGATCTCATCTCATAATTAAATAATACAATTAAACCTCAAATAACCTTCAATGTTTTGAATATGTTTTCGTAGGAAGACATAAATACATTTAATGAAACAATTCATTAAAAGTATACAGAATTTGATATTCAATTTAACATTGTTGAAGATATCAATCAAATTTAAGAATAAGATAAGTAATGAATTCAATCATACTATTAGATTGCTGATAAATATATAGAAAGCATAATATACATTTATATTCATTCAAAAATTGGATTAAATTACTATTATGACACAAGACTTAAATGATCCTTCTTTATTTAAAAATTTGAGAAGATATTTTAATAAGTTTTATCCTCTTGTTTAGAAGGAATCATAATTAGAAAGTAAATAATTTTATGTTAACAGACTCTTGATTTTTGATTTTTTAATTATAGGTAAATGTATTAATTCTAAACTTTAGATAAATAAAATAATTCTCAGTATAATAATTTATTGAATGATATAGAAAGAAGTGTATTAAAATTATAAAATTATTTTGGTTTACCAGGAGAAAATATCAGAATTAATTATAAATATATAGATGGGTAAAATATTGAAATTACTCAAAATTAAATTTATTTATAGAAATAAACTATAAATAATATTTTAGAGTAATATAAATAGCAACACAATATGAATTGGAGAGAATTTTTCTAGATGAATATTCTAACTATATTAACTGATGAAGATATTGCTATTGATTTAGATAATAATGAAAATGTTTAATATTTTTTTGAAGAACCTTAAAATTTTATGTTTCATGTTAATTCTTAGGAGACACTATTCAAAAATATTTTCAATACTTATATTTAATTTTTATAGTTGGAAGAATAATAATAAATCATGATAGAAAATTAAGATTTCAAACCAAGTTTAGAATTAATAAGAGATTACTTTTAAAAAAGAGAATATTTAAGGCATCTTTAAAATTTCAAAAAAGAATTAGAATATGTTTAATTTATATAAACAGAAGGGGAATATAAAATAACTTTGAATAGTCAAAAAGAGTTTGAATAAAGAGTTGAATATATAAAGGAGACATTAATAAACAAGAGAGTTATAAAGACAGATACAGTAAACATTTTGATTGATGATGGTTTTTCAGATTTCGATACGTTTTCATTTGAATATACGTAAAGTTGTTGATTATAAAAATAGTTTGGGAATGTATTTGCCTTTGATTTTGCCATTTGCCTATCCAATATTATTGAGTATATATGATGAGTTGTCGAGTAAATGATAATAAAATGAATTATTTATTAATATTGCTTTATATATATTAAAGTACAATATTATCATTATTTACAATCATAATCCCAATATTATTGGCAGAAAAGGGATATACATTTGAATAATAAGGTATGTATTCATTAATCAGCTATCCATTTTATTTTAAATTTATGTTTGCACCAATAATTGATTTGTATTAATTTTAATTCTTGGGGAAAAGGAAAAGGTAATAATAAAATTAATTGAACATAGTTATATTATACCGATAAATTTATTATTATCAGTAATACTTTTATATTTGTCAAGGATTGAGATTTTAACAAATTATCATATTTTATGGATTTTAGGATTTATTTTGTGTTTGTTTTTAGGAATATAAGATATAGCAATAGATGGATTAGCAACTGATTTATGCAAATAATAAGGTGAAAGTGCTGCATTGTTATAGAATATTGGTTTTACAATAGGGAATTCGTTTCTTGGAAATTTTTTATTTATAGCTTTGTATTCATCTCAAAATTGTACATTAGAAACATTTTTTATGTTATTGTCAATAGTAGGTTTAATATTAACTATATTCTTATATTTAAATTAATAAGAATAGGAAGAGTAGTAAAGAAGTGCAAAAAACTTCTAAGATTTATTAAGTGTAATAAAATCATTTTTTAGAAATGAAAATATGATAAAATATTCATTATTGATATTTTTTGAAAGGTAAATAGTAAAAGTATGATTTAGAACGGCATTGTCATCTTTGGATGCAACATTCAGATTAAAGTTAGTTCAATTTAATATAAATAAAACATATATATCTTTGATTGATACAATAATTTTACCATTAAAGATAGCTACTGGTTTAATCTATCATTAGTATTTCAACAAATATGATTTTAAGTACGATTTAATTATATGTGTAGATATTATGGAAACATCTAATATTTGAGATTGATTTCAACATTATTTGCAATAGTGACATTATTATTGATAGATAAATTTGAGTTGGATGGACAATTTAGTTATGTAGCAATATTCTTTTCGAATATGTGTTGGTGGATATTATTTAATATTACATATATTGTTAGAGTATTCATATAGATTTACATATAAGGGTAACTTTTAAATGAAGATAACTACTCCTGGAGTAGAAGCTACTACTTTAACTATTTTGAATAGTATAAGTTAATTAGGAGTGAAATTGGCATTTTCAATAAGTTTGATAATGGCAAATTATGTGAATTATTATTGGTTGCTTTGTGCTGGATGGATTATTCATTTACTATATTGTTTTAGATATTCAGAAACTTATAGAGATTTGTATATGTAGCCCATATAAAAGTGGTATTTAAATAAATAAATCAAACAAATTTGATTATTATTAATTATAAACTATCTTTTGTTATTTCTGTACAAATACTAGAGTTCGATGCTCTCGATATTCATTTAGATCAAGCCTATATTATTGACTGAGAATAAATTTAATTATGAATAGTAAAGACTCTTCTCTTTAGTATCTTATCCTTTTCCTTCAAGATTATATTATTCGCTCCTATAATATATTTATTTTATTTTAAATCTTTAGGAAGAAGAAAGACGAATATAATATTATAAGTTAAATTTAGTTATATATTGTAATACACATTATTGATATAATTGAATTCTTTCTGATAGTCTAGTTTAGATATTTAACAAAACTATTTATTATTCTATATTATTGGATTATTTAATGCTACATTCTTAGGAATGTAAGATATAGCTTTTCATGGATTTGCTGCTGATTTATATAAGAAAACTAATGAAAGAGGTAGTTACTTTTTAGCTAATTTTAAATTTCATTCTCTAAATAAATATTAATTATGTATTATATTTAAAATTTATTTCGATATTTTGATTATTATTGGCAGTATATCTTTGTTAAAAATGTAAAAATGAATGAGTAACAAAATTAAAAATAAATTAAAAAATTCACTGGATTCAGACAAGTAATCAAAGGAATATTGCATTATGATTTATTTTTTGATAGATATGAAGAGTTGCTCCTATTGAATCTAAATTTAGAATAAATTTGACAGAGTTAAAATTTAATAAAGCTTATGTATCATTTATTGATACAGCAATAATGCCATTAAAGGTAGCAGTTGAATGTGTATATCATAAATATTTCAATATATGCAATTTTGAATTCTATGGATATGTTTAAGGACTATGATTTAATAATATTGTCTATTTGCAATAATGTCTATTTTCCAAGTAGATGTTGTAAAAAGTTAATAACACACTCAATTATATAGCATTATTTATTATAAATAAAACTAGGTGGATAGGATTCAATTTGACATATATTGTTAGTGTATACAAATAACAACACCAGGTTTTCTTTATGTGTTTTATGCTTTGCTTTGCTTTAATTACATAATTATTATTCACACTTAAATCTATTAAGTTATATAAAAAGATCTATTTATGTTCCAATAGATATATGGCATATTATTCAATAAAATTTGAGATAAGAATGAAGTTTAATTATTATAATAATAAATTTCATTAATATAATTGTCTTCATAATGAAAAATAATTAGAATATTTAAATTAATTAAATAAGTGATCATGGCTGAAGAACTATACAAATTGCTTATTTTGACTTATACAAATATAGACAATACAATTCGATAACAGGCAGAATTATAATTGATGAACACGGTGATCGAGAATATCTAAAATTTCTAATCGATAGCTTTGATTGCAAAGAGTTAAGATAACAGTATATATATTAAATTAAATTACAAAGTGTAATATTAAGCAGCGAGTTTGCTAAATTCAGCAGTATTAAAGATGCTTACAAATTAAGGTAATCTTTTTTGTATTTATTAATTTAGTAGAATTAAAAATGCAACATGCAGAATTGATCCTTGATGTAATAACATCTCAATATACTTCATTAAAGTGCAAGTTACTATTATAAAAATCGATGAGCTTATTGATTAAATTAATAAAATGTAAAACACTTCGTAATAAAATTGTTTAGCAATTAAATTGGATATTGAAAAGAAAATGAAGTAATTAGTTTAAAGTGAATAATTGTGGGAAATCTAATCAGGAATATTTTTCTTTAAAACATTGATTGACTCTTTAAAGTTATCATCATATAATTTTGCGATAAATCAAGGATTCGATTGGATAAGAGACTTCTTTGATTTGATATATCCACTATTTAAAAGATTGGATGAATAATCAGGAGATTTAAATGATGAATACATAATAACAATAAAATATTGCTCATCTGTCATATTAGAATATTGTGAAGAATTATTTAAACATAAAAGTCATAATAAAGAATCATTAATTCCACTATAAAATATGATGTTTAAATTAAATTCATTCTAAATAATCTTATTGGCAATATTTAAATATTCCCCTCCAGCTAATTTAATTTAAAGTTGTATAATATGTTGTACAAATAATGAATAATTTGACAACAGAATAAATGAAGTTAAAATGTACGGAATGAAATGCCTTCAAATATTAATAAATAATCTTTTAAATAGAAGTAAGAACGAATAAAAGAATAGTGTATTTTATAATTAATAATTTAATTTAACTAAATTATCACTGTATTCTATTTTTACTTATACCAAACAATCAAGAATCTAAGATATTTTACAGTAATTATATATAAATTATAAATCAATTAGGAAATAGTTTCTGCCAAGTATATTGAGTAGTATTCTGAGATTATTAGCACATTTAGGTGCATAAACTGAATTATATCCATAATTCTAAGAATCTAGTAGTCCTTTGATTATTGATATTATCTATCCTTTTTTAGTAACTTCAAATAGTGAATATCAAATTATGAAAGAATAGCCTGATGAATTTGTGAATATTGCATTAGATGTTGTAGACAAATAGGAATCAGATTTACCAAAAACAGCAGCAACAACCTTATTAGAAACTTTATGTGATCACATAGATGGATCAACATCTATTTTAGCATAAATTGCTATTATGGTTATATCATTTAGTATATTGGAGTAGACATAGTCATTATTAACTTAATCATAACAACAAATCATATAAACAGAAATAAAAAAGATTTCTGATAAAAAATTATTCTAAGAATTTACTCCTGTTGATAGAATAGAAAGTGGTTTGATGATTTTAACCATTATGAGCTATTTAATTCAAAAAAGATAAGACATCATATCTTTAATGGAACAATTATTATAAACGAATCTGTCATTTTTCACAAACACTACTGAATAAATTATTAAAGTTAGATTTGCTTTGTTTTTTGGTTATTATTGTGATAATTTATTCAAAGTGGAATCCTAATTTTAGATTATGTTAAATTATATCTAATTGTTGATTTCTTATGCTAAACCACAAGAACCTGTTGTATTGTATATGTCTATTGAAGCATTAAAAGATATCTTTGAAGATGACGAACTTAAAAATAAATCAGGAGGTTTAGTGCCAAATGTATTTCCAGCTTTAATTAGTGGATTATAATTTAGTACATATGAAAGACATTTTGAAATGATCGGAAATCTGATAAAGAATTATTCAACAATTTTAATAGCAAACGAGAATTTTATTATTAATCTTGTTTAAATACTTATCTAAAGAATTATTAGAGAAAAAGCTTTGATTAAAGCCAATAATGATTCACATAGATACATACATTTAAATAGATGTTGGAATATTTTAAGATAATTACCTACCATTAAAGAACTATAACCTATGCTACTCAAAATTGAAATAGCTATGTAGCCAATCTATCAATCACTTGCATTATAAGATAATGAATTAAATTTTGATGAAGAATTGATTTTGTTCATCTCTTCTGTCATCTAAAAACTCTAATCGGTTTCACAATTTTAGAGAGAAATCTTGCCTTACTTTTCTTAATTAATTACCAAATAATCTGGAAAGTTTGGATACTTATTTGAAACCCTAAATATGTACATGTACTATGGAAGAAATTATTTTATATAAGAGCAAGCACAAAATGTTTACTTCAACCTGGCTTTTTAAACATTGATGAAAGAGGAAGCCTTTGAAGATATTGATTTGGCTGAAGGTGCACTTTTGATTTAATTAGGAATTCAAGTACTTTAAAATGATATCAGTCAAACTTTATTAACTTAAATATTTTAATAAGTTCTTTAATTGATTGCTAAAGAAAATGTTACTGGTATCATTCGGTCTAGAATAACAGCAATTTTTTTAGTAGCATTTTACTTCATTCCTTAATAATCATATCAAATTTTAGGTGAACATTTTCAAAATGTGTATAATAAAGTTTTAATTACTCAATATCATCCAGGATATGATATTAAATTGTTCATTATAACTATTTGTAAATTAATCTAATAATCTCCTTAACTATTAAATCCAGAATTAATTCATATCATGATTAGAAATTTGGAATTGCAAGAGAATGTAGAAAACTAAGAAAAAACAGATTATGAGTAAGAAATTTAATATTTATTTAGTGATGATGATATGATGAATGATGATGAATAGTGCGAGATGTCTGAAGAAGAGGAAAGACAATAAGCTAAATAGCAAATTGAATAATTTAAAAGCGATTTATAAAATATTGATGAATTTACGAATTTTAGAAATACTCTGTTGAGTTTTAAAACTTAGTAAGATAAATTTAATTATAATTTAGACATCCTCAAATAATAGAATTAATCAAATAATAACTTGATAATTAAACTCAATAAAAATTAAACAATTATTTAAAATTTATAAGGATAGATAATAATGAAACTGCAAGAAAAGTAAAAAATTTCTTATTTATTTTAGATGATAACGATTGGTAAAAGAAAAATTCAACATTAAATTAATTGAAATAATTATTATGTAAATAAATAGTTCTTTATTAATAATAAAACCTATAATCATATGAAATTCATTTAAATGGCAGATATCTTTGGAGTTCCATACAAACAACAGATCACTTTAAATGAGAAAGTTTAAAAGTCTTTTCTTGGTGGAATAAGTTCATTGATCTTAATCTTGGTAGGTTTTGCTTACTTAATCTATGTGATAAACCAATGGATTAGCAATGAAATACTTCCAAAATCAACTAGCACAATGAAGGTTGATAATTATTCTGAAATTTTATTTGATAATGAATAGCTTTTTGAATTTTGTTATTGGAAATACGAATAATCTTAAGTGGATCCTTTTAGAATGAAACGTAACATCTTAACTCCAATAGGAATCTATTTTATAGATGGAATTCCCTAAAAACCTTTTTCTTTGTTAACAGAAAATTAAAAACAATCTGCATACAATACTACTCTGATGAGTCTAGATAATTTATAATTAATTTAAAATAGTAATTTCAATAGAGAGTTGAATGCTACAAAGGAATTAATGATTGTTATAGCATCTTGTAATGAAACAATATTGAATGAAGGTTATGAATGTGCATCGGAGGAGGAGATTAAGGATTTCTTTAACTCTTCAGTTAATTACATAAGTTTTTGGTTGAATTTGAAATAATATGATCCAAATAGTCAATAATTTGAAGTAGTGAAGAAACAATATTATATGTCTTTTGATTATGAGATAGCTTAATAAGGTTAATTGATTCTAACATAAACAAAAGCAACAATTGATACAGGAATAATATTTGGAAAATTTGCTTCAAAGGGTTATGTTTACAATGCATAACTTGTGACTAGTGCAACATCGAAAAACTTTTGGTAAACACTATTGGTTTAATAATCATATTTTAATTTATTTATAAGATTGGATCCAATGTCATATGACACATAAATAGTTTATCCAAAATTAGGTGAAATATTAGCTTAAGTTGGATCCATTATAAATATGTTAATGATAATTTAATATGCAATATATCATTATAATGAACGTATATTGGATTGTGATTTTATTGACAAAGTTTTAAAGTTTTATTTCTTTGATTATGCTGATTTGAAGAAATCAAAGAATAAGAAAGATCAAGAAGCTTGTTAAGAGTTGATGTAATAAGCACGGAAGAAGTTAGTTTATACAAATGTTATTTATGAATTGTCAAGAATATAGCTATTTTTATTGAATCATTTTGGTAGGAATCTTTTAGAATAAACTCATAATCTTAGTTTATCTGCTAAAGGGGAATTCAAACCAAATTGTGAATTATATGATAAATTCATTACAATATAGAAGAATGATATTTAGTAAAATAATATTCAATTTGATAAAGCAGATTTCAATCTACTATGTAGAGCAAAATCGAAAACCTTGATTGTAGGGAACAATAATAATAGTAATAATAATAATAATAATATTAATAATAATATTAATGGAGATTCTGGAGCAATGGATAGAGTATTTTTAGATGTGAAAAGCTCTTCATTGAAATCAATTTAAACATGATACATTATATAAAATAATTATATAAAATAGCTAATGAATTTAATGGAGAGGAGAAGGATATACTCATTGTAAAGTAAAGATCCAATAAATATTCAAAAATATCGTATGGATGTATCAATGGACAATTTGTAGAAGCGAAAGACTTTAAATTCTGAGCTACCATAATTAACATAGAACAAATTGCATATGGTTAAATATACAGCTTCAATGAAATTTTAGTAGAAAACGAAATATGAATAATTGTCTATGAAAATATTGAAGGAACCATATAGAGCATTGAATATGAAATAAAGAATGATAAGAAATCATTTTACGTTTCAATAAAAAATTTAAGACACTGTGGCATATGATTGTATACAACATATATTATCGAACACTGAAAATACAATAATCAAAGGATAAGTAATGCTTCCTGTATAGAATGAATAATAATATACAATACCAATATCAAGATAAGGTAGTCGAGTAGTGAAGTATGATGATTATGGATTAGTATTTGGAGGACATTCTCATAGAGAGAATATCGAAATTCATGCAATATCATTATTAAATGGTTAATGGAAAAGGAAGCAGGAATTTTATTAATAATAAATAGAGTAATTAAGATTGAAATAGATGTTAAATCCAAATTTGAGATTAGGTTGTTATTTTAGTTTGAGCATAGATGAAAATAAAATAATATATGCATTTGGAGGTGAAAAAAATATGAATAGTAGAAAAACTACAAATGTTGTAACTAAAATATGTATAGAAGAAGATCAATTAGAATGGTAACAATATTAAACTTAAATTGGATGTCGTAGAAATCATAGTGGGAATTATAGTCATAATCATTTAATATTGATTGGAGGATTAGATGATAGTGAATTGAACACAAAGTTTTATAACGATTTTTAATTGATAAATTTACAGAATATGTAATGCACCTAATTTTATCCAAAGTTTTATTAGAAAGAAATGATTTAGAATGAATAACCATTTAAATTAGGTATAGCTTATCATAGTGCGACATTAGTAGGTAATCCATGTTTGAGAATGAATTATGATTACACATAAAATTCTAAGAAAGAAGAATAAGTAGATTAATTATTTACAAAGGAAGGTATTTATATTTTTGGAGGAAAGGATAGTGAAGACAATATACTCAATAATTTATATTAGTTAATAATTGATACTTATCCATCAGTCTTATTGTGTGTGGAGACTATAGGATAGAAACCTACAAATAGACGATCTCATAGTATGAATTATGATGAAAAGATAAGTGCCTTGATATTATTTGGAGGTACAAATGAAATAGAGTGTTTTGGAGATTTACATTTATTATTTTTAAAAAATTACATTTGGTAGAAAGTTTAATTATAAGGATATTTGGAATATCCTTTTAGATATGAACATTGTAGTGTTTATAATGAAGATAAGTTGCTTATTTTTGGTGGTTTAAGTTAAAATGGATTTTTAATGTATAATCCTATTTAAATATAAATTAAATTTAAAACAATTCGTAAACATAATTGAATCTATTTATACATTTTTATTTATATTAAATATTAATTTAAACATATGTAAATAAAGAAAGTCTGTTGCTTTGGAGCAGGATATGTAGGAGGACCAACAATGGCAGTGATGGCTTCTAAATGTCCAGAATAGTTATTTGTTGTTTACGATATAAATTAATAACAAATTAACAAATGGAATAATAAGCAATATCCAGTATATGAAGAAAATCTAGATGAATATATAAATTAAACAATAGGTAAAAACTTGATATTCACTTGCGATATTGATCTTGCTTTAAAGGACTGTGATATTGCTTTTTTGGCTGTTAATACTCCAAGCAAATAATTTGGAATGGGAGCTGGATCATCATTAGATATATCGTATATTGACAGTTGTATACAAGATATAAAACAATATACATTGACTAAGAAATTAATATTGGTTGAAAAATCAACTGTTCCAATTAAAACTTGCGATTATATAAATGCTATTTTACAAAATAAGAATATATGTGTTTTATCAAATCCTGAATTCTTAGCAGAAGGAACTGCAATTCAAGATCTTTTAAATCCAGACAGAGTTATAATTGGTGGACCTATAGAATCCTCTAAGTAACTGGCATCATTATATGAGTAATGGATACCAAAGGACAAAATAATATTTACTAATATATATTCAGCTGAATTAAGTAAAATTGTAGCAAATTCTTTTCTTGCCTAAAGAGTTTCTTCAATTAATAGCATATCAATTATATGTGATAAAATTGGAGCAGATGTTAATGAAAGTAAATTTATTATACTTATTTTTATTTTTTTAGTTTCTTAATGTGTTGGTAGTGATACTAGAATTGGTAATAAATTCTTGAAAACATCTGTTGGATTCGGTGGATCATGTTTAAAAAAAGATTTATTATGTTTAATCTATTTATGTGAATCACTCTAATTAGATGAAGTAGCATAATATTGGAAATAAGTTTATTTATTAAATGAATTTCAAAAATAAAGATTTATCAACTTGATTATTACATCTATGTTTAATAGTCTAAAAAATAAGATTATTGTTATTTTGGGAGTTTCATTTAAAGCTAAAACAAATGATACAAGAGAAAGTGCTTCTTTAATAATTATTAAAAAGTTGCAAGAGGAATAGGCAATACTAAGAATTTACGATCCTTAAGGTAAAATAGACAATATAGAATAATATTAAAGTTTGGATGGCATTTTCCAAGGGGCTTCTGCAATTGTGATTCTAACAGAGTGGGAAGAGTAACATATTTAAATATATATAATAGATTTATCAAAATAGATTATTCTCAAGCCTTCAATCAAATGGCAAAACCAGCTTATTGTTTTGATGGCAGAAATTTGTTATCAGGAGATCTGATGAAATCACTTGGATTTCTATATTACGGATTAGGTAGAGTATGAAAATAATGAAATGTATCTAAATATCATTTAATTTATTTTATTAACTAACTCTATGCTTAGTTAATCTTTTAATTATGATTAATTCTACAAAAAATCAATTTCGTTTAGTTCTCATTTTATGTATAATTATATTCAACTAGATGAATTTGAGCTATATTAGTTTGTCATAGAAATTGTAAAAAAGTTCTTAAATATGTTATAATTTTCTTTTTATTATATATATTTAACTATCAATAAAGATTAAATTAAATTGATTGATTTTGAAATTGCATAAAAAGATATACAAAGATGAAACTTCTCACTTTCTATAATAGTAGAAGTAATTTTAAAAATTCATATAATCAATAATAATAATAGTAATAATAATAATAATAGCAAGATTTTATAAAAAAGTTATAAATCATAAAAAATATATTAGTCATAGAAGTTTAAGAAAATTAAAAATTAATTTGAATATACATCTTTAAGTGAAAAAAGAAATCTGAACAAATTAAAAATAATATAGAAAATAAAAAGAATTATCAGATGAATTAATATTAATGTGATATGTAGGATTATATTATTTGCTTATATGAATAAAAATGATTTTCAAATATCATTGCATAACAATTCTTTAATTTTTAAAGAGTGATAATAAATCTATTCCAGTCTTTGATATTATTGTGCTATTTTCAACAATCGTGTCTTGTGATTCAAATTTTAATAATTATGACATTGAAAACTTCATAGAATAAGTTTAATTTTATTTCTAATAATATCGAATGGATTTATCATCACTATATGTAAGATAGCAGTTTGTTTTTTAGTTAACTGCTGCTCCTCTTAATTCTTCATCATGTTCATTCTAAATAAGCATAGATTTATCTTCTTCATCAAAAATTATTACTTACTTATCTTTTAATTTAGTTGTTATCAATAATGTTTTTTCATTTAAATAATTAATACTATTTATAGAGAAATCTTTAAAATCCTTTTCATAGATAATCTGGTAAGATTCTGTTGAAATAACTTTAATTAATTCTTTAAAAGCTATACATAATTTTGATTTATCATTAGATTAAGTTAAGCAAATAATATTTGACTGATTCAAATCTAGAAAATCCTTTGTTCTTTCTCCTTTGTAATTCCAAAAACCAAGTTTGCCTTCAGTATCCCCTGAGTAGATTAAATTATTTTCATCAACAAGAAATACAGTAGGAAAATGATTGTTAGATTCCTAAGCATATGAATATTTAATCTTTTTCTGCAATATTGGAATGTAATATAATTGATCATCTTTAGACCAAATAATTCTTCTTTAATTAAACAAAACTAAAATGGATTAATTGTCATTTAAACTGACAATTTTTTCAGATAGAACGAGATCTTCTGATGTCCACATGCTTAAACCTTCAAAAGTGTGTAAAACAAAATAATTTTGATCATTTGAGAGATAGAATGAGTTTACAGTAGAACCTGTATCTATAACTTTGATTGGTTTATCATCCTTCCATAATTTTAACAATCCATCTAATCCTGCTGTTATAAATTAATTTTAATTAGTTATCCAAGCAATTTTAGTAATTCTACCATTATGAATTTCAGGTATCACTTAATATTAATCTGATTTTTAGAGATCAATTATTAGTAAGTTTCCATTTTAAGTACCTGCATATATAGTAACATTATTTTTCATACAGATAGAATGTATATGATCTTTCTTTTTTTCCTTTATTACTTTAATAGTAGACTTCTAACTGATATTCCAAATCCGAATAGTAAAATCAATAGAAATATAAAAATTATCATTTTAAACAAAGCAATCATTAATTTTAGTAAATTTACTTTAGTAATTAGAATACTAAGTAAAATCATTTATATTCCAAAAGATAATTGAATTTTATCCTGATGTAATAAATAATTGATCATTAAGCACATAAATGATATCAATTTTGCTTTTTTTATGTGCTTAATTTTTGAATATCATTTCTTTGTTTTCTATGATTATTAAGTATCCCTCACTTGTTCCAATCAACTTCTTTTAACCATTTGTACTGATACCCAAAGCTGTAATATATTGATTTTGTATTTTTATGTAATTACTAATATTATATGATTCAAAGGCTTTCACTTATTAATCTCTACATAAATCTAATAATTTTTTTGTTTCAATATTAGGAATTATTCTTTTATTCTCATCCTTATAATCATATATTAAAATAAATTCTTATAGATTATGTAGGCTCCAAAGATGAATTAATTTTTCTTCAGTTAATGTTATTATTTTGTATTAATCTTCTGAATAAAATATGGAAACACTTGTTATTTGAGAAGAATAATGATTTACTTCATGTTTAATTTAAAATTTTTGTAAATCCCATATATATAGAAATCCATCTTCACCTCCAGAACATAAAATATTAGAATCTTATGAAATAGCTAAGCTCTTAATGGGTAATTCGTGTTTTTCAAGATTCTAGCCTATCTATTATCCAGTTTATGTATTCCACACTTTAATTAATAAATCATTTGATCCAGATATTAATAAAGCTCCATCAAATGAAAATATACAACATTAAATTATATTAGTATGACCTGATGGATTTATAATTGATGTATCTTGACTATCTAAATCCCAAATTTAGATTAAACCTTGATTTTATCCAGTTACAGCTAAGTATGTATTTGTTATTAATGTTAATGAGTATATTTTAATAAATGCTGTGAAATTAGCTTAATTAATTTATGATTATTATTATGTACTCCATAATATTATGGATTAATCAAATGAAGATGATACTAAGATTTTACCATCAATTGAAAACCTTAACTCTGAGATTGCTTTTTTATGTCCGCTCAAACTAACAGGTTAACCTATCTAAGACAAATTGTAAAGATTTATTTCACCCTTACGACCTCCTATTGCCAGTAAATTCAACTCTAAATTACTATCCATACAATTAACCCTTTCAAATTTAGTTTCAATTTATTTCATCCATTGAGCTTATTAATTATATAAACATATCGTTTTTGATTATTTTTACATTATCAAAACCTTACAACATCTTAGATCTAAAACTTATTCATTTATTATTTATTTGAATTAATCACTAGTAACAGTTAAATCTTTTTATTATTGAATGATTTCCACTTTATCATCAGGATCAATCTTTAAATTTTAAAGTTTTCCTTTTTTCTTTTCCTTATCTGTAATTTTTTTTGCTGCTCTTCTTTCAACTAATTCAATAGTAATTTTCAATTCATGAACCCCATTGTATCCACCAAAAAATAATGATTTGTCATCAGACCCAAAAACACAACAAGTTCTTTCTTTATCAAAACATTATACATAATTAATCAACTAAATATTTTTCATATCAAATAGATCATATATTAGAATTTCACTTTCATTATATAAAGCCAAAATTCTTTGACTATTTGATAAAATAGCCTTTTTGGGGATTAGTTTGATATTAATTTTATTAATTTCCTAAATTTTAAAGATATCATATTATTTCATCTCTGGTTTTTAATCATCTATTGCAATTAGCATTTTCTCTTTATCAATATAAGTTAATCCTCTAACATTTTCCAAACTTGTTTTAATTTATGGCAATTAATTTAATGATATATCAGACCATTAAGCATTTATTATTTTAGATAAATTGAGATTAACAGATGATAATGTAACTCCTGTAAAAATTGAATTAGAAAAGTCACAATTAAAAAAATTAGCTCCACTTAATGTAACTTATGATAATTTAATATTACTAAAATCCATATCAATAAAAGAATGATCCATCTCATTTAATAATAACATACTATTTGAACCTGCTGTAATAAAATTATCATCTGATCTGGTTAAATAAATTAAACTTAATAGCTATTACTTTTATTCTTCATTGTATCTTAATTTATCTGAAATAAAAGTGATTGATCCCTTTAAATATTCATAATCCCATGTCATATTAAAAAATTCATACAATAATAATTGTTTTTTAGATATTTCATCAATTGGAAACTTAATATTTGATAAGAATTCCACAAACCATTTAGCTACTAAAAACTCTTATATTGATTTATGATTAAATGAATAAATCCCATTTTTTTATTTAATTGGCATACATTTTCTAAATAATCTCTTATATACACCTTCTGAACATTAATCATTAAAGAATTCATCTTTCCAATCAATTTCTGATTTCTTAAAAATTAAACCACTAGGTTAAAAGTAAACTTAAGTCATATTTCTAAATGTCATTTGATTAGCTAAATGATGAGTGAATTTCCATAATTCACTTCCAATTTACTCATAATCAATCGATTCACCTGCCTCTCTTAATTTATAAATCTATCTCTTAAAATAGTGTTCCAAAAATTAACTATAAAAATCATAAGTTGATAATGGTTCTAACATCAATGAATTTTTTATAATTGAAAACTACTAATTGTTAGAAAAATACTTTGTTATTAATTTCTCAACTTAAATTTCTGAAAATTCTTACAGATATTCATTCATAAAATTTTAATTATTTATTATAGTTTGCCATTCATCTAATGCCTATTTCTCTAATTAACTTACTTAAACTAGTTATTATTCACTTTTTGCAAAATATATATATTTTTTTATAAATCTATTCTTTACATTAGTAATTTCTGATCTTTGTCTCACTATATAAGGAAGAACAGCCATCACTATTTCTGCCATAAATGGAGTCTCTATAACTTTATCTAATTTCATTATTTATATAAATTTTAAATATTATTAACTTGACCAAATCTCTTGAAGTAATTATGATAAAGTTTTTTGCATATCTTTTGATACAAAATTTGAACATTTGAATAAAATTTGTTAAATTATTTTTGAATTTAGCATATATATACTTTCAGATTTAATTTTACTTAAATTCAAAGATTTCAATAAATCAATAAAAAATGTCTCATATTCAGAATAATCTTAAGTACTATTACTACCAAAATAAAATTCTCTAATATCTCTTTTAACACACAATAAAGTATATTGATCAATATATAATCTCTATTGTTCTGTATTAAATTTTAATAATTTAACTTCTTTATAAAATTAAGGGCTGTTTGACTCAGAAAAAAACCATGTATTATAACCAGCAATATTAAATAATTCTGTTCTACAAGTTGTTATAATTTTAGGAAACTTATTTTTGTCTGCTTAACATCTCCATTTCGATAATTTATTTGAAATATTTAAATTTAAACCAATATAATCTGACTTTAATTCATCATAACTATCCATTATGATTACTAATTTTAATTTTCTTTGTTCAACTGCCTCTTAAAAATCTTAAATCTACCTATCATTAAATCTATAATTATCAGACTTTAGAGTTTCTTCAATACAATAATATACTGGGTCTCTTAATTATGGTAAAGATACAAATATTGGTATTAATGGAATATAATCACTTTTTTTATTCTTTTAATAAAACATCCATAAGAATTCCTCTATTTTTCTTGCTGCTGTACTTTTACCTGATCCAGCTTAACCATGAATTAAAAAACAATCTTTTTATTACTTCCAAATAAACTCATTTATCTCACCATCTCCAAATATATCTTCTGTAAAAAGATTTGTTTTTTCATTTGAAAATTTAGAATCATTTAATTTTACTTTTGTTTTTATTGGAATATAAACATTATCTGAATTGAAAACCAATCTTTATTGCAAAACCTTTTTCATTCTTAATTCTAATAATTCAATTATCGTTCTACCTTTTAAATATTTGATATCTTTGCTCATGGTATCTAAAGTTTCTTACATTTGAACAATATAGTTTTCTATTCTCAATAGGTCTTATTTTAAATCTTAAAGAAAGATTATTGTAATCCCAAGTGTATTAGAGATTTAAGTAACATTTTCAAACATAGATTAAATTTCTTTTTCTAATTTAGAATATTCCTTTCTTAATTGCTATTTATAATTTTCTGATGTTTCAAGGGAAATTTATTAGGCCAATTCATTTAAATCTTTTAACTTTTCTTTTAATTTATTTTAAATAATTGTTTCTTAACTAGGCCAATATTTACTCATCAATTAATTAGATAGTTATATTGATTTATCATCAAAAAGCTGTCGAATTCTTTTATCAGTTTCATAAACCTAAAATCGTATATACAATCCTGAATTGAGTGTCAAAGAGTTTTGCTAGAGACAACTTCTTCTCATTTATATCAATTCATAAACGATAAATTGTCTAATCCTCCATTGATTATTTGATAATAAATCATTAATTCCTTATTAAATTAGATCGAAATAATCATTTGTCTTCTTTTAATCATCTTTGCTTTCTATTTGGCTTAAGATAAAATTAATTTATGGTTCTATCTCAGATGGATATTAGCTAAATTCTTTCACTGATATAATTTGTTAAATTTATGAATAGTCGATTGAAGTCTCTATAGATTGACTGCAATAATCATTCATTGTATCTTACAATAGTTTTTAAGATTCTTAAGATTAATACAAAAATTAAGGTTTCTTAGCAGCTAATTTTAATAAAGTAGTGTAGTTTAAGATCTAAGATTACACCTTTTCAGAATTAATTAAAATATTTTAAAATTATTAAACCTACTCTTGTTATCTTGTTTTAATCTATTTAATTTCGTCGACTAAAGATTCATAGAATTTAATTTCATCATTCCAATCAAATTGTTTCTACTCAATTTTTACAGACGTTCCTCTAACTAGCTTACAACATTCACTTAGTTATTTTTGAATATCCTCACAAAGAAAAAAAGCAATTTCTTTATCTTTTTCATTTGTTATTTACATTAGTTTTACTATGTCAATTAATTCAATTATATTTGAAATAGAAACTTTCTTATTTTCTAAGTATTAATAAAATTCATTATCTTCATTTTTTATGTACTCTTTCATAGTTTCAAATGATTTTAAAAACTCGTCTTAGTAAACCGATAATTTTTACAAACTTATTATAATTTAAGCTTGAGATAATGAATTTGTATTGAAATTTGGGTAGATTTCATGAAATATAGATTAATCTTTTAGAACAATTAAATCATCTTTTTATTCTTAACTATTTTCCCCTTAATTTCTTAAAAAGTCTGTTATCATTTTTATCCCATTACACACTTAATTTAAATAAATTATATTATCATTTAATTCTTCTTAGATTATTCTGCAAATTTCTTAGTCAATGCTTATATCATTTCTCAGTTAGGTTTCTTTAAATAGATACTTTGTTAAAATTCCAAAAACCTAATTAATTGATATAAATTTTTCAATAGTAACAGCTTTTAAGATTTTAGCAAATTAATGTGATTAATCAATAGGAATTTTTTAGAGAAATTTACTACTTTAGCATTTCAAATATTAATTGTACATAAATTATAATGAGGATTACAATGGATCATATGAAGTCATTAACATAGATTATTATATTATATCTTATTTTAAACTTTACAACTTTTCATCCTCTTTAAAGGAATTAATCATTTTTAGCCTAATTGATAAAATAACTTAAATTTATAAATTCCAATTGATGAAACATTTAGTTTTTTCAGTCAATTCTAAAGACTTGCAAAACCCATAAAACCACTTATTTTCATCATTAATTTTGTTTATTTCCTATTGCTTTTTCATTTTTAATGTAACAATCAATTTTTCAACTTAAGCTTGATCAATCGTCTTGGACAGAATTTATTCTCTAATTTCATGATTAATTTCATCATATGAAAATTGATCTAATAGTTAAGATATTTATTTTGTTTAAAAGATGGAATCAAAATCAATTATTTAAACTTGCTTGCTTGAAAATTAACAATTTAAGTATTTTTGCAAGTACAAGACTAAGATTTTATCTGTTTCAGGAAATTAATAATTGATGAGATTTGCATCGATTTCATTTTTAAGAAATTAATAAATAATTTCTATATGCTCTAAGTCTCTTTTTAATTAAATAATTTTAGCAATTAAATCTTTTAACAACTCTTCAGCTTCTTTGATCTTCTGTTAATCATTATTAGAAACTAATTATTTAAATAATTCTATTAATTATTGCTAACCTTGTTAGATGGCACTAACAGAATTCATGAATTAGGAAATTTATGATTGACTAAAAGAATAATTTTTTAAAGTAGAATTAGTAGCTTAGATGACAGATAGCTTATTAAAATACTATTATTCATAACTTGATAATAAGCCATATCCATTTAAGATAAATGATTACAATTTAGATAATTCTTGTAATGGTTAACTACTTTCAAATATTAATTTTAAAATTTCATCATTTTAAATTTAGAAACTGTCAATAGAAACATAGCATCTGCCATCGAAATTTGGGATTGTATATTCTTTTCCTTATAAATACTAAGAAAGTTAAGGTTCAATTTTTAATTCATCAACAGCTTATTTAAATTGAAACAATGAAGACAATATTTAAATCCAACTACACCAAATTTCCCAATCTGTGGATTCCCGAATGATTTCACAAAACATTTTACTGAGAAGGGTTGCTAATTGTTTAGCATCTCTCCCATTTTCCAATTCATCCATGATATAAAATTTTAATTGTTAAAGTGAAAATATGATTTCTAATTTTCTCTTTCTACTATATTTAACCCCTTCTTAATAGATGTAAATAGCACTCTTTTTAAGACTTTAAATTAAATCATCATTAATAGTAAAGGTAGCTAATGATTTAAGAGCTCCTCCTAAAAACTAGAGTAATATTTCTTCAGCCTCTTTTGAATTTGTAGGTTAAATTGTGATTATGGATTTAGTAATAAAAAACTCAAAGTATAAATTATTGAACAATTTATCTGCCCTTCTTTCAATTTTTAGTTATTCTCTTATCAAAGCCATTTCTCTTAAAATTAGTTATTACTTGTTGATATCCAAATATCTTTCTTAATTAGCTGTATAGAATGAAAATAGTATCCAAGATAATTATGTCATGATTTAGAAGACATATAAAGAATATCCAGCATTTTATTTTACAATATTTTACAATGTTGATATTAATGTATCTAAACTCTATGAGACAAGTTCAAATGATTATTAGTTTAATTGAGTATTGCTTACTAAACCCCATATTTGTCTTTGGTTCAATGAGAAGAACTGAAAACTATTCATTAAGTTGTTTTCTTAATCTAAAACTGTCACCGACGACCTGGCGATCCGATCACAATGAAATTTAATTTAGGTTGTTAATCCAGGTGTCGTTTTTGTAGTTTAAGCTTTTATTGGAAATGGGGTTACAATGTTTGAAGATCCACATCCTCCTCCTCTTAATTTCATAATAATATATTTTGATAATATTTATTTTTCATAAATAACTTATCTTCAAATTAATACCACTTAAGTGTCTGAAAAATTTCAATTTAGATGTGTTTTGATTTTTGCAGTATCCAAAATTTAAATAGTAAAAAATTAAGTTCAAGAGTTATTTCATTAAAAATTTCTTTTAACTAAATTTAGTTTTAATATATAAGTACTAATATTACATTATGAATAATTACATTTAAACAATTATATAATTATAATTACTAATTTAATTTGCTTCTTATAAAAATAAAGAACTAAGAGCAAAATGTGTAAAATAACAATATAAATCTAAATAAGATGCTAAAATAAAAAATATGGAACAGATATTTTTATATTAATAATCATAAATCACATTCCAAAGTAAGAGATGAATACTATTCGATTCAAAAATTAATGGTAATTAAAAAAATGTCTTCTAAAAATAATCATAAATATTGCTAGGAAGAATTCTTTGATTTAAAGGGAAAAATGTGTAAAAATATATAACAGATATAGTGAAAGAATAAACATTTGAAAGGTTGATAAAAGAAAAAATTTTTTAGATTATAGAAATAAAATAAAAAGAAAAATAATTAATTAAAAAAAGAATTAAATGAAATTGATAGAGCAACACAAAGGTAACTTTATTTATAGAAAAAAAAAATAAGATAATTGAAGATTTATGTATTAAAGTTGATGATATTTAGAAATGTTTTAAAATATAAATATCAAAAAAACTTAACAACCGTTTCTTTGATAATAGGGTTAGCAGAATTAGAGTTATCTAGTGTTGTTTTGGATACACATTTTTGTAAAATTTGATAGATTTATCTGGTTGGTTTACCAAGTTATTAATAGAAATCTAAAATTAAGGAACTCAATAAGATGAAGGAAAATCCTACAATTTCAATCCAGCCAAAAATGGCAAGAAAATCAATTTTAGAAAAGAGTATTAGCGATTCTGAAATTGAAAATAAAATAGTATTAATAGCAATAATGGATTCAGTGATTATAATTTTATAATTTTCGAATTAGTCTTCAAAAGGTCTCATTTTATAGACATATACAGTATAACAGCATGAAATAATAGAAGTGATAATTGGTTGAATAGGAGAGAAGGCTTGATTAAGTATTAAATTAGCTATGAAAACAGTTTTCTTGATTAATATGATTGTAATGTATTATTTGTTCCAAGAACTTTATTTGGTTTAAAGTCCTTCAAAAAAGATAGAGAATCTTTTGGTTAAAGTTTTTTTAATTAAAAGATAGGAATAAATTTAGAATATAATAGTAAAATTGAAAAGGAGTATGGCAATAGCAAGAACTGAACTAGTTAAAGTAATAGAGTCATATGATTGTAGATTGACTATTTATAAAAGAGCAGAAAAGGTTAGATCATAGTAATTGGATAGATAAATTCTGAGTATGCCAGAATAAAAGAAATATTGGTAATAAGACTTACATTTTTTTTAAACAAAATAAATAGCTTTGATAATTTTGGTTGTGTACTCAATGAATCTTTGATCTACAATCATTGGTAAATTGTCATATTTTAATGAGGTTAGGAGTAATTATGCTAAGTAGGCTAAAATATAATTGGCTATTGCTACAATGAAGAGAAATAAAAATGATTATAGATTGATTACAAAAAATGAATTTAGAGAAAAGAGTTAAAACTTTCCATAAGCAGGAATAAAAGGAGTATTGAATTATAATAGTGATTCGCTGTATGATGAAAAATTAATTTTATCCATTATTGGTTGAATAGTAACAAGTGAGAATACTTCAAAGTAAATTGCTACATTTTCAGGAAATTGAAGATTCAAATATTTGAAATAGGATAGTTGTTACAATGTATCTAATAGATTCCAGAATATTTCTAAATTTCCACAAAGGAAGGCAAGGCTAGCAAGTGAAATAAGAGAATAGATAACAACTTCATTAAAAAGTGCAGCACTTGCTGCAACAAGTTTTTAAGTTGAAGACAATGTGAATGGGTCTTTTAATTGAATAGTTTATTAATTAGATATTAGTTGATTGTCATATTGATTAACTAATTGATTACAATTGATTTTGATTGTTAGAATTGGAGCCACAATTGATTTTTAGAATTTAAGTTTGATTCTGTATCCAACAGATTATAAAGTGTAATCAATGCTCAAGATAGGTACTATTTCATAAGTATAATCAGAATCTTCAAGATTGGAGATAGAGATTTGAATCAATTATAGAAATATTTCTTCAGTAATGGAAGTGGAATTCAATCTAACATCTTGAGTAAAGGAGAGAATGACTTCTTAGTTTTAGCCATAACTATTAGGAGCAGTATTTAATTTAATTTATGGACTAATATTATAAATGCAGACACTCAAAGAATCTACAAGATAACATTTCCAGAATTTTTCAATAATGCAATCTGAATTACAACCATCATTATCATCTGTATTTCCATCCTCACATTATTCATATTATGATGCATATATACCATCTCCACATTTATTTATACAGTAGGATTCATTTTGATATAATCCATAAGGACACTCTATACACGTTCCTTAAAAACATTTCTAACAATAAGGGTCACAAGAATACTCACAATTATAACAACCATCAAATTCTACTTAATTACCATCATCACAATATTCCTTTCCTACAATTATTCCATCTCCACAAATTGATTAACATTAAGTATTTAATAACCTCCATCCATAAGAATCACATATCTTACATATTTTCCCCTCACATTCTAAACAACCTAAAGAACATTGTATTTAACATTTATAACAACCATCATATGGTACGAAATTACCATCATCACATATTTCTAAATGATTTGTTATTATTCCATCACCACAATATCCTTCACAAATATCTGTCAAACATAATCCTAAATAATCATCCCAAACACACCCTTAATTATATTTATCACTTTTACAACCTTCCTCTATCTACATTAAATAACATTCATCTATTTAAATACATCCTCCATCTTTCTTACTTGTACATTTTTATAAATAATCCTAACATTCCTTATGGGTACTCAAACTCTTTTCTGCCGTATTGCATGTCTTCAAAATACATTTTTTTTATATCCAAACACAATCATTCAAATTAATATCAAATGTACAACCATCTCTTATCAACGCATCTTCGCAAGTACCTCTATCAACACATTAATACCCATTTGTTGCACATTTTTTATTAGGAAATATTTCACTGCATGCAGAATCAACTGCATAAAAATAATCACTACATATTCTTAATCTACATCCTCCTTTTTAACAACTTTACATATACCCCTAACATTCCAAATCTGACAATGCAAATTTTGGTCCATTTTCACATGTCTTTTCTACACATTAATTTTATTCTTTATTCCAAAAGCATTCTGTACCTTCCAAATTCAATTGTCCTTCACTTTTACATTGTTATTCTTAATAACCTTAACATTAACCCTAAGCTTATTCACATTATGTAAAATCACTATTAACTGTACATTTTTAATCATAATACATTTAACATCCTCCAGCTGTATACTTCTTTAATTAAGCTGTCTCACAACTTTTCTTTTTACATAAATTCTACTATGACACCCATTCACATTCCTTATTTCCTTTTTCTATCCTACATTATTCCTTTATGCTATACATAAAACACTCATCTATCTCAATACAACCATTCTTTAATTAATTCACTGTACAATCTTACATATAAGAATTACATTTTTCATGTGAATCATTCTCTGTTCCTAAATCAGAACAATTTACTAATTGTATGCAACTATTCATTACATTATTCCAATAGCATCTTTTACTATCTTTGTCTATTAAACATAGCTATTCACTTATATTATTACCACATTGATTTGGCAAATCAATGCAATTCAAATTCTTGCTTTTAACTGTGCATTTTCCACTTCTGAAAAACTGCTCGCATTATTCATGATTATCCAAACTTCCTAATGAAGAACAATCTTCTGTAACACTCACTCTTTAGCAAGTTCCACCATTATCTATACAATTATAGCCATATTAATCTTACCCTAAATTACAAGCGGAAGTAGTAGAAAAAGAACTGCAGTCTGTTATCTTTATACAAACGTTTAAAGAATTAATTGTACATATCTTTTCATAAATTACACAATCTACTGCAGTAAGTTTTGAGCAATCAAGTTGAACACATGTGCCAGTTCCAATCATACAATGTTTATCAAATGTATAACAATTCTAATTACTAGTTGGCACAGTTGCTATTGACTAACAGAAATCTTTACAACTTCCTGTCCATGCACATTTAACATCATTTATTGTTGTGACACAAGATTCTTTAAAAGTATAATCTTCACAGTTGTTTTTCTTTAGAATACATTTTGTTGTATCTGTGAATGAAATAGTAGTGAAAATATTCTCTTTTTAACAATCTTCATGTGTTACTTAATTAATAGGTTTATTACAAATATTATTGTATGAACAAGAATTGCACCAATAACACTTTACAGTAGTAATTTATGTGTCAATAATCAAGACTCCATAACTAGATTCACAAGATGAAGAAGTTAAGAATAAATTACAAGATTTAGGAATACAAGAAGAAGTATTCCAATAGCATTCCATTCCATCACCTGTCCGAGTAAAATCACAGTAAGTAGGATTAGATATATTTTCACACTTTGAGAGTTTACAACCATGTCCAACTATATAGTTTAATGAACATATTGAATGTATTAATTAACATTCGTATATACTTGTTGAAGTAGTATTTAATTCACAATTTATATTCTTAACACAATCGTTTTATTGTAGTTTGCATTGTGAATACTATAAACATTGGTATTTTAGTTTTATTTAAGTGCAATCAATATTATCAAATGTTTTACAATTGATTCCATCAAAAACACAATTGTAATTCCAATTATAACACTACTCATCACTTAAAGGTCCATAATTAGTAAATTTCAAATGTTCACATTATCTATCTTAACATATATTAGAATCAAAATTGAATCCACATTTTTAGAAAGACGCAGTCAAAGATTGATTGCACAATTTATAATTAATACTTCCTTATACATCTAAATCACTACAATTTAAGATTTCTTTGCATGATCTTAATGTTGAATCACTACTCATATCATATGTGCAAATAGATGAAAAATTTTAGCATTGTGTTTATTTTTCTATGAGACTGCCTGATAAATTATTCAAAACACATTATTTGGGTACACATTTAAGTGAATTATCAATATATTCAAAACTACACAAAATATTAAGACTAGTTTTCACATTATCACAACTACTTGATGTGGTAAAGAGATCTGCACAAAATAAATTTGATCTACAAGTATTATTATAATAAAGACACTTATTGTTAAATTATAAATAGCTTGATTGACAATTAGTTCTAACAAGACTGCTGCATTTATTTGCACTATAACAACCCACACCACTTTATTGTAGTAAACAAAACTAATGATAATATTGACATTCTTAATCAGTGGTAGCGAAATTAATAAATTGACATTAATCTTCATTAGTTAAAGTATTGCATTTTTTATTATAATAGTAACATTTTTAATTGAGTGTTGTAATGGTCTTATTACATATTTATTAATGTGATATTTAAGAACAGTTTGAAGGTCGATCTTCACATCCCATTTGAGGTATGCCTTATTCATTATGGATTAATTAACATAGATTTTGTCTTTTATATTATGAGCAAGTTAATTCAGTTAGTGCGGTAGTATTTTCATAGCAAGATAAATTTAAACATTTACTTTAGAATCTATCCCAATAACAAGGTTATTAATAGTGATTGATTACACAAGATTATTGTATTGTATAATTAGTACATTCATTTTAGAGTGGAATACAAGTTGCGGTAATTTTATTAATAGTACATATTTTCATGAAATTCTCACAATCAGTATGAGTTAATTCTCCAATGATTCTACGATTACATTGATAATCAGGATCCTAAAATCCACTTTAACATGTAGATGTAAAATAATCCCAAAAACAATATGATTTAGAATTTACATAGGGATATTATGGATCATAGATGATTTTACATTATGCTTCTGAAGTATAATCGGAACATGAATTTGATTTCAATTAACAACCAAGATTAGCAAGTGGATCAGGAATAGTACAATTTGGATTCCATGCTTAACATTCTTAATGAGTATCATACATATCATTTTTAGGTGATGATGAACATATCAAATTAGTTGGTCTAGTAATACATCCTTCTAATGTAGAATTTACGATACAATCTTTTTGATATTTTGAACATTGAATATTGTTTGTATATAGAGTATTTTGTGCATCTGAACAATTAATTGAACGACATTTATCAATACTCCAAACACATTGAGCTTAATTATTTTTAAGACCAATTTAACATTAGATTTATGTAACCATTTCTGAACATGATGAAGGCCAATCAATACATCCATTGTTTGTATTATTAATAAAACATGATTAATTTTCTACTTTATAATTTATACATTTATCATTTATTGTATGTGAATTATCTGCATCAATACATTATTAACTTACACATTTCTTTGATTATGATTCCCATTTGCATTTATTACCTGAAAAAGTGGAATAACATTATTCTTAGGTTGCAATAGAACATTCATTAGGTTTATCAATACATCCAAATGATAGATTAAATCCATCAAATTAATATATTTTAACAGTACATTTTGATATCCATGATTCACATTATTAATTTGTATTATAATAACTAGGTGCTCTCTTACATATCTTAAGAATGCAACCATCATTTATTTAACATAGTTAACCTTATGAATCTATAGTGCATGCTGTTATATCAACAACTTTAGAACATAAGTAATCTAAGCATCCACCTGTTTCAATTGAAAATGTACAATATTTACTTGCTTCTTAACATTTTTAATGACTGTCATATTTTGGCAATTTTAAATTTGAACAAATTAATTATTTACATTAATTCTATTCCCAAATACAGAGAGATTCATCATAAGTTATTTCACAGAATTCTTAAGTTAATATCTCTTAACAAGTTTCTGGTCTTAATTAACAACCACCATTAATTGTTCCCATACATTTTCCAAGTAATCTACAATCAGAATTATTATAACTTTTTGGAGCATGAAAACATTATCTTTTAGCACATTTATTTTCATACCAAATACAATCCTATATTTTCCATGAATAACATTCTATTTCTGATTAATAATCTATACATTATGTTGGTCTATTTTTACATCCACCATTCTATGCACTTACACAATCTAATTTCTAATCATATTATTAACATTATTCATAATTATTATATTATAATGGGGCTGTCTTACAACTTTTTATTTAACAATTTCCATTTTAATAAACACACTTATTATTATTCTTATCCTAAACACATCCTATTCCATTTTTTATATCTATACATTCCTTTTTCTCAATACAATGAATACCATTTGTACTACATTTCTCCATATAAGAATTACATTCATCATATGTTGTTAAACGCTTATTTTCACAATTCTTTTCAAAACACTTCTATAACTCAACATCCCAAAAACATTCAATGTTTTTATTTTATGTAAAATAACATTAATTTTCTACAGTATATTCTTCACATTTCTACCTTTCCTCCTCACATCCAAATCCTTCTTCATTTACAGTACAATTAAGATATTCATTTCTGCAATCTAAATCACTTTTTAGATATTTAGGTAATTGAATGCATTTACTCACATTCTAACATTTTGGCTGTTGGTTGATGTCCCAAAAACAATAATTTCCATTCTTATTTCTATTCTGACATCCTATCTCTGTTTCATAATCTGTACATTCCTTCTTTTCAATACATTTCTAACCATCTGAAACACATTTCAAAGAAGATTCTTAACATTAATTTTTTTAAAATAAACTACACTCTGTAAACCTTATACATTCACCTAAATAAAAACCACACATCTCCATCTCTATACAGTCTTCTTATGCATATCTATTACATTAATTTTCTTAATTCTATAAATCCTATTTAATGTAGGTTTCACCTTATCTCAAATCACATCTTCCATCCTTCCAAATACAAATCTATGATTTTTAACAATTATCCATGCTCTCTGCATGTCTGCAAACACAATATTTACTTATTTATCTCGTTTCAATTTATGAGATCATCAAAATTACTAAATACAAAATATTTTTCATTTTTTAAATTAAAAATAAATATCAGATCTTTTATCATCTTTTCTTTATTAAATTTACTAATTCTAATAATATTTGTATCATATTCAATCTCAAAAATCTTTTTATATTTGTTTGGTTTTAAATACTTATTAATTAATTAACACAATAATTTCATCATTTATTAAATTAAATAATTTTTAATTCAAAATAAAATAATTAACTAGTTCAATAAAATTTCTATATCAAATAATAATTAAATTATTTTAATAAAATATTAATAAGAAGAATTTTACACCTCATCTATTAGATATATTTCTTTAATTTTGTTTTTTAATTGATTAATAGTATATTTTTATTTAAAAATATACTACTTTGATGTATTTTTGAAGATCTTGCTGTCTAATAGAGTTAAATCTTCAAATTCCTATTCAGTATCAAATGTTATGAAATCATAAGTCTCCACTTATGATAATTATTATTTCTCTTCACTTTTTTTTAAGAAAACCCTTCAAAGCTAGCCCTATTTTATTGAGTAAATGAGATTGTTTTATAAAATTACTATCCATGATTGAAAAGTTTTGGTTTTATCAAACTCATAATTTTTCTTTTCAACTATTTATAGATGCTAATAATAACGGCATTTCTTTGTGTTTCTTTACATTTTAAGTAATTCAATTAAATTAGTAAACTTATAAATTATTTTTATATCTAAATATGTTAGTAGCAATCTTTTATCAATTTGAATAAATTATTATATTTTGATATAAAAATTAAATATAATGTTCATAATAAATTTTAGAAAAACTGTTTAATTTTTTAAGTTCAAAATTTTATTTATTATCGATTTTTAAAATCCAAGCTAATACTTATTTTAAAATAAATTTGACTAATCTTATTATCAATAATTCTTTTCATATTTTAAAAAGTATGAATTTTATTTAAGAGTGTAAGTTTTAGAATTTTCATATATGGATATTCTTAGGTGTAAGGAAGTGTTTAACAAAATATTTTAAACCCGATTTAATATCCAATGAACCAAGTCATAAATTATTCTGAAAAAAATTCGTGTATATTCTAAATTTGAGATTATGAGAGAGAATAATAATTTGATTAATTGATGTAGCTTAAAATATTGCTCATTATTATATCACAAAAAAGAAAATTTTAAGTGAAATTTGTAAAACTATTTGGGTTTTGAGTATAAAAATTAATCGAGATTTTAAATTTAAATTTCATAAGAATATAAATATAGTTAATTTATTGAGGAAATAATCTTAATTAAAAATGGGGAAGGTCTTAGGGATTTTAATATATATATGATTTTTTTGAATTTGAGTGAAATTGAAAAGGTGTAATAAGTTGAGGGTAAGATAAGTAAAGTATTAAATTCATAGTGAAATTTTCTAAAAAGAAGATATAGAATATAATGATATTAGATGAATTGAGAATAGGTGAGAATTAAATAGATTTTGATAATGATAAGGAGAGAAAAGTAAAGGGATTTTTATATATTATTAATTATTTGAATGTTAAAACACAAAAAATTTGTATTTTGATAATTAGTTTAATAATTTATTCAAATATGTAAAGTGAGAGAATAAAATCAAAAAAGAGAGTTAAGCACTACGAATTTTTGTATGATTCTAAAATTGGTTCAGGTGCTTATGCTAATGTGTATATGGGGAGGGATATTTATAATGATTCAAGTAGTTATATATTATAAACTAGCTGTGGCAATAAAAATAATTAGTAATAGTTTAATTAAGAGTGATTATACATCTTAATAAATAAAGAGAGAAGTAGAGATAATGAAATCATTTAATCATTAGAATATTGTGAAATTATTGGATGTATTTCATAGCACAAACAATATATATATAGTGACAGAATATTGTAATGGAGGAGACTTGAAAGCTTATTTAGGATAAAGAACATTAAGTGAGGAGAGAGCGCTTTAAATATTTAAATAAATATTAAATGGATTGTAAGAGTTATTAAGGAATGGAATAGTGCATAGAGATTTAAAACCTGCAAATATTCTACTGTAAGATGGTATTTTCAAAATTACAGATTTTGGATTTGCCAAAAGAGTATAAGTGGATTCAACAATGTCATCTTTGGTTGGAACACCATTATATATGGCACCTTAAATATTGAAGAGATAACCTTATACAAGTAAATCAGATATCTGGTCACTTGGATTAATTTTATATGAAATGATTTATAAAATTACTCCTTGGCATTCAACTAATGTAGTAGAATTGCTGAATAGATTAGATAAGGAACCATTAAGATTTCCATTTTAACCATAGATAGAATTATTGACTAGATAAATAATTATGGGATGTTTGGGTAAAGAAGAGAAGGATAGATGGAATTGGGAATAATTGATGAAAGCAGTTTAAGGAAATGAGAAATAACAAATGTTGAATATCAATTTGACTAAAGAATTATATTATGTCACCAAAAAACAATAAATGCATAAATAATAATCTCAATAAAACTTATAAGAATATTGTAGAACCAGTAGTACATAATCATCTCCAATAAGATCAATAAGTACTAAGAGAACTAAAACTATTGCTAATGAAAATAATAGTAGTGTTATGCTATCTGAGTTAATCAAAAAAAAATAATAAATCTACAAAATATTTGAGTTGCTTGAAAAGTCTTTTGAAAAATTAACTATTTTAAAGTTGGATTAATGTAAATAATATTTATAAGAACAGAGATCAAGATTAGTCTGTGCTAATATTGAATAGATTTATAATAAAGAAGATGAAAGAGAATTGATTTAACAATAAAAAATACTTCAATAATATTCATCCAATTTTAGTGTTTAGATTATGATATTACTTTTGAAGACTTATAGAAAAATCATAATAAACAATTATTCAACAGGATCATTGATTTTAGATTTTGCTGAGAGATAAACAATTGAGAATTGTGCAGTTTTAATTTAAAATCAATAAAAGTGATTATAGTATATTTATATATTTATTTTAATGTCAACTTCAAGATTAGCAATTAGATTATATACCTATAGAGGTTATTCAGCTCCATGGAGAGTCAGTATAATGCTAAAGTTGAAATAATTACATTATTAATCATTTTTTGTTAACTTACCTAAAGGTGAATAATTATCCAATATGTATTCTTAGATAAATCCACTTTAAGTAAATGACATATTAATATATTTTTAGATAGTTCCTACATTAGAAATCAATGGAGAATTATTACATGAGAGTATGGCAATAGCAGAATACTTAGAAGAGGAATTTCCAAGGAATAAATTATTTCCAAAATCTCCTTTAGAAAAATCTATTGTTAGGTATAAAAATGTAATTATTTTAGATCAATGTGTGAAACAGTCAATAGTGGAATTCATCCATATCATGCATCTAGATTATATAGATACATTCATAATTATGTGAATGATATTAATAGATAAGAGATTTCAGAGCCATTCTTAGAAAGAGGTTTCACAGGTTAAATAATTATTATTTATTATTTATAGCATTAAATACACTAGTGGAAAAACATGGAGGAGATTATGCATTTGGAAATCAAGTTACAATAGCTGATGCATTCATTTACCCAGCTTTTAGAGGAGATGATGTATCATACTTAGTCAGTGTTGATAAATATCCAGCACTCAAAAGAGTTGTTGAAAATCTTGATAAACTTCCAGAATTTGCTTATGAACATCCAGATTCATAAGGATGATGACATTATTAATATCAATTATTATTATTCAATACAATATATTCATTTCTTATATTATTCTAAACTACTATTTTTTATTATTTTGCTTTTGATTATAAATTCATTTTTTAGCATTAAAATAAGATTAATATTCAAAAATTTTAGAAATATACTATAAGTATATATTTGCTTATTTGAATTTAATCAAAAGATATATATTGTTTTGGATATAATAAAAACAAATTTTTAAATTGCTTTTAGGATTTCTAATGATTGTTAAAAATATTACATATTAAAATAATAGGAAATATTGATTATCAATATAAGATGACTATAATTGACATAATTCTATGATAAATAATATTATGCAATACAGTTGTTTATGGAGTACAGAGTTGTTAGTATCATAATAATGATTTGGAAACATGGTTAATTTCTAACCCAAAGATGAAGAAGTTAATGTAGCTATAATTAATAGAGCGAAGCTAGAATCAATTTTTTTGAGATGCTAATTAAAGACCAGGAGGTATTAAGAATTAGAATTTAATATAAATAGAATGTGCGTAATGAATAGAAAAGACAATATTGAAGCTGTTAATACTAGTTTAAGAATTTATAATTAAATTATATAGATATTTTATATGATCATCATTATGATTGTGAACAACGATTGAGGAAACAATCATAGGATTTATTACAGTAATTAAAGATGAAAAAGCATTCTATTGAACTACTATTAATTGGAATGTTGCTTAAATCCAAGAGGTCATTAATTATGCAGATATTCATGGATTGATTTTGCCTTCGACTTTTTATCTTTGTAGAAAAAAACAAATGTTAAATTACTGCATAGAATAACTTGAAAAATTTAATAAAGATTTACATGAAAAATTATTTAAAGTCTTTGACCTAAATAAGATTTAGATTATAGAACATGGAAACCTATTCCAAATAGATGATGATTAATTTATTAGTATTTTTATATTTATCAATTATTATTTAGAATTCATATTAAATACTCAAATACTTTTTCTTATACTTATCTTAATAATGCTTTTTCAGATTTATCATTTGTAATTACAATGTCAGATTTCTTGATTTTTATCTCTGCTTTCATCTAGGATTCAATTCTTTGTAAAATTTACTCTTCACTAAATCCACTTCTCTCTTTAACTCTAGTATAGAGATAATTACTTGCCTTTTGATTATTTCTTCTTAGCTTGTCACTACCACAGTAATAATGGGGAAGCAGAAATACTCTAAAACTTTACTTTCAAATAATAGTGGAGCATCAATGACAACATATTGATCTTTCTAAACGAAACAAATTTTCCATATGGATTTAGCTATTTCTTTAAAAATGTATTTGTTGGTAATGGCTTATAATTATTTCCTTTTTTGGTGATCTTAAAATACTGAAAATGCTAATCAATACTCGTTACCAAGGTCTGCTAACTTCTATCTATCAATTGGCTGTCCATCTTGATTACCTGCAAGGATTGAAAGTCCGAATCTCTGAACTATAAGTTTATAAGCGGGTTTTCCTGGCTCAACAATATCTCTGGCAATTTGATCACAATCAATTACTTAAACTTTAAGGAATTCATTGAAATATTTGGATATAGTGGATTTACCGCAACCTATTCCTCCAGTGATTCCTACAATTTAAACTCTTCCAATATAATGTTGAATGCCAAATATTATGATGAGAGTGATAATGAATCTAACTATTTTATCGAAAAAATCAAAAAAATTCCATGTTATCAAAACATTGAATAAATATACAGCTATAAAAAGGAATATCTCATCAACTCGATATCTTGAATTTAGGAATAAGATTAATACCTTCTTCTAAATTTACGCTTATTTAAGTTGATAAGGATACACAATAGACAGAGCAAGCCTAAGTAGAATGGGTAACATATATATTCAATGATATGTATTTCAGTGTGTTCTGAGTGTTATGATTGAATAATTTCTTCAATAATAACTTATTCTTCACTATTTAATTATTCCATAAAGATATTCGTTTTTTGTTTTTATTAATATATTATGAAATCAGCATTGCTTCTTTTAGTCATAGCTCTGGCAACAGCTTCAACAGTTGGAGACCTAACTTAGAGATTGTAGAACTATGCCGATCATCCTTTTGGATCGTCTATGATTAACTTGGTGAGTGTAAATATGAAAACTGGTGGATCACTAAATGAGCTTAAATAACTTCTCTAACAAATAAAAGATGAATTAATTGCACTTACATAATTATAAGATTAAGAAAATGGCACATTTACAAGAAGATCTCAAGTTGACCTTGCCAAATTGTAAGCCACACTTGAACAAGCCTAATAAGATCTTGATAATTAAAGATAAGAGTAATAAAGTCTTAATAATGAATTGTCTACACTTTAAACAAGAGTTTAAGAAGATTAAGCAGCTCTTGATAGAAATGGAAGAGGAAGTTCTGATGCTTAATCTAGACTCGATTCAGAAAATACAGATTTTGCTACCAAATATTCTGATTATAGTGATGCCACCTTAGCATGTAAAGAAGCTTAAAGATTATTAATGAATTTGAGAGGTGAAGGTGCATCTCTAATACAATTAACGTATTGATTTATCATTATTATTATTAGATAAGACACAAAGAGTAATCTTTTATAAACTAAAGAGAACTTCTAAAAAATAAAAGAAATTCTTGAAGCTCATACAAAAAAGAGTTCACTCACTCTTTTCTAACCAATAATAGAAGGTTTGGCTGAAATGACAACTAAAGTAAATCCAGAAACTTTAAATAATGTTTTGAGTTTAGTTGCTAGATTAATCACTGCTTTATAAGAAGGATAAGATTAATTAGAAGCTAATCATAAAACTCAAGTTGAAAATCTCACTAGATTAACAGATGATTTAAGAAATGAAAAATAAACCCTTCAAGTCTCATTAGCTACTGCCAATAATAGACTCAAAGAAATTTAATCTAGATTGAATGAATTAGATGGATTAATTAATATATCTAATGCCATTGTTGAAGTCACATAATTAAACATATAAGATGCCACTAGAATCAATGAATTAGAAGATTAAGAATACAGCAACTAAAAAGTTAGTAGGTATTTAATATATTCCTAATATTTCATTAGATAAACTGAAATTGATATCGTAGATAGATTAATTGAATATATCAACCAAAAGCTATCTGAATGATTAATACATTAAAATTGCATATATTCAATTTTTATTAATATTCCATTTATATATAATATCCATTTCATTAACGCATTAGTTACATACCTATTGATTTTTATAGATATGCCTTTTTTTATTTCTAAATGCTAGTCTTCTTTATCGGTTAAGCTTCCTTCTTACTTTACTAAGATTCCTCCTTATGTGATCGTGATATATGACCCCTAAAATAAAATTATTCTTTACCCCAAAGAACATGCCTTCTAAAAATTCAAAGGACAGAATTTGCATTTATAAATCTTAGTAAATCTATTCAAGTTTTTATTGAATGTAAAACATATCTCTCCTCCTTCATCAATCTCAGTATTCCTAAAACTCAACTTCTATTATGGTTAATTCTATAATAAATGACTCAATCTTCCCACCATTCCATTTATGTTTTATTATATATATACTATCTAAAGTTTCTCAAAATCATCAGGCTTCCCCAATTCAACTAATGATTAATCATTATTTATACCAACTTATTCCTCCTATATATCTTTCTTCAAATTAAACACCTTCCATTAATTACTGTTATTATTTTAATAGTATTTTTATTACTATTTCTCTTAACCTTCCTGTTCTACTCCAGATGTATTAGTGTTATTATTAGTATTCAAAAAGTTCAATTACTAAATTTTTATATCTTACATCTTTGATTCCAATTTCTCCATTGTCTAATCTAATGCAATCATCTATTATTAAATGTTTCCCAATTAATTGTAAAAGTTCTCATCATCCTCTCCCTTCTATGTTAAATGTCAATCAAATATTTACTTGTTGAACTTAATTAAATGTCCCAAAAGTTGGCAATACTTTCTACTGTTTAAAACTATATTCTTTTTAATCAAGCAAATCATCAAATGCAGGTACCTAGCCATTTGTCTTTGTTTATTTTGAAGAATTGTGGTAAACTTATTGACTCTGTCTTGTAAAGATAGATCTCTACTACTTTGCACTTGATTAAAGATATTAAGATGAACTCCATATTTAACCTAATTAAAATCCTCTTCTTGGAGTGTATTATTAATAATTGTTATTTCTATAGGGTGAAACTGAATGATATTCATATATTTCTTCTTGCTCAATGAAAGTTTATTTTCTATTCATTTTATATATTAAACTTCATTTTTAGTTGCATTTTATTTTGAATTTGTTTTTAGCTGATTTTTCAGTCTGATTTAACTTTAATAATAAATTTATTTTATATTATTATATATTATTTAATATCTATTAAAGTGAGCTAGCATTCAATACAGTATTAAGATAACTCCATCAATTTATGTTTACATTTTTATTATTTATAATAAATTTGATTATTATTCATTCTAGTTTGTATTTCTTCTTTATTTAAGTAATGACTGCATTTATTTAATTTTCCTCCTTTGAACTTATTGTAAATTATTTGATTATGGAATATTAGATAACCAACATTGCAAAGTACCTATAGAAACAAGTTAAATAATAACCTAATGTATTTTAGAAGAATTTATGATAAAAAATTCTATAAGATGCATTCAAAAAGAAATAGAATACTTGTTTAAAGAAGGATTAACCTTAATTTCAAATGATTATTTCTTGTTATCAAGTAAAGAGCAAAAGAAGATATAAGGTAAAATTTAAGAGAATCTAAAATTTAATTCTCAGGTATGATTTGGAGACTGGCTGTTAATTGTAATAAATAGTTGAGATTCCCAAATGAAGTAGTCTAATTGTATTCAGTTTGATTTTAAATAAATTTGAGATGATTTGAAATATTATAATATTTATCTAATCTATCCTAGAATTAATTGATAAAATTAACTTTTTCATTTTTGAGAGAATTTTAAAAGACTTCAATGGCACTAGTGAAATTAATACTATATTAATCCATCTTCTAAAAGTTTTAATTTAATAGCTTAGATAGTTCTTCGTCAATAAATTGTTATTATTTAATAATATTAATGGAATTGGTTATTTGATGAATATTATTGAGTATATTATGATAATTACAAAGTAGATTGAATTGATTTGAAAACATGGTAAATATCATCCTAAATACATATAGCTAAGATACCAATCATTATCTTCTAAGGATTAAATATCTTGATGAAGTGATTTGTTGTGCATTTGATAATAGCATTTCATCATTTAGAGTATAACAAATTGTTAATACTGATTTGATTGTTCATTTTGACATGAGACAGTATTAAAACAAGAAGAATAGGAAGGTGAGGTAAAAATTAAAAATAGAAAGGATTAAATAAAAGACTTCATAAAAATAATTATAACATCTAAAATAAATGGGAATCAATAAATTCATAAAATAATATAATTATAGATTATAATAATGAGTAAATAGATGAATAATAATAAATATATATTGAATGTATGCATAATTATCATGCTAAGAGTCCTTTTCCATCAGAATTTAACCAACTGGGGAAGGTTGGTTTAACTTTCTTGACTTTGGTAGCTGATTTCTTTTCAACTGATTATGTAAGTTCAGATTTAAGTTGAGAAATCAGGGATGAATCAAATTTGCTTAAGTCTCTATTGTTATTGATAGCTTCAAGAGCATAAAATCTTTAGAAATCGAATTTATCACTAAAAATATGAAATTTGTTTTTTGTACCCTTCTTTAACAATAGCTCCAGGATAGAGTTCAATGAACCTATTAACATTAATTTCAAATTATCTTCTACCTTCCTCTGTAGCTATAAAAAATATGAATAAATGTATAAGTACTTAATTGTGCTTTGAATGGTTTAGGAATATTAGCTAACTCTTCCTTAGAGTATTCAAGACCTTTATACATGACTTCATTATAAAAGTATCTATCCCAAGTATCAACTCTGAGAAGTCCAAAAAATAAGAACCATTCAAGTGGTAATACTTTTTAGAGAATAGTTCCTCTAGCAGTTGGTGTCATATCACTCATGTAGTTTTGATAAACATAATTATCCCATTCATATATATTTTAAACGCTATCAGCTAATGTTCGTTCTCTGGCTTCTGATTATAACCATTCTGGAGCTGTAGATCCTCTTACACCTCTTTCTACTTTTGAATATCTTGCTCTTCTTTTATTGAACATAATCCAAGTGTAAGGATGGAATCCTTCTCTTTAAATATGTTCAAAAAGGGGATCTCTTCTTAATTCTCTATCTTAAAATAGAAGTAAATCTTCTAAAGCTAATCCTCTATCTAAACCAATGTTTCTCATCCATCGGTAAAAAAATCTTAGACTATCAAAATACTCTATACCTAGCAAATAATGGCTCAACCATTTTATAGATTTGACCAGTCAATCCTTAAGTAAATAATTTCATTGCTGAAAGTGTCAATGCAGGAGTACGTGGTTCAGAATACCATTTTCTTGGAGATCCAATTATTCTTTGTCTATTAAGAGCACGAATATTCACTAATTGTTCATAAACCAGTTTCTCTAGTCGAACCATAGATGTAAATTAAATCTTTTTTTTATTTATATTTACTAATAAATGGACTAAGAAGCATTAATGAAAATGCTCCAAAACTTGATGAAAGATTAAGGAGAAATTAAAATTGGAAACTTTGTTATACAGCAATAAGAACCAAAAAGAAATAATACAACTATGATTCCACACAATAAAGTTGACGTTCCACAAATTAGCAAAAGCTAATAAGATATCGATTTCATAGCGAATAAACCGAATGATTTTGTGAACGATCTGTTCTTCGATGAACCATTGCCAGATTTGGATTAATTTATTGAACAAGAGGTGGTATCAAATATTACAATTGATTCATAAACAAAGCCGAACAATGTTTAAAAATAGTTGTTCTCTAAAACCTATTAGATGATAGATAAATTTAGTCCAAACCTCAAAGAAGAATTTGAGAGTGCATTAGAGTATGATTTTGAATAATTACTTAAACCGAAAACATCAGAATGTTCCTCTGATACAATGACAACAATTACAGACACTACATCTAGTGACCCTTTAAGAACCTTTTTAATGTCATTAATTCCAATGAAATCTTCTCTATCTCCTACAAAGCAGACCCAGATTGATTTTTTATTTTTATACTCATAACCTCTATTGCAAATTACTAATAATTCAACAAAGAAAGTGCTGTAAAAATTAGAAATAAATAAAGAGTTAAATTCAATAAAAGAAGTATTCATAGATGTTAAAGCAGAAATAAAATTTATGGCAATTCCAGCAAGAATGGATAGATTTGGAGAAGCCTTAGATTTGAACCCAAAAGCATTACATTATGCAGGTCATGGTATTTATATGGAATCAAATTAATAATCATATCTATTATTTGAGTAATTACATGGAGTAGCATAATTAGTTTCAGCAAATCAAATTTTATTATGCTTATAAAAATTAAAATGTCCAATTTTATTTGTGTTTGTAGCAAGTTGTCATTCAAAATTAATAGGAGAAGTGTTTCATTAAGCTGGAGCTGAACATGTAATATGTGTACATACAAAAGAATAAGTTATGGATGAAGCATGTTGTGTTTTTGCTAGATCATTTTATCATGGACTAATCAAAGGATAATAAACTGTTTGTTAGGCTTTTTTGGCTGCTAAAAATTAAGTTAAAGTTGAAGGTAGATTTCCATATGCTGAAGAAAATAAATTTCTTTTGCTTACTAAATCTCATCATTAATGTTCTACTTGGTTACTTAGATAAGGAGAATTTAAAGATCTTACACCTCATTAAAATTAAAACAATCTTCCATCTGTAGTACCAAATTTTACAGGTAGATCTTAATAAATGTAAGAAGTTATTGATAAGATCATTTAAAATTAATTAATTAATATCAAAGGAGTATTAGGTATTGGCAAAAGTGCTTTAATTAAGGAAATTAGTATTTATATAGCTTAAAGAAATATATTCAAAAATGGAGTTGTATACATCTAATTAAACTAATGTGATAGTTTTGATAGTGTAGCTAGTAGATTTGCTCAAATATTTATGCCAAATTTAGCATTATAAAGTAATTATGAAATCAAATAATTAATGGTTACTTAAATTATATAAACTATTAAAAATCAAGAATTTCTCCTTATTCTTGATAATTGTGATCTAATTATGCATTCTAATGATCGTGATGTTTTTGTTGATTTTTTGGAATTAATATTGGCAAATTGTAAATGTCATCTATGTATTACCAATAGAAGTGAAATACTTCAATAAGGAAGAGTTATAAAAATTGAAGGATTACCTTCAGAAGAAAGTGCTTAATTGTTTATTAATTCATCCTCACGAGAAATTACTATTTAAGAAGTTGAAGAATTATTAGGTTGTAATGATCTTTTAAATAAATATACTTGGAATGATAAATTATTAATTTAGAAATTTTCTAATCATGCTTTATTTCAAATCTTAGATGGTCATCCTTAAGGAATAATACTATCTTCTGGACTGTTGGAGAATTATACTTTAAAAGAATTATATCAACAATTATCTTATAAATAATTGATGGATTTACCTATATCAAGTAGAGTAACAGAAGAGGAAAGAAGATCATTAAGAGTATCATTAAATTTAAGTTGGGCTAATTTAGATGAAAGATATGAAAAAGCTGCTATATTTTTTGGTATGTTAGGATTACTTCCTTGTGGAATTTATAATGATGAATTAAATGATGTTTGGGGACCAGGATGGGAAAAACTGGCTGCTTAATTAATCAAAAGCTCTTTATTATTATAAACAAAAAAAAATACTAAAACCCATTATTGTTTATATAATTTTACTGCTAAATTTGCTGAGAGTAAATTAGATGCTAAATGGAAAAGAGTTTATCATCATAATATTGTCAAATTATTATTAAAAAAGTCATAAATTTATTATACTCAAATAGGTACTCAAGCTCATGATATTAATAATTAACCAAATGAAGATTTTTTAGCCATTGAATAAAATATAAAGAGTGCTATTTTTAGAGAATTTGAAATCATCTCTAATGGTTAATTCGAAATAGAACCATAAAAATAAGAAAAAAAAGATGATGAAAATGAAGATGAATCCTTTAACTTACCACTTACCAAAGAAAATTTAGAAATGATGCAAAAGAAATACGAAAATAATAGTTAAAAATCTCATCTTAGTTCTAAAGTAGGTTTCACTGGCTCTGTTATATCTAGCTTTAAATATGATCAAATCTCAGATGACTATATGACTAATGGACCTAAAAGAAAATCTTTTTCTATTGCAAAAGTTGGTGTTACAATTAGTGAAGAAGAAGATGAATTATAATCAAATAAAGATTATTCAGATAATGGAATGAGCATAAATTATGTTGAGTCGAAGATTTTTAAAATTAATTCTAACAATGTTAAGCCTGAAAATATTGATGATTCTAGCAATCCCTAAGAATGTTAAAACCAATAGTCATAAAATATTTAAGCTAATGTTCAAAGTGATTAAGTTTAAGTATAGAAAGTAATAGATCCAAAATTTGTAAAATCATCACCAAATCCTAATCCATTAACATAAAGAGTTACATTTCTTGATTAATAACTTAAACCTATTACTTAAGAGATGAAAAAGAAAAATTATGAAGAAGATGAAAAACTACATCAACCTTTGTCAAAAAGATAATTCATTCCAAAAATGGGTGATAGGGCAAAATCTGGTAAAGCCAAAGAGGAGTCAGCATCTTCTACTTAATTACCAAATAAAAAAGACAAAATATAAAAGCTAATTCTCTATTATTGTTAAATATTATTACTTCAGAGAAGATATAATGAATGTCTAAAATTTATAAATTGGGCTTATTAATATTTTTATGGAGATATTCTATTTACTGCCAATATTATTAAAACAAAAGCATGTATATATTATATGCTTAAGGAGCCCAAAAAATCTTAATAAGCTTTTAAATAAGCAAAGGAAATGTTCATAAAAAAAGGATGTACTTTAGGAGTTGCTTGTTGTGAAGCTGCTAGTGGTTATATTTCATTATAAGAGCGTAGTTTATTATAGGCTAAAGTTAACTTTGAAAATGCTTTGTAGTTTTATGATTAATTAAATCATGATTTTGGAAAACATTTCTTAAATAGATGGTTACTTTTAGTTAAAAATAAAATTTCAAGTCTTAAAAATGATAGAGCCAAACATATTTAATAAGAAAAGATGCTTATTGAAAATTTAAAGCAAGAATTTAAGAAAGGGATTAAAGTAGATAATCTTATATAAAAAAAACATAAAGGAGGAGTTTTCATATTAAGATGGTTAGGTGATACATTATCAATATTTATGGAAATTGCTACAGTTGAAGATTCAAAATAAAAAGATATTATGAGTATTTTGAGAGTTGTTGAATAAAATCCAATTACTAATTATAAAAAAAAAAAAGTTGATGATATTGAAATTAAACCTAATACAGGTATTATTGCTAAACCAACTAGTTCAAGTAGTAGTACAGCTACTCTAAAAAGATTCAATAAAGTATAGAAAGCTCCTGTCTACAAATAATTAAATGAAATATAAGAAAATGTGTAATAAGAGGAGGATCCAACAATTACATCATTATAACAATAATAATAGAAATATTAATAACAATATTAGTAATAATAAAAAACAGGTGTAAAGAAGAATGTTTAATTATAAATGATGCCTTGTCAAAAAAAAACAAGCAAAATTTAATGATCATTTTCAAAAAAACTCAATTATTTGATATATGCATCATACCTTATTTTATTAATTCTCTTTCTGCTTTCACATAGCCAAATAATGCAGACAATACTTATAAGGGTTCTACCGAAAATCTTAAATTATAATACTTTAATATTACCTTTGTAAATACTTTTTGTATTCGATTTCTTTAACAATTCTCTATAATTCACAATCTTCAAATTTCTTAAACATAATCTCTTTTGTTTCAATATCTTTTTAAATTTATTAATATTCTCTTATTAATTTCTCTTTATCTTCAGAAATAAATGATTATTCTAATATTATACTAGTTTCAGTTTTAAACATTTTTTATATCTTCTTTTGTGCTTCTGTATAAATTATGTCATTCAAAGTCTACTTACTTTAGAAAATCTATGTGAGAGTTCCTTAAATACTTTATTTTTCTTCTTTATTTAAACCTTTAAGTAATAGATTGATTTCTCCACTAGATTTCATTCTTCTATCTCTAAGTGTCTTTCTTTTAATATCTTCTGAATCAATTTAAGAAAAATGATTCTTAGATAATATTGATAAAATAGAAGTATTTAAATTATCTTAAGATTTTTCTAGCTTTCCATGATAACTTCCAAATAATTGATGAGCTCTTATAAATAATTCATTTAATTCAACCATTTTTTTGGCTTTTTAAATAAGAAATTCTCTTCCTTTTGAGTCTAAATAAGAAGGAAAATTATCATCACATAATTTTTCATTTGTATCCCATACAGCCTTAACAATCCAACATAATCCTTATTTTCTACAATCCAGACCAATTTTAAGTAATTCCAGTAGAAATCCTTATATTGATTTTAATAATTCTTTATTATTTTTGTTTAATTTAGAATTTTCAGCCTCTAATTTTTCAATCTATTTAAAATTGAGTTTAATTTGTAATTTATATTTTTTATAACTATCTTTCATAGTTTCTAATTGAGATTCAATTTCATTTTATTTTCCAACTGTAGCCATATAAAAATCTACATTTGAAGATTTCTAAGTCTTTTATATTTAAGAATTATTATTATTACCAACCTTACCAAGTTCTTCTTTTAATTATTTTTAAATATCTTCAATAGATCTAAGTCGATTATATATTTCATGATTTTCCATTCTCAAAGATTCTAAATCATGATCATTTTTAAAAACAATTTTTTTTTATTTTTCTAATTTAGTATTGATTTATTATAAGATAGAATTTGTTTATTTTTCATAAAAGACAGCTCTTTCATTAGCATTTAAGAAATTAGTTAAATGCATCTTAACTCTTGTATGTAAACTATTTTTCAAACCTTCTACAGTATAATCGAATATCAAAATATCTGTTTATTTTTCTTCATGTGATTATTTTTATCTAGCTTATTCAATATTAATTAATTCTTATGAAGTTAAAGTAGATCCTTATTAAAGATACTTATCTAATTACTTAACTAATCCCATATCTTAATGTAATAATTCTGCTTTTTTTTAATTTGATATTTTAGCCAAAGAACCTTTAACTTTTTATTTAAAAAGATTTTCATTTCCTGGCTATGAAGATTTATCATCAGAGGATTGAGATTACATTAATTTAGGAAATGCAGGCAAGAGTGTTGTACCAGTTCTTTTATCTACAGCTCCTCTTCTAAATGAAGATATTGATGCAGTCTTCTAAAGTTAAGCAATTGCCTATTCTATATTAAAACAATTTCTCAATACTTTCTTTCTCTATTTCTAATTATTTCTTTTCAAATTCTTACTACTTCTAAACCTTTACTTACTTCCACCATTAATCTAAGTTTGCCACCATTAAATTATCACTTTCTGCCTTATATTATCTATTTCCCTTAAATTATTCTTCTTTATGAAGTACTTGTTTTACCAATTAAGAGTTCTCATCTTCATCTAACTTCTCATAACTAAAATAAATAAATAAGTTACATTTCTTATAGTAATAACTTACCACCAGGTTCATTAACTAACTTGTTTCGTAAATTAGACTCTAAATCTGAACGTTTTACTTTTTTATGTAACTTTATTGGTTTCTTTGTAAGATCTTTCGGATTTGTTGTTACAATTTCATTCTAAATATAATAATATTCTACCATATCTGGTTAGATAATATCATAGAATTAGATTGAATTCATCTCATCATTTAAAATTCTTTTTTTCATGTCATTTAACACCAACTATTCTATTTAATAATGGTTTTGAGGTCGAACCTTATACTATAAAATCTCAGGAGCTGACTATGAATTTTGCTTTTTAGACATTAAATATATTTATAATAATAATTTTCATTAATTTAATTTGTACAAAACCAAAAACTTTTATTTATCTTACACCTTTTAAACTATCATAAATAAATATTTTATTCGCAATAACATTCTTTTATTTTTATTTTTATTTATATTTTCTAATTTACTAAATCCCCATTTATAATCAAATTTTTTTAAAATCTTCTCCAAATCATTCATTCCATATTAAAAAGATTTTAATTTTCTCTTTTATCTCAATGAGTGTAATAATAATAATTTAATGCTATATTTCTATAACTTATTTTGAAATTAATACAATAACTCAAATATAATTGGAGATATTTATTTCATATATTGAATTTGCTAAAAAGAAAATTTAATTTACTTTTTGAATACCTTCTCTAAATACTTTTGCAAATGCAAATTTTTATAGATTTTATTCAAACATTATCCATATTCAAATAATTTAATATTTGTCAATCTTATTAATAGTTTTAACCCTTCTCTTCTTTTTATTTACCATTTTATTGTATTGAAGTATTAATTTAATTTACTTCTATAAATTTTCTTAATTTTAGATCCAAAGTGATCAAAAAATATCAAAAGTTATGTTTGTTGAGACCAATACTTTAAATATACTTAAATTAATAATCCTTCTTATTTCATTTTATTTATGAGTATCTTTCTTAGCTGTTCTCTCTAAGAACACTGTAATTTCTCATTTACTAATGTTAAATCTTTTTAAAGTATAAACAATTTGATTTCTTAAAATGAAATAATCATTTTCTTCTTTCGAATATTTTAAAGTATCATAAACAATAAAATAGGAACATTTATTGGTTAAATACTCTAGAAATCCATAACACTCTCCTACTTCATACTTAGATTGGCAAAAGAGATCTTAAACCCTTCTCCTACATCTGAATCCTCACTTAATCCTAAAGAACACACATCATCGAAAATATTTCTCTCACAAACTACTGATTCTTTTATTCTAATCAACTCTCTCAGATTTCTTAAAATAGGTTTTTGGAGGGCTTCTAATAGGAATTTTGCTGCATTCTCTTAATGATTTGTATTCGGATTGCAATTCTCTTTGTTCTTTCTAAGCATTTTGCTCTACAAAAATTTATGAGAAAGATCCTTTATTTATTTATTAGCTTTGCTGAAATCAATAGTCCGAATTGTTTATATTTTCATTTTTTTATATTTAAATTATATTACGTTAAACTCTTCACAATATTGCAATGATTTATCAAATTATTATTATTAATTATTAAATTATCAAAAATTTTTATGATTTTTCTATTTCAAAATGATTCTAACCAAATTAACCATTTCATTTATTAAACAGAATTATACTAATCAAATTTAAGATAAATATCAATAGAAGCAAAATATAAATTATTGTTTTAGTCTACCATTTTGATAAAAGTACAATTTTCTATAAATAAAATTAAAAATTTTCTATTTAAAATAATAATCTCATTTTTTCACAATAAGATAAAGAATTTTTTCCCATTTTATAAAGAAAAAAGATTTAATTAATTTATTAATGATTATGTATTGATTTACAATATATTGCCTTAAAAATCAGAATTTTAGGGTTTTAATCGAAAAAGAGTAACTATTATAAGAAATATTCTTAAGTTTATAATTTTGATGATGCTTTTCAAAAAAAAAAAAAATTTATTTTGAGCCAATATATAAAATAAATTAAAGAAAAGGGTCAAATAGCTTTATTTACAATTTAATAAGCATTTATTAATAAATTATTATATTGATTAAATGGGGAAAATTAATTATTTCCTTGAAATTTTTATAAATATCAAGATTGTTACTAATTTTATAAATATTCCTATAAATTTAATACCCACTATAAAATTTAGAACTTAAAATTTAAATTAAATATTTATCTTATCAGTTTCATATTTGAATAACTTTTGGAAGGATTTTTTTCCATAATCATAAACGGCACTCTATCTTTAAAATATTAAATCAGCCAATATTATTTTTTTATACATCTAGCGAAGAACATATTAAGTAAAAATAATTGCAAAAATGAGTTCGTATTAAATATTTTTTTTTTAAATATAAACTTAATTATTCTCTTTGAATCTATAAAAAACTTATCAAAATTATAATTTGTTAGTCAAAAACTAAAAGAGCTTTGAAATCATAAAAATTAATTATCTAATAGAATAATTAAAACAATTATTATTTTATAAGATTAATTTAAAAAATTTTAAATAGAAATGAAAATAATTTAAAATTATAATCTAATCAGAAAAATCAATACAATTCAATAGGATTCATTCCTTCCAAGCCTCCCAAATTTTTGTACAAACGAATAATTACACCTGTTTATATATTAAAATTTACTTTCTTCATTGACTATTATTGTGTCATATGGTCCTATTTATTTTAAAATTTTTCTGAAATTGGATTTTTTTTAGATTTTTACATTTAAGGCAGCTACAGATTTTACATAAATTATTATGTCAATATAATTTTGTTCAGAAGAAATTTCTATTAAAATTTAATCTTCATTAAGTCTAGACAAAAATGTCATTAATTTAATGAGCAGTTAATTTAGCATTTATTTCATAGTTATAATGTAAAAATCATGTTCTATATGATAGGAAAATTAAATATTATAAGCTTTTTGGTATAATCTGATATACTCTTTTATTTTGTAGTTGAAGTTACAAGATGAAAGTTCAATATCTTTAGAGATTGAAAATTTTGTCAAAATGTACATTAACTTTGTTTACATTTTATAAAATGAGTGATTATCATAATTTGATCTATTAATTAAGTTAAGCTAAGCTTGCAAGAACTTATTGATACCATTAATGAAAGCCTTAATTCCTCTTTCTAATTTTTATATTTTTTATTATTAAGACAGTATAACTTATTGTTTTTGATCAATTACAATCATAAACATTAATTCTGCAATATAGAATTCAGAATATTTAATGATTAATTTTTCATTTGGTTTTTTTTAATTTTTTAATTCTAGGATTTTGTTTACTAGTAATTTATTATTATGTGTATTGAATCTATTGAAAATAAAGTCTTCTAGAGTAGTTCCAAAAATCATATATTTTCTTAATAAGGCCTTTAAGTTTTTTTAATTTTATTTGAATGGATTTAATTAACTAAAATCTGAAAAATTTGAGAGTTTTATTTAAAATGATAAATGATTCTGATCAAATGTAAAATAAGCAAAAGGGTTATCAATCAATAAAGGAATAATCATTTCTAGGATTCTAATGATAATATTAAAACTACCTTAAGAGTTATCAGTAATTGTGAATAAAAATGATTGCCTGTATTATTTATTGATTCTCTATAATACAAAGATGGCCATAATTGCAATCAAAAAGGTATACATATATGTTTAAAGTGATATGTTGCCATTACTTATTTCAGCTATGATGATTTTGATTATAAGATTATTTATGAGTTATATTAGGGCACATTTGAAATCTGATATGAGCATAATAACCACATGTAATGTCATCATCATTTAACCAAAGAGATAAGCTTCTTAAAAATCATAGCCAGAATTGACAGTGATTTAATATACCATTAAAATGTGATTTATGAAAATGAGGTATTTATCAATCCAAGACTTTTTATAATACAGTATTACAAAAGTTGTAATGAGTACCAAGATTCCAAGTCCTAAAAAGATATAGAGAGTTAGATATTCTTCGAAAATAAAGGATAGTATTGATCTGAGAAAACATATAATAAAGCTGATGAGGCTTATACCTTTAAAGACAGGAATAGTAAATTTGTATCTATTTTCTTAGTATTTTAATTCTAACTCCTTGGAATTAAATGATAATGTAAATTTGTTCATTATAATAATATTAATTATTCTAAAATTTCATTTATAATCCTTAAATTATATTAAAGTGAGTCAATAATTTTGGCATTTTACAATAGAAGTTTCAGACAAAGAATTAAAAAAAATGAATTTCTGATTTAGAATTTAATTATTTTATGTTTGTCAACTGAGTAAAATTTTGTTTTTTTTTGAAGATTAATAATTATTTATTATTTTAAATGGACATTATTTTAAAATATTTATCTTTAAAAAATGTTTTTAATGATTAATTTTTATAAAACAAATCTATATATAAAATTCAGAATTTCTGGTTTTAGAAGCAAAATTTATTGTTTTTTATTTTTATTTTTAGGAGAATTTATTATTTTTGAAAAATAGTATAAAGGTCTATTTATTTCCAATATTTAGAACTTATGCAAAAATAATTATTATAAAAATATAGTTCTAAAATTTATTATTTAAATCTCATATAAAGATGATAAAATTGAATTTTTTTTCAATATATTAACTTTAATAAATTAGAATTTAGGAATTTCAGCTATTAGAAAAATAAAAAAAATAATGATAATAATAACATATGTGGATTATTTTTATCAAGCGCATGCAGTTGTCCAAGTATTATAAGCTAAGATACATTATGCTCTTTTTTTATCAATTACTGAATCGACAAGGCCAATATAATAGCTTTATCCTTTTTGAAGGTTAGGATTAGAAGAGGGATTATAAACCGATGAAGTACATATTCTTGCAGCTGAATCACAAGTAAAGGTTGCTCCTGTATCTGTATAAATAGTTGGATCAGCATCATTGGTAATGGCAAATAATTTAAGGTTAGCTTGAACAATTGTGATAGAGGTATCTGACCAATAATAAATAAATTTAAGTGGATAAAATAAATTATCGTAATTGTCTTAAGTATCTACATATGCAACAGTATTTCCTAAAAATGGACGAATACTAACAACATCACTATAAGCCTTTGTTATTCCAAATTATTCTGGAGCATATGAATAAACCATTACAAATCCATTATTGGTATAACTATAACCACTCCAATCAATAGTTAATGTATGCATTTAACCTTACATTTTTATTTAGTTTCTAAAATAAGGGATTATAGCAAAGTTAATAAAATAATAATTGGTTTAATAATAGTTTGGTTAGAATGTTGTCATTCTAGTTAAAGCAACTAGAGCAACACTCCAAATTTTTGGTAGAATAGCATCTCTAAGGGTTTTAGGAGATTTATTTCTAACAGTCCAATCTCTGAGCAATTATAAAGATTGATAGACTGTTCTTTCTAAATAGAAGGGATGAGATCTTGATTGCGTAAGCAAAACTGTTCTAGTAGGGGAATCTAAATATTTATTTAAAATTGCTAATAATTTGGCTTAAAATTAAACCACGTCTGTTTCAATAGATACATGCCAAGGGTTTATAGTATATAATTTGAACATCTCTTTAACACTGAGAGCAACATTTAAACTTGTAATAGAAATAGCATCGCTTGTTTAATGGACAAATCCATCAAAATTCATAGTGAATCTTACAAAAGCATAATTTAATTTTCCAAGGTTTTTATCACAACAAACATTATCATATTATAAACTGAAGGTTTCGAGTGAATCACAATCTATAATTGCTCCACCTGGTTATAATGATCCTCCTGTTCTACAAGCTGCTACTTCATCAATAAGATAACATGGTAATGTATCACAGGAGACGCTAATTATAAATCTTATAAATTTTACCCATTCCAATAACACCAACCTTTACCTTTAATTACATCTGCACCACAATCAGCTTGTGTTGTTAAAGCAGTACAAAGATTTTGTCCAACATATGTTTAAGCATAAATGGTAACAAAGATAAAAAATAATAAAGCTAACATAATTTAATTAATTCATTTCTATATATAAAAAATAAATTAAGAATCTATTAAAGGTGATGGGAGTGTAAATTTACATGTTCTCTCTATCTCATCACAAGGGGTTGATGTTAAACTTGATGAGAATGTATGAGGAATTTGAGTTTTATCTGAAATGAATTTTAATTATCTTGATATATTAGTCAAAGTTCCTGTAGTTTGAGTATAAATAATTTCCATATTTTCAATATTAATAAAAGATATGCCATCTTCAGCAATCACATTAATATAAACTACATCTGTCAAAGCATCATTAATCCCAAATAATTTTGGAGTGTATGATACTGCCTATATATAACCATTTCTTTGATATTTAACCCAAGTTAATGAAGTTGTATGATCTTATCCTTCTATAGTAATGTACAATCTAGAAAAAGTTGTCTAAGCAAAATTCAAAAAATAATAGTTTGTTTAATAATGTTTGCTATAAAATGCCATCTTCTTCTGATACACTTAGACTATACTCCAAAATTTTGTAAGAGTATTTTATTTGTCAGTAGAACTTAATGGTTAAGTGTCATCTCTCAAATTTTGTAAAGTTTAGAATAAGCATTTCTCCAAGTAATATGGATGTACTGTTACATTTTGAAAGGTTACCTCATATTCTTTATATAAATCCAAAATATCTTATAATTCCTTATTTGGAGCAATCTGAATATTAACTGTTAAAACTTGAAATAGGAAATTGATTTATGGTTTAGCTACCTTCAATTATGCTAGAGTTAAACCAGAAATTGAGAAATGTGGGTACCCTGTCGTGACAATTGGATATCTAACAAAATTATAGTCAATAGTTGTAGTTATTCCACAAACATTTTTATATTCTATGTTAAGTAAATCTAAAGGCATGCACAAAGATTCATATTTGCCATTTGCTCTACATGCTCCAATTTCATCAATTCTATAACAATCTTAGTTTGAAGTATAAAGCACACAGGATGATCCATTCCATTTACAATACCCAGAATTCAAACAATCAATCTATTGTGTATAAGCACTACATTCTCCAGTTCCTGGAGCCACAGCACTCGAAGCTAAGCCTACTAAAAACAAAATCAATATCATAAAAGAATTCATTATTTTTAAATAATCAAGGGGGGTTATTTGTACAACTAGAACCTGTCCATAAACAACGAGGTTATTTACATTTATATCTCTTTGGAATACTTCCACAAGTACTTAATGTTGTTCCTATAAAATATTTGGTATTCCCAGTTAATGGATATATTTAACATGTCGATTTTTTAGTTGTAGAATCATAATTACAATCCTAAAAGTTTCCTATTGTTAACATTCTTATTTAAGTTTCTTAAAGAGTTACTCTATCAAAAGAATAAAGATATATTGATGACATTGTTGAAATATCAAAAGGAAAAGTATACATGATTCCATAATTCAAACTTTATGTATTATGTCCATTATCATATATATTTATTTCATATACTTAAGTCAATTAACCAACAAATCCAAATTAATGTAAATCATAACCCATTACCTGAATATATCCATTATATTAATATTAACCCCATTTAAATGTAGCCACATGCTTACGACCAGATAACTCTGTTTATAATCGTGATAAAGCCACCTAATTTATACTATACAATGGATATATTGCTGTATAGTTATTCCCAATTATTCTAAATCTTTCAAATAAGTTATCCACTATCTACCACACTTTTCCAATCATCAATTTCTTATTTATGCTCGCTAATGTTGTGTCATCCTTATATAATATTTATCATAATACTCTCAATTATTAAAACATATAACTAATTGATTTCTCTTGGTCATATGTCCAATAAGTATCCGATAAAAATAATGTTAGGTATTTTATATAAATATCTAGTGTCTAATCTAATTATGACATGTCTTGCTTTAAGATTTAAATTGTATAGATTTAACTTATAGATCCATATTGTGGAACATTTGTATTCCAATAATTCAAATTATTTCCATTTAAACTTTTATCAGCATATCCATTTTTAGGCTCTTAATATCTTATATAATGCTGAATTAATTCGTTTGGATCATCACTTGGATCATTACATACATTTGCATATATTTAATAAAAATATGCTTCTAATTCTAATGAATTACAAATAATTGGTGCAGTTGTATGAAGAAATCCAGATGGTCTACAGGCTGCTATTTCATCAATTTTATAACAATCTTCCACTTAACAGGTTAAACCATCCCAAAAACAATACCCAAGATTTTAACAAGTACTTTGAGTAACTTAGCTAATGCATGTTGGATCTCCAATATAAGAATTTACAACATTCAAAATTGCACTTATCAAAATTATCATTTATTTATATTTCTCTTAATATTATTAGTTAATTCTGATAATAAAAACCTTTTTTAATTAATATATAATTAATTTTTCATTTAGTCTAATTTTACTATCAAATAAAATGATATTTATAATCTTAACATTATCAATACTATTAGTTATAAATTATTTGTGAAAACAAAAATAATGTACTGAAGCATAACCAAGATAATCCTATATATATTTATATTAATACAACAAATTATTTAAATTTATTTTCAAGCCATATGTTGGTGTTGTATTAATGAAACAAATATTTCTTTATCATTGAAAAATTAAATCAATTGATATCAAAAATCAAAAAATTTTTTGACTTAAAAATTATAACGTTTAAGTAAAAGAGTGGATCAATTTTTTAATTATTACTTTTCTGTACTTATAATTTGGATATTTCTAAAATTATTCTTAAAATAATACTTCTAACTTCAATAAACTTATGTAATATTTGAAGTCTAGTTATTGTTTATTTATAATAATATGCATGTCTTCATATTTTTTTAGGCAAATATTATAAAGTTGGTTTTTTTTAAAATCAAGGTAACTTCTCCTATTTCAAAAATTAATAAGAAAAAAATCATAAAATAATAATCAAATTTTCTGTCATTAATTAAGTAAGTCATGTGTCTTGATTTTGAATTAGTTGAACTTAAATACTTTTAAGCAAATATAATAGAAAGAAAATTAAATTGAATTTATTATTCGCAATAAAATATATTAGATATTTAAATTATTAAAAGTATTTTTAATTTAGACTGTTGAGATTAAACAAATAAAAAAATCCAACGAATTCTCATTATTTTAAATTATACTCTAAGCTTATGTTAT